GTGGAGCCGAGTTTTACTCTCCTAGTAGAGTAGAGAAAGCACGCGCACGTGAGAAGGCAAAACAACAAGAGCAGAAGGCAGAGGTGCTCAAAAAAGCAGAGATGGCTGAACTGAGGCATGCCAATAAGCTGTACAAGGAGAAGATTGCACAGGAGAGGCGTGAGCAGAAGTTGAGGGAGAAGGAAGAGCGTGAGCAGCGGAAGGCTGAGAAGGCTCAGGAGGTTGCTGAACGCAAGGCCAAAAAAGAGCATCAACAGAGGGAGCGCAACACCAAAAAACCTATACAATTGTCCCAAAGAGGCAAACGCAAGGCCTCAGAGGTTGCAGCACCTAGGAAGAAGCAGAATTGTGGTAGTGCAGCGGCCCGTAGTCGTGCTGCTGCCGCGCCTCGCTCCCCATCCCCTCCGGCAAAATACAACAGCCGCGGCCGCCCAATCAGAGTGCCACAAAAGTTTGAGTGAGGAACTTGTTCATATAGGTCTATAGACTACTCCACCAGAAAATCTCATGATAATAATCATTGTGTGTGGCTCTACAGCCTCATTTTTGGTGGACCTATTTTGGTGGTTCGGCGCATTACACGAATCCGCGCATTACTCGCACGGACACGGTAGCGAATACCCGCTGTTGTATGTTTTGGGATTTCCTTTTTGCTCCTCTTGTCTTCTATAGCCTTAGCATCACATATGATGTCGCACAACCTTGTCCGTCAAATGTCCGAGCGATCCGGAAATGGCCACTAGCGCGCCCCAGAAATGACGTATCTCGACCCCACCTCACTTGACCTCCAACCTCCAGCATCATCAGCCTCGTACTCGTACACCTTTCCAAAGAGTGGCCCTCAAAATAGCAACACACCTCAAGGATCGGCATGCTTTTCGAACTCTTCGGTCACTCACACGCGCTAATGTGGTAACGCTTGTGGCTGACTCGGGAGATCTGCAGCTTTTGCGTGATGCCGGCAGAGAATTGGTAAACTTCCGATGCTACCGTCACGACAGGGTAGCTTGGATTGACAGTGGATATGATGATGGTAAGTGCTGGGGCAATTTGTGATATATAACCCTGCCTGGCTGCCCTCGGAACTGGGTACTCATATCCAAACTTTTTACAGCAACTCAAGCTCCATCGTTATCCCTTCCAGTACAACATAAACCAAATTCACCTTTACACAATCGAACATCCTTCAATATGCGTTTCTCCAACCTCGTATCCACACTCACCACCCTCTCCGCCGCCTCCGCGCGCATCATTGGCATCGAAGCCCCCTCCACCCTCGCACCGAACAGCACATTCAACCTTACTCTCCTGACGGAAAACTACATCCAAACCGTCACCGACATCTCTGTAGCATGGGGCTACGCCCTCGCACCCGGCTACCCCGCTTCTCTCGGCGCCTTCACACAAAGCTCCTACTTGGGCCCCAACAAGAGCAACACGCTCGAGAACATCACTGTTGAAGCGACGGTGCCAGAGGGCCTTGACAGTGATAGCTGGAATGGCAGTTTGGTGCTGAGCGCTGGTGTGTACAGTTTGTATGGTGCGAGCTCGGGGCCGGTTATTACGGGGTTCAATGTCACGGTGAAGGTTGGGGAGGAGACGAGTGAGGAGGTTGTGAGGAGTAATGGTACGGCGTGGATTGTGAACACCCAAAGCCAGGTTTAAACTCAGTGATCTGCTCCTGTACTAGTGTTGCCTCGGCTTTATTATAACGATTTATTGAAGAATCATAAGATCATGTCACTCGAATGTCATCTCCTTGTTCAACGCTGATTTTAATTGCGACTCTCCTCTCCCGAGACGATCTTATACTAATCACTCCATGTTCTTTCATCATTGTTTCCCGTGCTCTGCTTCATCAACTGGATTCCAGCTCGTAACTTCAAACTCGGTAGTCCATTGAATTTGCATCTTCGATTGGTCTGCTGCCTCGCATTTTTTGTTGCTGCCTTCAGAGCTCGGTCGGATGATCTGCTAGTGCTCGCATGTACGGATAGATTCGTAATTGGATATAGATCTTTGTTGACCTTGCGTAGGACGATGTCACCCCTGCCGCCGTTCGGAGTGCGCTTTTTATCGTAACTGTTTCCAGAACCTCTCATCCAGCTTGACGAAGAGAAAAGTAGCTTTACGCATGGGGCGTGTTTCGTGGTCAGTGATTGTGCATCTATGGGGTGTGTGGGACGAACCATCTCACGAAACGCCCAAATGGCCAATGCATTCATGTGATTGATATCTCCTAGCGTCAAGACGAGGAGGATGATAGATACCACAAAGACGAACAGCCCTGAGCAGAGCAATGCCGCTATCATAAGTCTCTTGCGATCCATCAGCGCTGCGTCTCGCTGTGTGATATACCTGCACTGACCTTGCGGTTTGATGTTAGCCTTCAGGAGGATTGGTAATGGAATAGAAAGAAGCATCAGGTCAGTGTTACGCGGGGTCAGATTTGATTCACAATGATGGATCGCCTAGTATACTCACACTTTGTTAGACAGCTCCGTAACAAGGTAGTACACCATGCTCATAGTGCAAGCTTCTATCAGTCATTTTGTTAGTAGAAGTATGACATAGCAAGATACGATTAGCTCACCTCCTGGATCTAGGTACACTTGCCATGTCTTGTTGATCGGTACGCAACAGCAATTGATAACCAAAACGATCGCAGCCCAGAAGAGACCTCAAACAACAGTGGTCCATGTCGAAGGTGAAGGATCCTCCGATAGCCATCACTTGATAGTCTCCATATAGTAGCTTCTCTCACCCACCAAATACTACAGAATGACCACACACTTCGCCCAATGACAGTCCCTTTTACAAGCTTTCCTGCCAAAAACCTATCTTGTACAAACGCTTCGTCCGTGTCAAGGCCTTCGGGTGCATTTCTGGAAAAGCCACTCTCTGACTTGCGTGGACCGACGGCAAAGGAAGAGCATTTGTCCTTTCATCGCCCACAGCCCTGTTGCGTAAACGAAAAGAGCAGCGAGGATTGCCTTCGAGCCTACTTCCATCGGCTTGATTTGTCAAGTTTGTCAAATCCCATCTTCGCAAAAGGTGAACAATGACAACCCGCAGATGACCTGCAACGGGGAGGCATGGGGACGTTGAAGATATTTCACGCTTTTATATATTGCGTATGAGCTTGTGAGCACAAGCCTGGCTGCTGCTTAAGTTTCTTTTGAGCGAACCAACGCTTCTATCACAGTCTCTTTAACACCAGCTCAGACTTCTCAGCCACTCTCATTTTTGACTTCAGTGAGCTTACCGATGAGTTTCTGGTTCTACCGAGACAACTGAGTCGCCAATCATGCCGCGGCAACCAAGAGTAGACACGATATTTTGTGGGAAGAATCGTCAATGGACCGGAAAATACGGCTATCTAACTTTGCAATACACCTGCACGAGTACTCATCCGCCCGCATGAAGTTCTCATCGTGCCGCATCTGTCCAGGTAGTCCTCGTTGGCAATGTGTGAAGACGGGGTTCGGATTGGTGGCGTGAAAGTAGACCGAAAACCTCGACATGGTTTAACCAAGTGATGACGAGTGTCAGTGTGGAGCGTAGGATACAGTATCAGGATTATGTGAACTTCGGGCACAGACTGCGATTGTTGGGCCGGACGAGTACAAACAACAAACCATCAACCACGAGGGATTTTGTAAAACTGGCAAAAGTTGCTGACAGTCACTGTGACTCAAGCAATGATCACTGGATACTTGGAGCGTCCCTCAGTCACATCATCATGTTACAATTCATGGTTTTGTGTGCCAATCAAGTAGGCTACCCCAGAGTGTATCGATATTCGACGTATTCATCCTGTGCCAGCTTAATCTAGAGCTCGGTCTGATAACCACCCTTCCACTCATCCAACCAATCAACAACGAAGTTCTTCAAGTACTGCTGAGCATAGATGACCTGGTACGGCGGCAGGATAGGCGTCGTCTCATTGTCAAAGATACCGTTCTCCTCCCAGTGATGCACACCATGGCTAATCAGGTGCCACGGCTCCTCGACCGTATCCTCCCTGCTCTCAGGGTACCACAGCGGTGTAGCTGGGCGCCAGGGATCAGCATTTCCACCAATGTGGGCAAGACGAGAGTAGCTGATGTTGAAGCCACCGTACTTGTTAACTTTCTCGAGATCAGGTGGTGTGGTGATGTTGAACTGCGCGCGGCAGAAGAAGGTCAGGTACTCAAGGTCGAGAGTACGTGAGATGAGAGGCTGGATATCGGCGGGCGTGTTGCCGGTCTGAATGTAGCCCCATTCAGTGCAGACTTGGTAGCTCCAGCTGGTGTAGCCGTAGTCCTCGAGAGAAGTGTACTGCTGCAGAGCGGTCGCGTTGAGGGTGGTAAAGTAGCGGTCCTGTGTGTAGTTGGATCGTCGCCAGCCAGGGAGAACGGTCTTGTTGACCCAGCTGATGGCGTTCAGGGTGATGTTCTGTACCAGTGTGTCGTTGCCGTAGCCAGCTGCCGAGACCAGGCCAGCAACAGTAGGGCGCAGACTCTCAGTGGCAGGCTCAGCTTGATCGACTGATTGGGTTACATTGCGGCAGTAGTTGTAGAAGGAGGGCGAGTTGATCTCAGGGTCCCAATTGGTGCTCTGCCATCCATAGACGCCAATTAGCTGGTTTGCAAAGTCCCTGTTGTCTGTGACATTGCCAAGGCCGAAAGCGGTCTTCAGAGCCTGGATGTTGGCGGTGTTGTTACCCAGCAAATGCTTGTCAACAACATCAACAAGCGTCTGAGTGTTCTTGATGCAGTCGGGAGGCCCAAACAATCTGATGGGCTCAAAGTATTGCCAGAAGTCGTAGATGGCGACTGTAACTCCGGAAGAAGAGATCGCACCCCAGAATGTTTCAGGGTACGTGACGCGCAAGAAAGCTGATTGAGCACCGGCGTAGGAGCCACCATACACGACCCAAGGAGTGGAAGGCGCTGTAAGGTCCTTGTCCTCGTGGCCAGCGAACTTGACATTCCTCGCAAAGTAGTCAACCTCGGCAAGAGCTTGCTCGGTCGACAAGAAGCGCAGGTTTTCAGTAGTGAGATCCTCGGTAGGAAAGCTGGTGCCGTAGTAACGATGCTCCAGAATGACTCCGAGACCCTTAGTAGCCTTGATGACTTGATGGACGATGCCCTTCTGCAAGTAGGGCAGACGACCAGCACCATCGGTTTCACCCCCAAGAAGGACGAAGACTGGGCCGCCAGGTTCGTAGTAAGTGTCGTCAAACCAGTACCTCAGATTGAAAGATCCGTTGGAGTGCGGCTCGTAACGAGTGTCATTGTGGAAGAAGTCAATGGGCACCGAGATGTTGTGTTCAGGGTACAACAGTGTCAGGTCGAGTTCGTCGTCGCGCTTGTAAAGGCTGCGTCGTGACCTTTTGTACTGGGCCTGGAGATAGTGAGCTTACAGACGTTGCAAGCAAGACAGTTGATAAGCGTGGTTGTGCAAATCAGATTCGGTCCATTGACGACGTGTGACAGACGACAAGCACCGTCAAGCTTCTCGGCGATGCGCCTATTGCGCCACGAAATTACCAAAACTATTTGTACGTACCTCTGCATCTATCTGGCCAGCTTGAATCGGCCTAACCCGAATGGCTGTGGCCTCAAGGCCAAACAAGAGCCCTGTGATGACAGTTGAAAAACGCATGGCGTAAGAATGCTGATGCGAACACGCACGACAGGAAGCACGGAAGACAACCGAATATATACAGTCCGCTATGCGGTATGACGAAGACGACTGCTACATGATAGCAGGGGTACAATCATAGTACAAGGCGAGCCATTGTGCTTAAGGAAGGTGGAGGTGCAACGAACGACGACCAAGCTCAAACGAGAAGGAGCCCTGGAGATCAGCGGCCTTGAAATGCGGGACCGTTAACCGGCACACGAGCCTGAACTTGCCGACGATAGCAGAGATTGTGTTATGCTGTTCAAGGAGATATCTGGCGATGCAGAGGTCAGGAGGGATGGCGCCACATACGCGCTATGTGTATGAAAAGCGAAGTTGTTGCAAGACGAGGCTTGCTTTTGGAGGTGGTTGGTGGTTCGTTCGATGCGCTCCAGCCAATCGCCTTTCGGTCACGAACTTGGCACGAACAAATGCGTGCTCGAACCTGGTCACTGCATTTTCGTGATGATGCAGGCTGCGATCCTGATATCTGCCTTGTTGGTATAGCCGCATTGCATGACAATGTGCGAGCTCAGCCACACTCATCCGCGCCGCATCTTGGTCATCCGTGGGCACCGCCACTCGCGCTGCACCCTTCACTCGTGTGCCTCCAACGCCCTCCATAATGTCTAAAATAAGTGAACAAGCGCTTGTTGTCGCTCGCCGTGTCGAGGTCGGTTGGTATAGGCCTACCTGCTGCTCGTTCGCGAAGGCCTTGAGGACCAAAGGGTTCGGCTGCAATGGCAACGATCTGGTCAAAGGTCAGGCCTCACAGTGCATAGCAGTGGAGTCAATGTGTACTAGTGGCCTGTCAGCAGGACTCAATGCCTCGTTTGGACCGTACTCACAAGTCAAGTGCAAAAGCCCGACTTGCCATGCATAGGACAAGCCGGGGAGCTCAATTCCTGTCCAAACGCCCGTCTTGGTACCTTTTTCCATCCACCCGTTGTTTCTGCACGTACTTTGCTCGAGCATCCCACTGATGCAGGTCAACTGCTCGTGCGCACTCTGCACAGTGCTACTGGCTTGCCGTTTATCTCCCCAATGATCTAGTCCTCCATGTCTGAACCGTCACGGCCAGGACTCCTGCTCCTCGCCCGCCCTGCGCCACGTCCGCTGGACCGCTTGTCGTGGTCGCGAGCGCGTCCCTTGCCTGCCGGTGGAGGTCGTACAAATGCAAAGTCGACAGTGACTTTCTGCTCGAGCAGCTCCTCGCCGTTGGCGCCCTTGATCGCGGCGTTCGCTTCTTCAAGTGTAGGGTATTCGATGAGGATGTAGCCCTGCATGGTATAAGTATATACTTTTGGGACGCATAGTGTGGGGTTGGTATCCACCTTCACGTAACCCGTTCGGCGGTCAAGGTTCATGTGCAGGTTCTTGATGGTGCCGAACTCGCCAAACATGTCCTGCAGGTCCTCCTCTGTAGCCTCCTCATGGACATTTGTGACAATGATGATCCACCCCTCAATTGAACGGACGGCTGTTGCGCCAGCAGCGGTGCGCGCATCCCTGGCCTTTGGTTCGGTGGAGCTGGTCTCAGGCTGCTCGACCTGGTCGACTTCCATCTCTGTGTCGGTCATGATTGCGGTTGGGTAGGTATACAGTCAGGTGATTTGCGGGAACGTCGGTGGTGGTGAGCTTTGAGTTGTCCACAGGTGGGTAGTTGTGGGCAAGATGACGGTCAAGCTTTCCGCGTAGCGTGCGGCTCGCGCTAAGGACCTGGCCTGCGGGCTCCCTTCCGCTCAATGCCCCTCCAGCGTTCCAAGAACTCAACAGCGCCGGCCGAGCCGTTCAATCTGACATCACAATGCGCAGTTTTAACAGAACATTGGCGTCGTTACTACTGTCTCCTCTGCCCCTGCTGCCTTCTGACTCCGGGCTATTGCTCCTTCCTCTTAGCAATCGTGAGGACCGCAGACCAACGTCAAAGACCTGAAATAAAATCACACTAAATTGCAGCTACCTACCCCACTCGACGTCACTCTTTCGTTCACATCGAATTGATCTATAACAAAGCTGTCTGACGGCTCACTACGGCCATGCTCCAATTCCTCGACAAACTGGTTCACTACCAAGACCCTACCCTTCCTGCGTTCTCAAATCTCGCGTACCTTTTCATCCTCGTCCTGTTCTCTGCGTTCTTGATATCCTACCGTTCACGACAACTCGAAGCTGAAACTGGTCACTGAAACCATGTCGAAGTTCACCTCAGTCAGTCAACCCGTACAGGTAACAAAGTGCAGAACAGCTAACAGCGGCAGATTGCTATGATCGGGTGTGGAAGTATGGGCGGAGGCATGGCCCTACTGTTTGCAGAAGATGGAGTCCATGTCAATCTTTCCGATCCTTCTGAGGAGACTATGGACGCGGTGATCGAGAAAGCCGAGAAAGCGGGATACAATGGAAAACTTAAGAAACACAAAGGTAGCATATTTGTGCCTGCTTAGCTCACCAGGCACACTCGTTAACACATGTTCAAGACTACAAATCGCTCTGCAAATCGCTTTCAGAACCACGCCTACTAGTTTTTTCGCTGCCTCATGGAGGTGTCGGTGACAAAGTCCTGGAAGGCCTGATGCCTGAGCTGTCCAAGGGAGATATCATCCTCGACTGCGGTAACGAGCACTTTGCGAACACCGAACGCCGACAGAACAAGTGCAAAGATACAGGAATCCGCTACATCGGTTGCGGTGTGAGTGGCGGCTATCAAGCAGCTCGAGCCGGCCCGTCAATGTGCCCAGGCGGTGACGAGTCTGGACTCAAGGAGGTTCTGCCACTGCTCCAGAAGGTCGCCGCGAAGGACAAGGAAGGCAAGCCATGCGTAGGCATCGTTGGCAAGGGCGGCGCCGGTCACTATGTCAAGATGGTGCACAATGGCATCGAGCACGGCATGATGAGCGCCATCTGCGAAGCCTGGGGCATCATGCGAAAGATGGGCCTCAAGTATGAGGAGATTGGTGATGTCTTCGAGGAATGGAACTCGTCAGGCGAATTGGTAAGGCATTCCAAAATCTGCTTGTTTGCAGCACTGACACAGCGGATAGCAAGGCACATTCCTCGTCTCTATAGGCGCCGACCTCTCACACAAGCGCGAACCTGGGACCGACTCGAACTCAGACCCACAACAACGTCCACTCGTCATTTCTGAGGTCCTCGATAAGGTCGTTCAGGACCTGACTGGCGAGGAAGGAACCGGCATTTGGTCCAACACCGAGGCCATCGAGTTACACGTTCCCGCTTTCACATTGAACGTTGCCCATGCCCTGCGCCTGGCATCGGCCTACCGCGGTGACCGCGAACGCGCGAACAAGACCTTCGATGGTGCCTTTCCACCAAGCGAGCTGGACATCAAAGACAGGAAGGCTTTCATCGAAGACCTTCGCAAAGCGACCTACGTAGCTTGTCTGGCCAGTTATACTCAGGGCATGAACATCATTGCACGTGCTGATCAGGAACACAAGTGGTCGATCGATTACTCGCAAGTTTGGCAGATCTGGCGCGCTGGCTGCATCATCCAGGCCGACTATATCTCCGACAATATCCTCGCCCCTGTGCTCAAGAACAACCCCTCATCAGATGACCTGAACCTCAACTTCTCCTCGGTCGTCGCCAAGGACATCAAGAACTCATTCCCTGCTCTGCGGCGCATCATCGCTAAGTCGGTTGAGACGGACCAGGTTGTTCCTGCGTTGAGTGCTAGTCTTGAGTACTTCAAGATCTCCACTGGCACAGATTTGCCGACAAGCTTCTACGAGGCTGAGCTCGATTATTTCGGCAGTCACATGTTCGACAAGAAGGGCGACAATGATAGCAATGTCAAGAAGCCGATGGAGGGCAAGCATCACTTCGAGTGGAAGCCTGTGACAAGCCAGAAAGAAACTTACGGCAAACCTCCTGGTGTGTGACTATCCGGTGAGAAGGCGAAGTTGTGATGTTCCGGAAGCTCTGTATGACTGCAAGTAGATGTTATGATCTTTGATTGAAGCGTTTGGCCGATTTGGTTCGCGAAATCTTTAGTGCTTCGGGCGATGCAGTTCCCAAGCTGACAAGACGGCAGGCGCGTTCCTACTACTCTTTCCAACCACACCTTTTGTCCAGATCAATCATCGTCCTGCAGCATCCTACAATATCTCTTCTGATCGACATGTTTGACAGGTCGTCTTCCCCAGTTTGGGTGCCTGGGCTATCGCAAGCACAGCTGACCACCCCACCATGTCACTGCGTCAGGCTGCAGCTGCAGATGTAACCGTAGTGAAATCGCTGGTATCGATCCACTGCTATGCTGACTGGCCTGCGTCTGGTGTGCGTAGATGGTTGCATCGGTGCTGCTACTGGAGCGTGCGTCTAGGCTGCCTATCCGATACATTTCCATGCGAGTGTCTGCGGTTCCAAGCGCGATGGCGCAATTTCGGCAGGTATCCGTGACAGGAGAAAGGTGCGCATTTATGTTGTGGCGATGAAAGACTGACGGAAGAGTGGAGGTGGGCTGGTGTGTAGGTGAGACGCGTCGTGGAGTTGAGATGGAAGCAACGGAGCACAATCACTAACGGTTACAAGACGTAGTCGCAATGGGGTGAACGCTCATACCGGATATCAAAACCCAACAAACGCCTACAATGCAACGCTATCAAAACATCTCTCCTACTCAATGCCCGCAATCGCACATTTGTCCATGCAACAAATGCCTCTTCCTGAAATCCCCAGTATAGTCGGCAAGATGCGTTTGACCATCCAGCCTCTCGCCCTCGTGCGGAACCTTGCCCATCCAACCAACCTCTGTACCATTCGCATCCAGCACCTTCAAATTCTTGCCCTTCTCCCTCAACTCATTTGTCACAGCCTCAACATCGACACCTAGGTAGTTCCTCAAGAAGTCGCCCACCTCAGTATTCTCATGATTGCCCACCAGCGCTGCGGCCTTCTTCGGGTCCGACGAGTAGATATTGACGTCGGCGGCAGAGTGGCCGTGTGTGCTCCACCCCGTTTGCGAGCGGCGTGAGATCATGTCGGCGTAGGCGTACAGAGCGGTGAGCGGTGCGTCGGTGATGGCTTCGACTTCTTCTTCGGTGTAGTCGTGGATGCCGAGGCCGTCGGTGATGCTGTTGATAACAAAGATCTTCTTTTGCTCGTGCGAGGGCGAGGAGAGGAGGTAGGCTGCGTATTCGATGGCGAGGCGCTCGGCGGAGTGGGATGCATTGGCGAGAGGGGCGGGGTACCATACGTAGGGGGGGTAGGTGGTATGGAGCTCTGTAGAACGTTAGTGTATGTCTTTGTATAACAGACTGGGGGTGTGACGTACGGCGAGCGGTTGCTAAGCCACCAGTTTCGTGGTCAGAGGTGGAGACCATAACTGTTTCGGTCTTCTCGTTCTTGATGAAGTCGAGCACACTGGTGAAGGCCTTGTCGTAGGCGAGCACTTCGTGGACCTGAGCAGCAGGATCATTGTGATGTCCGGCATGATCAATTCTCGAGCCTTCAATCATCAAAAAGAAGCCCTTGTCGCTATCGCGCGTGGCTTCGCTCAGGGCCTTCATAGCAGCCTCAGCCATCTCGTGCAGCGAAGGATACTTGTCGCTCTCGTTGCGGCGGTCGATCTCGTACGGGATATCTCCATCGGCGAAGAGACCCAGCATGGGAAAGTCGACCTTGGCGCCACCTTTCAAGCCATCGAAACCAGCCCGGTCTGAGATGTAGTTGAAGCCGTTCTTGCGCGCCAGGTCCACCACATCGCGATCGTCAGCTCTGCAGGAGTGCTCGACCGTAGTGTTGGGGACAAAGTGGCAGCGACCACCACCGAACATCAGATCCACAACACGGCCCAGAGGGTAGTCGCCCACCATCTGTTCAGCAATGCGGTCCTCCTCCTGGCGCATGTTGACGTGTGCCGCAAAGCACGCCGGTGTAGCATCGGTGATGCGTGTTGTGACGACGAGACCCGTCATGTATCCTGCCTTCTTGGCTGCTTCGAGCACCGTCCCGCAAGGCTCGTGGTCAGGCGTGACAGAGATAGCGCCATTGTAGCTCTTCTGTGCGCACGAGAAGGCGGTTGCGCCGGCGGCAGAGTCGGTGATGAGACTGGACGAGGATCGAGTGCGCGACTGGCCAATCATGTGCTGGTCGATAACGAGCTGCTCGCTGAAGGGTGCGCCGTTCTGGAACTGCATGAAGCTGCGCGTCAAGCTCAGACTCGTGGGTCCCATGCCGTCAGACACCATGAAGATAAGGTTGCGCTTTCCATGGCTGTTGCTGGGCGTGTTGTATGATGGCGATCCTCCACTTGTCTTCTGGTAGACCACGGCAAGCACAACAACACCCGCCGTTGCTACGATCGCCCATACCAACAGTCCAATCTCACGCCATCTCTTCCATGGTGAGTCGCTAGGCGCAGTACGTTGACCGGTCAGGAGAGCGTCTTCCTCGGCAGTGTCGCGTTCCTGGAACTCTGAAGACGTCCGGTGCGAAAGGAGCGGGCGACTCATTGTGGGTGGTGGTTGCGGTGAAGGAGTGGCAGGACAGCAAACTGCCTCAGGGGAGCATCGTATTCAAGGGTTATCGAGATGATGTCCGGGGCGCAGCCCTGCAGCCGTGGACGGATGATCGGCATGAAGCCAAGCGCTTCTGAGACTAGCTCTATCTGCCTGCCATCATCTGCGCCCGAGGCATGACCGTCGTTGCTTTCCTTCTGACTCGTGTCACGAGCAGGAAGTGAGGGCTCCAATCATGCCTTGGTGAATGTGGCTTTTTCCCAGCTCAGAATAGAGCACGTTGCGCACGATTTGTGGAATAACGAGCAGGGCTGCTGGCGATAGTTTCGAAGAGAATCGACGTGGAGGCACTCGAAATCTGGTCACCACGTGTTTGGCAACAAGAGGCAAACGTCAAACCTCTTGCATGATTGTATGTCAACATCGCACGATCTCACAGATACTCTGGTTATCGGATCACTGTTATGGTCTGTCTGTAGCTTATCCTCTCCTACCTCCTCAACGATCTCACCGTTTATCCAACCGTCAACAAAGCCTGCACCAATAAACTGATACTCATCCCTACCATGTAAGGGCCTGGGAACGTACAGAGCATGACCGTCTCGAAGCACTGCAATCTTATCGCTTTGCTTCGCACCTGCAGGTAGAATCGCCGTTCTCCCATCGCTCAAAAGTGCCAGTCTCCGGCCATAGCAGGCACCATACAGATTGGCAAACATATCGGATGGACGGACCTTCAAAGATGGATCTGAAACAGAGGCTGTTGTCTCGATCACTTCCCATTTCAGCATCCTGCCATAGGTGTACTGACCCTTGTAGCCATGTTCCTTGCGGCTTCCCTCGGCGCAGGATCTGTTAGCTACCATACTCGGACGAATTGCTACGTCCAGAGCCGGGCAGTTGTTGAAACTGGCCAGAAACTCTGTGTGCCATCTATGAGGTGTTCGCCATGAGCGATCAAGTTGATCCCAGGCACTCGTCAGCATGGTGATCTCAGTCTCTTGCATGATAGCGCCTTGTATGTGCAGTTGTGAGCCCTTGAGACAGACATGCACAGGGCCGGGCAGCGGTGTGTATAGAGGACGGGTCAACGTTTGCTGAATCCACGAAGCATAAGAATACCGCTGCCAGACGAACTTTTTGTCGCCAGTCGGGCACCCAAGATGGCATCGAGGGCTGGCAGCAGGCGTGAAAACGTGTCTCAGAACCCCCAGTCCAACGCTTGCCTCCAAGATCATGCATCGTGCCGCGTCCACGAGAAGCTCAATCAGGTCGGTGCGGTAGTCGATCTCAAAGCGGGCTCGAAGCAAGTCAGACACGTGACATTGACTCCACTCTACTTTTTTGTGAGTAGCAAGTCGTCGACGTCCGCACGCACCTGCGCCTCGGCTGCAACACCACGCCCATGATCGAACGGTAACACGTAGCAATACTCGACAACATGGCTGCACCCATGGCGCCCTCGATGGTGCCAAAAGAGGAAGAGCCCTCCGCCGTCGACCTTGCGAACAATGAAGCAGGCACCCCCGCCGATGCGCTGTACGACAAATGCGCCCAAAGATCACAGGGCACCGTCTTCTTCCAGCGCGACTTGTCCAACATGCAAGTCGCGGAGACCATGGCTGAGCTCACCATGCTCCTGCAGGAGCTATGCGACCGTCATCTCATGAAGCTTATGACATTCGAGGGAGAGCCGTGCTGGAAGCTGCGGTCTCGCGCCGAAGCCGACAAGTAGGTGATCTTTACACACTCTCTATGATTCACTGCTGACCTGCGTCTAGACTCCGGCGACTGACACCCGACGAACGCCTCCTCTACCACCACATCGACCAAGTCCAAGCCGAGGGCATCTGGTCTAAGGCATTACGCGCACGAACCAACGTCACACAACAAGTCCTCACAAAATGTCTCAAGAGCTTGGAGTCGAAAGATCTGGTGCAGTCAGTCATGAGCGTCAAGTTTCCCAACCGCAAGATGTACCTGCTGAAGCACTTGCGGCCATCAGAGGACATTGCTGGAGGTCCATGGCAGTCAGAGGGCGACTTTGACACAGCGCTGATCGAGACGATATCAGGCATCGTTGCGCAACACATCGAGAATGAGACGTGTATCAAAGTGCCCGGAAACTGGAATGACTACGAGAGGCCAGACAGGACAGCTGACATGGCACAAAAGAAAGCGCAGGTGCAGGGCATACGAGATATCGAAGATGCGCCCGCAGTGAAGCCATACCACCAGCCAAGAGATCCGAACTCGTCCAAGATCGTACACAAGAACAACCCGCAATATCCAACCTCTGCCTCGGTCGCCGAGTGGCTAAACTCAAAGGAGATTCTGAGGGGCAAGACAGTACGAGAGGACGACATGGAGCAGCTGCTGGAGATGATGGTGCTCGACGGACGGCTCGAGAAGATTTCAGGAACAAACTACCGCACGGTCCTGACTGCGATCGACACCAAGGTCTACAATGGTTTCGTCGACGCTCCGTGCGGCAACTGTCCCGTCTTTGATCTCTGCGGCGACGAAGGAGAGATCTCGGCCAGGACTTGCGTGTACTTCGGGCAGTGGCTGGAGACGCAGTCAGAAGAAGTGTAGAAGTCGATTTCACCAGGCATAGCGATGGCGTTCAGGGCATTGATGCATTTGCGGCTACTATTGAGGAAATACCCAACCACATCTTCTTACGATCATTGCTGTCTCCCACCTCTCTGCCTCGATTCGGACTAACGCTGACCGCTCAAGTCTCGCTTCGGGTCTTCCAACGTTCACTGCCCCTTCAACCCCACCGTAACAATCCCCTCAAAGTCCATGTACACGTTCTCCCCCTCCCCACCCGCCTCCTGCACAAAAACCTCCTTCATCTTCTCCGCCACCTCCTTCGCCCACCCCTCCCTCTTCTCCTCCGGCCATTGCTTACTTAACATCCCCAGTACGAATTCCATTGTCGTCATGCAAACATCTGGCGTCCCACACTCCAAATGAAACTTCTTCTGCGTGATCTCGACCTTCTGAAGTCCCGCCTCTTCGAGCTGTTGCTTCAGGAAGGACACGTCGCCCCAGGGGCGTCCGTTCGACATACTCTTCCAAAGCTGCGCCTGACTCGGTAGTTCGGGGCCGTTGGATATATTCGCATACGTGCGGGCGAGGAAAGAGTACCAGGGGAGGGTCGCCCACGTACTGATCGCCAGCGTGCCTCCGGCTTGCAATTTCTCCGTAAGCTTCGTGAGGGTATCAGGCGGCAAGACAAAGATAGCGAAGCCGACGAAGATGTGCGTGAACTGTTCACCCACGTCACTCTCGTCGAGTTTCGTGCCGTCCACGACCTTGGTTTCCAACCCGCTCCACCCTTCCTCTTCGCCCCTCTGCTTGAGATAGCTCAGCATAGGTTGACTGATGTCGCCGGCTAGCACTTGTAAATCCGACCATTGCGCCCTCGGCACGGCTGCGTAAATCTCCGCCTCCACCGCACCTGTACCGCATCCAAGATCGAAGATGTTCACTGGAGTAGATTTGAGCGTTGTAAGTCGTTCGGCGACCTCAAACATAATTTTAGCGAAAGGCCGTGTCGCACTCTCAATGGCCTTGTAACGTTGTGCAACATCTGATGTCTGCCAGGCAGATGTAACGGAGGGGTCCACGTCGGGTTTGTTGGTGGTTTGGGCGGCCATGTTGTAGTGAGTGGGCGTGGACGTATTGGTTGAAAGTGAGGTGGCGAGTTTGGTAAATTATAGCTTGAATGCTTTGGTTGCTCTGAAGAGGTACATATCGCTGCTATAAGTACTTCGTCCAACTTGTCTATGTGGGTACCCGAATTGCCGAAGGCGGTTGGTAGTGCTTATGACCGACTCATGCCTCCTGTAAGCAACGCTTATCAAGTAACTTGAAACAGCAGTTCGCCCGGGGTTTATTAAATCACTTTGGGTGATCGAGTAAGCTACATATGCGAAGACATGTGGTCCTTAAGGAGACTTTGTATGGATAAAATCGTAGGGTTGATAACGCCTGGAGACCTCGGCGCACGAATTTTGGAGCGTCATAGATGCATAGGTTTTTGGACGGAGCGAAATTCTCACGAACTGGGGCAGGAACGAGTCGTTGCAGTTAAATTTGTGTTACGGCTTTGAGGTGCTGACCTTCCATCAAACCTTGAAGCAGCCCTCCAAAACGACCAACTATACCAGAAGCACAAGAATGCCCCAAATGAGTCCGACTGCGACACCCTCAAGCGTAAGCTTGCCGCTCTCATCATTCGGGCCTCGCCCCAAGTATTTTGGCGACTGGCTCGCTGCTTCAGAACGAAAAGACCATGCATGTCTGCGTCTTGTCAATATCGTATAAGAACACATGTTTAGTCGAGCTGTTTTGTAGTAAAGTGTTGTGGTTTGTGTCGATACAATAATGCGTATGCAATTATGGCACAGAAGGCACATCAAAACTCACGGAACGAAACTTCCATCACTTTCAGCCAGCTTGGAAAACTCCAGCATCGCCCTGACCACAGCGATGCCACTGCCTTGCGTCTCAACTGTTCGGCCTCGTCCACGATCGTTCAAATTGCGGGAACTGCTCGAATCTGCGTCCTCGTCCTTGTCTCCAGTCATGTCGTGGCCCGCCAAGCGCTCTTCATCGTCCTCTGCGTCGTCTAACATGTAGACCACCTCCTCGAATTGCGCCATGTACTCGTCTGGCTTGTTCCTATAATCCGTGGCATTTGCTTCTCGTTTCACCTTCAGTATCTTGTCACTGTGTACATCCGCGCCCCACCAACTGCCAAACCGGCCTTGCTCGTTCCTCGTCTGCAGCGCTGCTTTTGCGTTGAGTACCACCCACTTCGTATACTCTTTGCAGCTTCTAGCATGCAGAACACGTGTCTCACGACTTGCTGCATACGTCCTGCCCGGACGAACCGGTACAGATGGCAAAGGGGCGCAAAAAGTTGTGAGGTGGTGGAAGAAAATGCCCTTGAATGTCTGGCCGTTCTGGTTACACGTACCAGACGGGTCGCACGCTTCAGCCAAAACGCCATTTGAACCGAGACCAGCCCAGCTGGATAGGATGTCTTGCTGTGATTCGGGAATCTTGTCAGGCTTCTCGGGTTGAGTAGAGGCAGGAGCAAAGGCGTGTCCATCAGTCCAGCCAGTGGCGCGAATGACGTTGCGCACAAGCTCGTGTCCGTCTTCAAGGTAGGTCTGCTTGCCGGTTGCTTCCCAGAGACCTCTTAGACCAGAGAGAACGACGCCTTGGTTGTACGTATACACCATGTCGTTGCGTTCATCGCACTCTGTCTTGCTGTGGTTCGTACGGTAGCCGGCAATGTGAAATCCATCAACGTAAAGGCCTTGTTTATTCGTCATACCGCTGTTCTTCAGCCACTCGTAGCCGTTCATCGCGTTAGCCAGGTAGATAGGATCGTACGAGCTGTCACCCTTGATGCTCTCGTCGCACTGGTCGCCATGCTCTTGCGCGCGGAGGAGCTTGTCGTTCGCCTTCCTGTCGTTCCTGTCTTTGACCTTATCGTACTGCGAGAGAAAAGGCGAGCAATTTGTATCCCCTGGGAAGTGTAGGTACATGCCAATGCTTGCCGATATGAAGAGCTGATTCGTGATGGCGTTCTTGTAAGGCAAAAGCCGTGGATTCCACGTCATTCCTCCGCCACAAAGGCGCCAGTCCCAGCCCTTCTCAGCGAGTTCGTAGAAGACTCGCGCACGGTGGGCAAAGGCAGGGATGAATTGGCGGGCATGCCATTCAGGGATCATGGCGTCTCCCTGCGAGCCAGAAGCGTAATGTCCAGTGGAATGACCCTCAATGAACTGTATACTCTCAAGCCAACCCAACACAACCCAAAGTATGTCATCGTATGCTTGCATTCTTATCGCAAAGTGGTCTTCGCCAAAGTAGTACGTCGCAATCTGCCCGAAGTACTTGTTGATCTCATTTTCAACCATTTGCGCCTCGACATCGAGGTTCTTGGACTTGTCGAAGGTTCCAGGCATCGTGTAAGTGAGTGAGCGCGAGAGCGAGGCCAAGGTTGCTGAGACATGGGTTGCCATGACAGCAGCGGTCCAGTCGATTGCGGTCGTGTACTTTCCCAACCATATTGAGAAGTAGGAGCTTTGCATTGTCTCGAGGCCATTGTGCAGGTCTTGAAGTATGTTGGTCGTGAAGGGCGAAAATGAGGGCGCTTTGAGTACTGAGGCGTTGTTTGCTGTGTGAAGGGTGCGAAGGTGCGTTTGAGGTATGTTCTGGTCGCTTGTCTCATAGACCCGTGTATGTGCGTCTGTCTCAAGATCAGTCTTGCAAGGTACAATGGGCCAAGAGCGAAATTACCTGGCAATGGCTGGTCTGCAGTCTGCGCCACAACTGTAGTGATCGTAAAGTTGCTCAGAGACATGCTTGCAACTGCGCATAACCGCCTCAAAGATATCCTTCGAGGCATTGTGAGCTTGACCTGTACGGAGCGCTGCGCGCACTACATGCACCGACGGTAGTCTGATAGCTGGGACAGCAGCTGTCAATGTTATGTGTTTAGTGATGGGAAGCCACTGCTCCAAGAGCGATAGGTATCAATGTGCTAAGTTCAGGGCATGGAATGAATAGAGAAGAGTAGTGAGTGTCTCTTGCGAGGGCGGGACTCGAGCATGGTTGAGGGCAGATCAGCCGCGAATGCATGAGGCGGCCCAAGATCGAGCCAAGTTCACCTTCCCATATCAGGATGCGCCGCTTCTATTGTCACATGGTTCGGTGTCATCGTGGCTGCATGTTGTCGAGAGGAGTAGGCACGTCTGACACGGCGTTGTTATGCACTCGCAAAAAAGGTGCTGTCGTCCACGTGGACGCGATTGCTGCTCGTTCCACGCGAGATGGGATGGTTTGCGCACAGGCCGGCACCTAATCTTGGTTGCCGAGGGTAGCCCCATATCTCGCGTGCACTACCGGCACGATCGGTCACGTGCTAGCTTCACACAGATAAAAAAACACTACCCGCGATATCTCGACAAAGACTGCTGTTAAAAGATGGACGAAGTGCAAAAAGATAATGAACAGAGTGGGATTCGAACCCACGCAGATTTCTCTACTAGCACCTGAAGCTAGCGCCTTAGACCGCTCGGCTGGTTGTATGTTAGTGAATTGTTCTTTTGGACAAGGTGATGTTGTAACTTACCCATCTGTCCTGATGTTATTGATGGAGATCATGGAAATTGCATCAAATATATTCTAGGTAAAAATTCACCAGTGCGCGTTCCCCTGCTTAAAAAGTTTTGTCCGGCACCGCATACGGCATAGCACCACGGAAACCATTTACTTAACAAGCGGCTGCATAGTGGGCATTTTCTTCCATCGTTCAAGGGTCACGTTCCGCCCTCAGTCATCTCACTGATAACCGCTTAGTCTTCTTGCGGATTTCCGAACAGTCGTTAGACATGTCAGTTCGCATCCTTCACATCTCATCAAAGTACGGATTGTAAGAAGCTGTAACGTCACCTGTAGTTTGTTTGGACACGCCTTCTCAAACGTTCTGGCCAAGGGTCATCAGATGCGGATTTGTGATAGCTGTACACGCGTTTAATTTCGCGTGGTTAGTAAACGATCGAGTCACGTCTCCAATCTCATTTCTTAGCTGTTCCTATCATCCTTGCGAAAATGCTCTGTCTCCAGCATATGACTGTTCCATTTTGTCACCATCATCTCTCTGTATCGTTCTTGAAGTTGGCTGCTGAAGCATTGATCTGTGTCAAGGTTTTGGTGCTGTCCAGGCGGCACATAGCCACATTCTTTATCAATTTCTTCCGTATGTTTATCCAAAGTGTTCCTCGTCTACATGAGTTAGGTTTTCATGTTATGAGGGTTCACAGTAATGCGCAGGCTCCAGAGTGGAGTCGTGCCTGTGCTATGAAGCTTGTCACCTCATGAGCGCGTCGTGATCGTGGACGTGTCTACGCGCGAATTGCTCCATGACGGCCTCCGCTACAGCCTCTACCGCCAAGTGGCCAACCGTCAGCATGGCTCCGCCGCAGCCCGTCAAGTTCACGCAGTCGAAGCTCACATTCTTCAAAGCGAAAGACTGAAGATGATGTTGACGCCGAGGCTAAGCGCGTAGAGGCTGAGTCGACCGTCCTCGCCGTGGGTACAAGCTACAGCGCCGCCCCATACCCACCTCAACAGGGCTCGATGTAGCCACGTCAGATACCTCAATTCCTCCATCACGCACTTCTTCATCACTCCCTGCATCGACAACACCAATTGCCGTGGCTACAGCATTGACAGCCACTCAGATCTTCCAGCCTTTCGCAGAGAACGGTATCTACACCTGTCCATATTTTGTGGCAGGCAGATCATGTAGCCACACAAGAGATCAAGGCTGCCAATGCTGCTGATATTGTGCCGGCTGTGCTGACCACTGAGCTTGACGCTTAGGCATACGATATCCGCACGGTTCAATTCCATCTCCACATGCGGCTCAACGGGCTCCAGTATGGTATGACTGATAGACATGTCATACATTGTCCTATTAGATGCGAGACTAATTGGCCTTACGCAACAGGTGGGACAATCTGTCATCTGATAAGAGGTTTGATCGCATCACACCTAGGCTCTTCCTATATCGGTACTCATACCAGACGCGGTCTTGGTATTCGAGAAGCACGGGGTCATGTAACACTTGTTGCATGACGCAAGACGGAGATACAAAGGAAGATAAGCATGTGGACGAAGTCGTCCGATCAGTTTTGGTTGCAATACTTCGCTAAATTGTATGTGGGCTTACATAGCCTACTCTCTCGATCTTCTACTTATATCTCAGAAGAGGGTCGATAAGGATGCTGATATCAACCTGGAAGCCAGTGTCTTTGAGGGAGTCGAGGACAAACTTGCTTGATCAGGATTCAGCCGTACAAGGTACAGAGGTTGCAAAGTTGAAATCTGTGTAGTGATGCGAGTTGCGAGTTGGTGACGTTAGGTGAGTTGAGGTGAAGTTCTAAGGAAGTAGCTCGCGCACTAGCGTGTCTGCCTCCACCACGCGTTCTGAACTCGACATACCTCATACAACAACAGGACGCGATTTTCAAGATGAAAACGTGTTGAACTGATGAGAAGTGTCAGTTTGATAGGATTATACTCATAGAATGAAGGCATAACGAGGTGGTGTGAGGAGGGGATTTTTTGCACAGTTTGGACGTTTATCTGAGTTGTGAAAACGACACTACGCAACTGTGTGCCATTCTTACTTTCGGAAACGTTAAACAAGTCACCATAACTGTTCCGAGAGCTATACCGCTTCAGAGTCCGCTCATGGGGATTGCGTATTCGAAATCTGCAGAATGGAAAGCTCATGGTAGAGAGCAGGGGAGAGGCGTACGGATTCACCGATAGGACTAGGAACAGGTATCATATAAGGACCAACAACACATTTATTTCGAGCTTGCTGATTGAATTACAATGGTTGATATACACTATGCACATTTTGTCTGATCACCAGATATCTCCCGCCCATGCAATCCCAACGCGGAACGCCATTCGTCGCCAACGCCTTCGAAAATACAAAGTACATGCCAGCCAGAATACACCTCCCTCCACTTCTCTACTCAAACTGGTTCTCGCGATCGACCCATACATCCTCCAATTCAGCAAAGTTATGGAAATGCAGTGGTCGGTGAATGCTGTCATAGAACCTGACCGGAGTGTCAAGTCTGACATGAACCGGCTTCTTCTCGACCGTACCGAACGTGCTGCCCATGAAGCTGTAGTTCCAGATGCCATTGTCAGGCACGAGGAAGTATCCGCGGATCTTGTCAGACAGCAAGAGCTGACACTTCTCACCGAAGGAGGTGCTGAAGCCAGATGGGTTGTCGGACATGGTGTCCTTGTTGTCGGCGCCCCACTTGTAGCCCTGAGGTGTGAGTGCCCAGGCAGCGAGCGACACGGAACCGGGTGTGAAGGAGACGGTCATCGAGACGGTCTTCTTGTCCCAGCTGGCGTGCTGGTTCATCAGGCGCGCATGCTGAGTGACGTCGCTGGCTTGCATGTACGGTGGCTCGTTGCCGCTGACAGTGTGGATGATACCGAGAGGCTCAAGGCCGTCAAGGTACTCATGCTGAGGAAGCTGCTTGGGCAGCTGGACATCGCGGGTATTGCCAACCTGGGGGATCATGACGATGGTGCTGATCTCCTTGACCTGGTCGTTGTCTAGCGGCGACTTGCCATACAGGTAACCGGCAACCTGAACACGAAGGTCTGCAATTGTGATGAAGCGCTTGAGAACATTCTTAGGCATGACGTAGGTGAAGTGACCCTCTTCCTTGACATCTTCGGAGTTGATGTAGATGTTGTTGGCACGAGTGCGCAAGTTTGACGTGGCCACTGCCCTGGTGCGCCACTCGGTCTTCGAGGCGAATGAAGCCTGTTCGTACTGGGATGTCGTGGTGACGACCATTTCCTCACCATGAACGTTCTGCGTCTTGGTGGTGACAGCGGTAAGCTGCTGCTGCTCCTCTTGTTGCTTGTCGATCTCGGCAGCTTGCTGACGCTGCATCGAAGGTGCTGAAATTTCCATACCCAAGATGATGTCGCGCACTTCACTACTAGTGAGCGAAGATGTGTTGACGTTGTTCTTCTTGCCGTAGTCATTCAGGATGAGATCACGAAGCTGCACTTCGACCTTGATCCAATCCTCATCTGACAGTGAAGGCCAGATGTGATGCTCCTGGGTGATAACTGTCTTGTCGGGGCGCAGCAGCAGCTTCGTCTTGTCCATGTTGACGTGAAGAGCACGCAATATAAGGATCAGACGCGAGAAGGCGGTGTAAGACGAAATCGTCTTGAGCCACTCGTCGTACAGGTTGAAGAGCACCATTTGGGGTCCAGTGGCTCGCAAGATCATATCACCAAGCTTCTCCACCTTCATGGCGGCCTGGAATGGCAGTTGAAGCTCAGATGCACGGATCGAGATGTTGGGGAAGTCGAGCAAGTGCACCTCGAGAGGATCCAGCAGACCCTTACGTGTGACAATCAGCTGCTTCGGCTGCTCTTCGACGGGTAGAGATCGAATGAGAGCTGCGACTTCTTCAGCAGTCTTCCACTTCGCCAACTGACCAAGACGCTTCTGACCAGCCCATACACTCGTATGGATAATCTTCAGAAATAGCTGTCCGGTCCGGGGATTGAAAATGAAGATGGCACCGTTGATGGGCTTGGTCGTCAGGTTACCCTCGAAAGTCTTATGGATTGTGACACGGTAGACATTGGTGTCATCGATGAACAGCTGGATCTGGTTGCTGAACAGCTCAGAATAGTTCTGCGAGTTCAAGAACTCTTGGCTGCTCTCGGAAGCGTACAGCTGAAGACCCTTCCTGATACGCTCACGCAGAACGTAAAGCGCAGGGTTCGCCTTCATAACCTTGGCCATGGCCTGTTGAATCAGCTGCTTGAGACCAGGGAAGTACTGTCCGTAAGCCGAGTATAGGTTGTAGGCCAGATCGATACCGATCATGAGACCGGTAGCTGAGGGGTAAATACTCATGCTATCCTGAGTGTAGTCGAGGTACTTGGCACGAACGTATCGCTCGATGTCGTGAGAGTCGTAGTCACCATAACGAAGCTGGACATCGATCCAGAACTTGTTTGTAGTGGTGGCGCTCATTGTGTCCTTGGTGTCATACAACATGGAAGGTGGCGAGACACTCCACTTGTGGCTGGCGAACAGCAGAATATCAGCGCATGAGCTGTTCATCTTGTAGGACTTTCGAGGATGGATGGTCTCCTTCTGCACTGTCTCAATACCCAGGGCCTCCAGCTCCTGGTCGAAGACCTGGCACAGATCCATTACAACGGACTCGTGAATCTTCTGCCACAAATGGGCTCGGAAGATCTGAATCAGCGAGATCTTGAGGGTAGGGATCTTGCCGTGCAAGAAGATACCTGTCAAATCGAGCTGGACCTGGAAACCAACGTAGACGTTGGCTCGGTTGATTGTCGGTGACCACCAGAGCGTGAAACGACGATTAGGGATCTGGTTCAGACCGGAACGCTGGGCGTTGGTGAGCTTCTTGAACTTCATCGACTCTTCGAAACCTGTGAGATGTTAGCAGCTGCAGCAATAGGGCTGTATGATCTTTCAACGTACCTGAAGCCTTCTCCCAGAAGAGACCCTCCCAGGAGGGGAAGGCCGTTGCCTTGAAGAGTGTGTGTTCGAGAATCGTCTCAACACCACCCAAAGCCTGGATGACGTCCGTCCTGTAAGCGTTCAAGTTCCACAGCTTACCATCGTGTCGCTGACTCGTCCACCAGAAGGGATTGCTCTTCATGTGCTGGTAGATCTTGAACTCGGTCCTGGCACGGAAACCCTTGTCGAAGCTGAGTGTGCTGCGATCCTTCTGGAAGAGTGTGTTGATACGAGGCAGACCACGGTCCCAGCTATCTTCCAAGTCCTCAAGTGTCAAGCGTCGGTTCTGTTGCTGAGCTTCTTGACGCTTCTGCGAGTATTCCATCCAGACGCGCTGCGAGTCGCGGAACTCTGATTCCCAGGGAATGATGTAGCGGAAGATGTTGGGGATGAGCGTCTCCTCGTCATGTGACATACCAGCGCGGTAGTGTGTAACACCAGTGTCGGTCTGCTTAGACCAACGCTTGTCGCTTGTAGGAATCAAGATGTGAGATCCGGAGATCATACCAAGTCCACCAAGTTCCTTGGGTGTGTAGAATACAGCAGGAGGGAAACGAGAAGGCATCTTCGAGTTGAGACCAATCTTGACACGAGTCTGGATTTTGGTCTCGCATTTAACGATAGTGTCCAACAGGCTGACTGTGGACACTGCAGCCTCACGATAGTATGTGAAGAGTGCGATCAAGGTTGTGTTCCACTTGTTGGCGATCTTCGTAAAGGTAGTCGAACCAGATGACATCAAGATCTGTCGAATGCGGTTGTTGAACTTCGCAATGTCCTCCTCCGTCACCTGCAAGAAAGCGACCGCGGTTCGCTCCTTGGTTGCATTGTCGATCAGTGACCATACACTGTCCTTCTCAGGAAACTCGCCACTTTGGTTGCGGATCTTGGGAAGAATGCGGACCTCGAATCCGCTCATCGAGAAGAGCAGGTTGGGGTTATCGCGACTGTAGACGCTAGCGAATGTGTCGTCCCATTCGATGGTGGTGACCGAGCGTGGCAGTCGATTCTTCAAGTCCCAGAACACAGCGCGACCAAGGTTGACGTCGTGGCGCATGAGACGCATTCTGGAGTCGCGAGGCCAGCACTTCTTATTCTTATACCCGATGACGTTCTCGAAGTTGGGATCAGGGTTTTCAGTCAAGAATCGCTGGATCAGATCGCGTGACTCCTCGGCCGTGAACCTGAAAAACACCCAGATGCGGTCGATGTACCTTGTGTACAGTCGAATGGGGTGACGAACTTCAGTCTCCTTGTCCTTGAACTGCAGGAAGTCGTTGGGGCTCTCTGGCGCACCAGCAATTTCGTTTGCTCGCTGCAGGCCGAGAAGAAGGATATCGAGGACCAGTCCATAGAACTGGAATACGAAGCCAGAGAATTGCAGACCTCGGATCATACCGTAAGTGTTAACGTGGTTCATGTCCTTGTAGTTAAGCTGAACATTGTTCTTGGCGGTAATGTAGTCAGCCAAGTTATGGTCCATGATGAGACGCAGCAATCGGTTCAACATCGTCAGGTCAATCTTCTCGTAAACCTTGGACAGCTGCGTCTCGATCATCACATTGCACTGCCCGTCCTCGTGCTCCCACACCTGGTCAAGGTTGTTGATGCCCTGAGCCCATTTGTATGTCAGAAGAGGAGGCACTTCAGAGTCTGAGGGCTTGATCCAAGCGGGGAACAAGTGGCGCTGGTCAGCTTGATACCACAGGTACTGGTCGAGGTAGGCGTCCGTGATCTTCTCCATAGGCTCGATGTCGTAGACGGGATTGATGGTGCTGTAGTTGTCGTTCATGTCGATACCAACTTCCTTGAAAGCACGCTGTGTCAGCAAGAAACGCTTGATGCGAGCGAGTGTCGTTCCTGGAGAGTCGTACGCCTGCTCGATGAGGGCAAGCTCTTCACGCTGGCTCTGATTCAGTCGCCCCTTGACCGAGTAGGCTTCTCGGAGGCGCTCCAGAGCGAGAATAAGGATCTTAGTGTCGTGCTTGTATGAGACACTGGGGAAGGGGATTGGCTGGAACTTCCTCGCCTCCAGCCAGTGCACCATTGTTGTGTATATGGCAACAGCCTCTTCAGAAGATACGTATGGACCATCCTTCATGTAGTTGTGCTGGCGCTCCTGTTCGGCCTTCAGCCACAAACGTGTCAGACGACCCAGGTTCTTCTTCGCGACAGTCTTGTCGACAGTAGCACCTCGTCGAATGCGTTCTCGGTTGTAGTGTGCAACTGAGATCCACCAATCGGCCTTGCTCTTGACGTAACGCAGGATGATGTTCTCAATTGGCGCAGGCAGTCCAGGCACCTTCCATGGGATATTACTCTTCCAGCATCGCCACGCTTCCGATAGGTGCTGCAAGACTGTGTTGACCTTATTCTGCTTGATACCCTCGGGCATCATATCCATCAGATCACTCATGACAGCAGCGCGAAGCTCCAAGTCGAAGTGAGACTCTACACGCTGCTTCGTAACCGTCTTCGCAACGCCCTTGCTGTGTCGGCCCTCAAACTGACGCGACAGCAAGTTACCAAGCCAGCGCTCCAGAAGAGGAATGATACCGCGCATGAAGAAGAGCCAAACTCTCCAGGCAGGAGCCCAGAAACCGCATCCAGGACCCTTACCGACAGGACCAGAATTAAATCGGTAGTAGATGAGATGCTTGAGATCCTTGCAGGAACGAATCTGGTGCATAAGCTTGTACTTGTATCGGTACATACCAGTCAATTGACCAACATGGTTGAAGGCATACAAGATACCGTCTGCAAGCTGGAAAGCGTCGATGTTGCCCAACCTGTACTGAACCTGCGCGTCAACAATGAGCTTGGTCAACCGCAGGATCTCTCGCATCAAATGGAAAGCATTTCCGAAACGTGACTTTTTGCGCTCCTTGGTGGTGAGCGTTTTGACGGGCTTCAAGTTGAAGTTGTAGTCAAGATGCAGGTAGGTCAAGTTCTTGCGGTGGATGAGCAGGTTGAGCATGTTGTAACCTTGTCGGCAGACCTGCAGTCCTGCTTCCACCCAGTCGATCTTGGTCTGCTGGAAGAACTTCGTGCCCTTTAGTGTGCGCATCAGGTTTTGCTTGCTCTGTGCTTGTGGATCCTTCTTATGAAGCTCGTTCAGAACGAAAGTCTTCAAGAGCTTCTGGTATGATACCCGGACCTTGACTGGCTGGCCAGCAGGAACGTGCTCAAGGTACCACTGTTTTACCAGGGGCACATCTTGTGCACGAACCATGCGTCCTGATCGCTTGTCGAAGGGGTGAGGTGCCCACCAGAGAGCGATAGCTGAGGCTGTCTCAGGTGTGGACAACTCCTCATCCGCCATAAAAGGCTCCATCTCCTCTGGCATTTGGAAGTCGTCCTCGTCATCCTCGTCGCTGTCGCCGAACACCAAGTCTTCGTGGCTCACGGAGATGTTCTTGGGGGCTACGGCTCGCGATGAGATTGGATTAATGATAGGGTCGAAGTAGAAAGCAGGTAGACTAGGGTCTTCTGCGTGGACGTAAACAACCTGGGGGTACGAGTACCAAGCCAGCTTGACACTTCGAGGAAGAGAGTTGTAAAGGAAGGGGTACGAGACGCGATATTCTGTTCGGATGGGTGCACGGAAAATGATGCGATCAATGGCATTGAACTCGCCGAAATCCTCATCGTTGGGGTCAATGTCCTTGTACAGCGGCTCAAAACGAGGTCCTCCAGGGATTGCCACGTTTAGTGCCTTGGCTGTGAGGAAGCTATTCATGTCGAACATGTGAAAGTAGTTCTTGTCCACAATATCGCTGAGCAACTGCCTACTCAGACGATATAACGTGGCCATCTGTGGCAGGTCCAGGTTCCATGTCTCGTAGCTCGGTCCGTTCACGTGTGGGGTATCGAGGAGGGGTCGGTGCTCGTAGAACCACTCGACAACTGGATCATCTTCCTCCTCGTCGAGCTCCAGCTGAATGGGCTCCAAGGGTTCGACGTCCTCGATGTTCTCCGAGTACGATAGCGGAGGCTCCTCGTCGTCGAAAGGTGGGAAACGCATGCGCTTGAAGTGACGACGATCGCTCTTTTCCTTCCTCATTGCAACCCACATGGCCGCCCATTGTGCGTGGAAAACCGGCTCAATGACTCGCGGTACCTCGTTGACGAGTGTCAAGCATCCGTTGGTGTGGTAGAGGACCTTCACATCTCGTCTGCTCTCCCAGGGCATGGGCATGTTCTCCAGAAGCTTCAACACCGCATGAGGCATGAACTTCAGCGCACCAAGGTAACTCCTTTTGTCTGTGGTGAACTTCTTCTGTGACACATCGCCAATGTCCCTGAACACTTTGCGCAGATGCTCCGGAGGCAGGTCTGCCTTTTGTGTCTCAACGAACCCAGCCTTGCGCTTCTCGCCGAACCTCTGACGCTGTTGTCGCAGCCAGTCCTTCTTCTTCTGCGCAAACTTGGCCACCTGAGGATCAACCATTTGTCGCATACCGGGAGGGCCTGAAGCACCTGGCGCGCCGGGAGGTCCAGGAGGGGGAGGTGGAGGCGGCGGTGCTCCATATCCAGAGCCAGGTGGGCCTGGAGGAGGCGGCGGTGGAGGGGGAGGTGGGAACGCCATGCTGAGTAGGCACTTCGTGGTTGTGTTGTGTTGTGATGTAGCTTAGAGGCCGAGTCTCCAAGCTTTGCAGGCGACAGCGCGCCGCGGTCGATGTAGAGAAGTCGCGTCCGCGCGCGAATTCCAGATCGGTCGCTATAGGCTCCGAAAGGAAAAGGATACAGATGCGCGTCGGACTCGATGTGACGCTCCACGCGTTGCAGCGATTGGCGATGGAGTTGCTTCCCTAGTGGCGTCGCAACTTGATGATATCTTTTCGACGCGCTAGTAGGCTGCTGCTTCCACGTGACCGAGTCGCGCCTTCCTGACAATTGTCGCACGGACGCTTCGCTAAGGAAGGCGCTAGTGGCAGCGCAGCGCACTGGAAGGAACATCTCGACGAGATTTCACGACATCACGACTACTAACGCCCAGCGGTAAGCCAGCCCCAGCGAAGCCCTGCCCAATTCCCGCAGACCGACGACAACATCGACTGCCTCTCCGCTCGATTGTTCCATCCGAATTTGCGCTCGACCACGAAACGAATTTTCGCTCACGTTCTATAACAGACAATCACCCACTGATTCCCCGGGAAATCAATCACAATGCCTTCCACCAGACTCACCTACGTACGTCGCACCGAACAACCGAGCGAGAATATCAGAGATGGAATTGCTTGGACGTGTGTTGGATAATGGCTAACACTGGGCAGAGGCGTCGTGCCCCCTACAACACCAGGAGCCAGAAGGTCCGCGTGATCAAGACTCCCGGTGGTGAGCTCCGTTACCTTCACATCAAGAAGAAGGGCACTGCCCCCAAGTGCGGTGTAAGTGCAGTGCGATTGCATTCCGCACACCCATTCTGACAGTTTCTAGGACTGCGGTACCAAGCTCGCCGGTGTCCCTGCCCTCCGCCCCCGCGAATACGCCACCGTCTCCCGCCCCAAGAAGACCGTCCAGCGCGCCTACGGTGGTTCGCGATGCGCCAACTGCGTCCAGGACCGCATTGTCCGTGCTTTCCTCATTGAGGAGCAGAAGGTTGTCAAGAAGGTCCTCAAGGAGTCTCAGCAGAAGAAGCGTTAAGTGGTGATGATTCGAGGGTAACTGGGGTTCAAGCATGTCAAAACTGGGGCTATCGGTGTTCATGTGCATTATGGGCAGTCTCCTGGTTCGGTTGACTTTCACGATATCACGGCGATTTCTGCGTCACTCTCCGAAGTCCACCAGGACAGTAGCTGAGTAGGATCACGAATACATCCACAAGCTGCGCAACACAACTACGAGGTGCATGACGTGTGACGAGGGTGGGCACAGGAAGGATTGCAAGTGAAGGACCAAGGACTTCATGCTTGATGTTGGAATCAAGCACGAGATTCATGGAAGTCTGTCGTAAGGCGCTACTGGCTCCGCTCTCGCACGGCTTGTCCCTTGCCTGTGTAACCATATCCCCTGCCTGTGTAACCATATCCCCAAGTTTCCCTTGTCTGTTCCCAATGTGCTCCTGTTTCTCCAACGAACAACAATGAAGGTGTCCGATGTTGTTGGGGCAGCTTCAAGGCCTCTCTGAGATATTAAAGATGTCCTGTTGTTTCTCATTCACCAAATCAAGCAGATGTTGACAAACCCACATACTGGGATGAGCTACTATTTGACCTTCGAATCAGACGGTAGCTCCATAATTTTAGCAGATCCAAGAGATTCAGTGACTCGAACCCATCACCTTATCTTGTGCTTTTGCCTATCTAGCCGACGTTCTACCATATGGAGAGCGCCATTCTGCGCTCAATAGCGTCGGGGACAAGTCGATGGCTCCAAAAAACTGCCAAACTAGCAAGAAACGCCCAGCGTTACCCTGGAGTTCGCAATTCACAGCGGGTACAAGCGGAGTTGAGTAGCCTGAAGAGGCTGGAGAAGCGCGATTCAGCATGGGTTCGTAATTTCTGATTGGTGAGTCAAAGTGCGTCGAACTCCACAGCTGTCGAGCCCTTCAGAGCCCACCGTTCGGCGGCATCCTGCAGGTGAGCTCGAGCCTGCATGTTCTCGAGAGCAGTCCTGGTAGCGATAGCCGACGGGAAAACACATGACTGCCTGATAGCTGACGTGCATCGCCCTGAGTGCGGGTTGGTGACAGAGTCATTCTCAAATTCCCTCCGACCCCGCTACCAAAACTCTACTCACGGCGAGCGAGCACAACCTCGGGCAGCGATATCGGTGCTGCAGCGCGCAACAGCCTGCAGGAGCTACACCTCACCATGATGTCCATGTCAGACCAGCTCTCTCCCACAACACTGGGCACCGGCCTGCCACCGCAAGGCTTCGCGACCAGCCCGCCTGGCCAGCAACAGCGCGGATTCAAGCGCTCTGCATCCAGCGAGGACGATGACTTCCAGAACGGCGACGCAGATGGGTCACGCCCAGCTTCTGCGCGGCGCAACATAGCAGTGAAGCGCGCATGCAATGAGTGTCGCCAGCAGAAAGTAAGTATCTACATAGGCAATTGACCATGTCACCCCACTAACGGAGCGCGTGAAGCTCAAATGCAACGTGCAGCGCGACCCGTTCGTGAGCTGCAACCGCTGCGTCAAGCAGAACCTTCGATGCGTCATCGAGCCCAACTTCAAGCGCGTGGGCAAACGCAACCGCAATGCCGAGATGGAGAAGGAAATGGAGTCGCTGAGGGAAAGGCTGGCCATGTACGAGGGCCGCACACCTATGCCTGGTCAACCACTGGTCAACCAACCACAACCGCCCATGGACCACCAGAACAACTTCGCCGCAACACCACTGCTTAAGGTCGAGGATGATGCATTCCTACAGACACAGCACCAGCAGGTAGCAGCGACGTCACTGCTAGACCTGCGCAGCGGCCAGTCGCCCATGTTCTACACACTGGGTGCAGGCGAAGTGCGATTGGGACACGGCGAGGTCAACGAGCTGTTCACCGAGTACTTTCAGCTGTACCACCCATTCTTACCATTCCTCGACCAGGTGCGCTCGCCTGAGGAGTACTACAACCATGACCACAAGCTGTTGTTCTGGGCCATCGTCAGCGTTGCGGCACGGCGCTCAAGCAGTCGACCAACGCTGTTGAAGGACCTCGCAAAGCCCTTGACAGATCTGATTTGGGACTCGGTCCGGAACCAGCCGAACCATCACGTTGTCAAGGCATTGTGTCTGCTGTGCACATGGCCAATTCCGGCAGAACGCACCGTCACTGACCCCACGTACATGCTGTGCGGTGTCATGATGCAAATAGCAATGCAGATTGGCTTGCACCAGCCCACACACCCTCAAGACTTTTCGCGCACAAAGGTCAGGCTGCAGCAGGAAGACATCCATGACCGCTTGCGCACATGGGCGGTTTGCAACACCGTAGCACAGACGTGAGTCATGGCTTCTGTACGTGCTCAATCAATCACTGACAAGGCCTAGTGTCTCGACAGGGAACGGCCAGCCCTCGATCACCCTCTACGATTCGACATTGGAGTTCAAGGTCGACGACGAGGACCACATGCGCACGATACCACCGACTCTGTTTGTTCGTTTGCGCCAGGAGATGGCTGCCAGCCGCATCAACAAGCTCTTGTACTCGGCCAACACGCACCGATTCGCGGCCGAAGCTGCGACAACATACATGACATTGGAAGCAGATCGACTGAAGGAAGAGCGAGGGTCGTTAGATGGAGTTGACAATGGTATGTTCATGTTGAAATTCCCAAAACAGCTGGCTGACCTTTGCAGAACTTGAAGAGCTTTACCATTGTGCGGTGTGCTTACATCTGCACCTCTACTCCTTCTTCAGCCCCGAGACTCGATTGGAACGCCGCGATGATTTGGTCGCCCTCTACTACGCAGCCACAACTTACCTGGACCAGGTCTTCAAGCTTCAACAAGCCAGCAAGCTACCTTATGTCCCATACTACATCATGCAGATGGCTCTCGCCGCCGGTTTCGCTCTCCTCAAACTTCTCAATTCGGATTTCGCTGGGAGGCTGCCGTCGAAGGGGCGCCAGTACGTGCTGCAGACAGTGGAGGCACTCAGGCGATCCAAGGTCTGGCCAAACGATCTTCTGGATCGCTTCGCGGAGGTACTAGCGCAGCTGTGGAAGGAGAGCTCACGAGGACGCAGTCTGCACAGCATGTCTCAGTCGCCATCCGTCAGTAACTCTGGGATTGCGAACATGTTCAACAACTACCCCCAATCCCAGCAAACCACACAGCAGCGGCGAGAAAGCACAGGCATGCTCGAAGATCCTCTAGGCCTCATAGTTCGCAGCCGCATGAGCATGAGCGTAATGTTTGACTGCGTGTGGCGCTGGCGTGAAGCACAGGTCAGTGGTGCAGCAGAACAACTCGACAACACCGTCGTTACGAACCCTACGAACCCAGATTCCTCCAGCAGCTCAACACCTCCGCCAGGTACCATCGTCGAAAACCCCGCGCATACCATGCCAAACTTCAATCCACACCTGAACACCCTGAGCATGCCACTAGCTCTACCCCAAGGCCTGGCGAGCGCCAACAGCTACGAATTTTTCGACTCGGTGTCATGGATGCTGGAAGCGCAGACAGACTGGAACCAGTACGGGTCTGGAGGATTCGGTACAGATTTCAACGCTTAGAAACGCGTCAATCCACGTGTCAATCCATCGCTCCAATCGACCTTCGCAAGCGCGCCGCAGAGTATCGCATCCGGGGCGTCGAGACCGAACAGTCAAATCCTTTCCGATCCCACCTCCCATGTCGAGGCCGGGTCGAGTCACCAAGCCAACTCGAGTGGAGCTAGAGGAAACTTGCAAGTGGATTCGTTCAGTGTCACCGGTCCACTCTCGAAGAACTGGACGCTTCCGCCAGGCACGCGCAGGCATCTCGATATACCGTGAGAATTCGTCATCCGACCCTCTCACTACTCTCCCGCCGACTTGGAGTTGGAGCCTCCTAGCATCTTATCCGTACTGCTACCACTACCTGGAGGTTCTTGTTTCCTCATTCTTGTTTTAGATTTTAGCGTGGCGTTCACGGTCACGGCGTGAAAGGGAGTAGTTGAATGCCTTCATGTTATCATCACTGTGGGCTTGCATAGTCGTCCATCATTGTACTTTTTATTGTCCGACCAAAATATTCGGTCAGACTATACGGCTTTTTCTGCCACCAAAACTGCTATGCTGTACCATCCCTTGCTCGCTTTTCTCCTTCAGCGTTCTCCCTCGTTTCTTGACGGTACCGGCTAATTCCACCTTGATGACAACACAAACTCATGCATCGATTAGACACTCCAGTAACATCTCACTCCATTTTGACTCGCCATTCAAAACCTCGCTCTCGTCAGTTCGAACCGCACGTCGCCTCGCCGTTCGCTCCGCTCGCTCAGCGCTCCCGTCTACGAACCTGACACCCGTGCTACGTTCCTCTGCGCTGATCCAAGTCGCCTTGCGAGGTTCGGTAGTGGGAGTAGTAGTATCGGTATGTGAGGTAGACTTGTTGCTCAGTATCGAACATATTGTCAAGCCCGATTGAGAAGATGAACCGACCGTCGAAGACACCGTGGACGCTTCAACATCCACACTCCCCGCTCCGACCTTGCGACGCCCATGCACAGACGTCTTCCCGACCACACCTTCTCGCCCAAACTGGACGCACTCCCACGCCCTTACCGCAAGCGCAGCAACATGCAACACCCCCAACACAATCGCCATAAACACCGCGAATCCCCCAGCAACATGGACATCCACATTCAACCCAATACACCGATCCCGCAAACTGAGCGGCACTTTGTTCGCACCAAACTCCGGGGCTGGATGCAAGAGGATGGCGGGAAGGCTGCAGAATGCGATCGCTGTGGGCAGGCTGACGAAGTAGGTTACGATGTGGCCGGCGAGGATGGCGAGCATGAGGATGTCGAGGATGCTGAGGAAGAGGTTTTGGAGTTGGGGTGAGAGGTGGGGGTGTAGGAGGGGGTGGTAGGGGTATGATGGACCGGTTGATGCTTCGGCAGCTTCAGAAGCGCTTGCAGTTGAGCTGTGAGAGGAAGGCCGCGATATCGTAGACGTAGGTGTTCCGCGGCCGTGTGCTGCTCGACTCCAATCGTTCACGTTCTCGCCCATGCTGGTACTGATGTCCTTCTCCTGATCCATACTTCCCCTCGAGTCTCCCTCTCGCCCGGCCGCAGCTCCCAATGCGCTTCCTTGCCCATGAAGAACCGCACACCACCAATCCAACCCCAACAGGGCATGCACGCAATCCATCGGAACCTATCCACGCGTCAGCCTCTCTTCCTCACCACCCCTTACCACCATGCAACTCTCATCAAACTCACAAGCACACCCACCACCACCCACACACCAACGCGCCACCCATTTGCATGCTCAGCTAGAAAGTCTTTCACCCACCACTCGGGCATCTTGTAGTTCTCGACTAGTGTGATGGTGCTGATGTGCCAGAGGAGCATGAGTGTGAGGAGGAGCGCGGCTATGAATTGGAGGGTGGAGATATAGATGCTGGCTTTGAGGATGCGATGGCGTGAAGTGGTGTGGGAGGGTTGCAGTTGGGGAGAGATAGATGGGAATGTCATGGTGGTGGGGATTCGTTGTATGGATGTTGCGGCGAGAGTGATTGAGGATACGACTGAGAGATGATGGGCGTAGGGTCAGGCAGGAGTAGATGCGAGGTGATGAGCTGTCGTCTTGTTACAGTCATGAGAGCAGATTGTTCTTTCCTTTCTTCCTTCGACATCAATGATGATTTCAACTGAGGAAAGCACAGCGTTGATGCTTCCGAATGTGAACTCTTACGTTAGATTAAATTACTTGAGGGCCATTGTGAATCTTCGGATTTCCAGCATTTTTGCATTTCTCTTTTTGAGAGCTTGACTTTACAATATTGATATTACAACATCTACTACCGACAAACAGTACCGGTAGACCGGACGTAAGAAACCGAGTTAAGACACTACCGCCAAAAAAGGCAGATGTGAAGCTGTCCACAGCGATATCGCGTCATGCTAGGCCTGAATATAACTTTCATCGAGAAACTTTACGAGCCCGTCCATCACATCAATCACTCAAATCCAGCACATTGTCATCACCACTCCCGTACAACCGCCAAACCGCACTTGCGTCCACCATCGCAGCCGACAATGCCGCCAACATAGCCGGAAAGACCATCCTCACTACTGGCGTGACTCAAGGCGGTCTAGGCGCAACATTTGTCGAAGCAATTGCGCAGTACAAACTGCGCCTGCTCATTCTCGCAGGCCGCTCGACTGAGAAGGTTGGTGCCACCGTGCGCAAGACCAAGTCGAATCCAAGGAGCTCGGATGTTGAGATCAAAGTCCTGGAGCTCGATCTTGCGAGCCAGAAGCGTGTGCGACAAGCAGCGAATGTTGTGTGGGGCTGGCAAGATGTGCAGCACATCGCTGTCTTGGTCAACTCCGCGGGCATCATGGCTGGCCCGTACAAGACCACGCAGGAAGGCATTGGGAACCAGTTCGGCAGCAACCACATTGGTCACTTCTTGTTCAAAAACTCGATCATCCCAAGATCCTTGCTTCTCCCAGCCCTCGCATTGTTAATGTGGCCAGTGATGGCCACCGTTTCGGCGGGGTGCGATTCGAGGATTGGAACTTCTAAGACGGAAAGGTGTATGAGCAGTGGGAAGCGTATGAGCAGAGCAAGACAGCCGACATTTTGTTTTCGAGAGCACTTGCGGAGAAGCTTGGGCCCAAGGGCTTGAAGGCGTACAGTTTGCATCCTGGTGTGGCTTTTGGTACTTCGCTCGCATCCCAGGGGTAGACGGACGAAGACTTGGCGGCATTGGGTAAGTTGGAATCTGTGCGTTGGATGTAGGAGGGGCTCACAGAAGTAAAAGGTGCGAAGGACAAAGAGATCGGCTGGAATCGCGAACTGGACTTGAAGAACCTGGATGAGTGTGCTGCCACACATGTCGCTGCCGCTTTCGATCCAAGACTCGATGATACGTATTGCAAATTCAGACTTGACCGTATTAATGATACGCTGACACGAGTAACAGACTACAATGGAGTATATCTCGAGAATGGAAATCTTTCTGGTGATTTGTAACCAACCGCCACGAATCCAGCCGATGTCGAGAAGTTATGGAAACTCAGTGAGAAACTGGTTGGCCAAGAATTTGCTTACTAGGAGAGTACATGATGCGCAAAAATTCAACACAGCTATCAGATCTTAGTTCAACGTTCATACTTTCACACGTCTCTGTTCAGCCAATGCAGATTAACTGGGCTCACCAACCCAGCCTCGCCCTTCTCTAGCCACCCCAGCAAGTTCTCCATCCCTAGCTTCTCAAACCCAATATGACTCTCTACACTGGCACCTGCCGTGTGACTCAGCATGATGACGTTTTTTCGCGCTGCCAGCCGTTTGTTGACATGCGGCTCATCAGCATGTACGTCAAGGCCCGCCGCACCCACGGTTCCATCGTCCAGCGCTTTGTCCAGTGCAGCCTCATCCACCAACTTTCCTCTACCTATGTTCACCAATCTCGCCCCCTTCTTGAACCGTCCGAACTCTCTTTGGCTCAATAGAACATCTCCATTAAATGGAGTGGCTAGAAGTACACAATCACTCTTCCCCAGCAATTCCTCCAGCGTCTCACAATACACCGCGTCAACCTCCTTCTCCCTTTCTTCCATCCTTACAACATCATAGTAAACCACCCTCATCTCGAATGCTTTCGCCTTTTGCGCAATCCTATACCCAATCCTGCCCAGCCCTACAATCCCCAGCGTCGAATGATTAGGATTGTGCGTTACAGCTGCAATGTTACTCATCGCGTCTCTGAATCGCTCTGGATCACAAGAGTGCGCAGCCTGGCAAGACCAAGAGAACAAGCGATAGACGGCTAGAATGAGGAAGATGGCAGCGTCGGCGACGGACTCGGTGCATGCGGATGCGGAGTTGCAGTACACGATGCCCCGTTCAGCTAGGGCTTTGGTGTCAACCCAGTCGAAGCCTGCGCCGGCAGAGGCGAAGACTTTGCAACTTTTTGGCAGGAGTGGGCTATGTGAGTTATCGGGTTAGTGTACGTGAGAAATGAAGCAAAGGGAAGGAAGGGGTACATTAGCTCAGCATCCCAGTTGCCCATTTCGCCGCCTGTGTTCCAGAAGGGGCGGTACATGCCTACGAAGTCGCCCCAAGTTCTGTCTTGCAATGCGCGTTTGCAGTCTTCTCGTCCTGTGGAGTACGTTCTGATGATGTTGAACTTTTGCGATAGTTCGGCGTATAGGTCGTGGTTCCAGCGGATGTCATCGCCGAGGTGGAGAATTGTCGGCTTTAGCTTGACGGAATCAGTCGGTTTCGATATTGTTGTGATGTTCGGTGTTATGTCTTGCGTGAAATATCGATGAGATGATGCTGTACCCGCCATATTCAGACAGCAAGAGTATCGAGATGATGCCTTTGTTCGTCTTGAGTATGTGTATAGTCCACCAACGGTAAGCTGCCGGGCCCGCTACAAATCGTGGCAACGAAACTTCGAAGCGTTTTGTGAAAGAGCGGTTCCAAGAAGCTCAAATATCAAACCGAAACGCTGTTTCCACGTGTACAACCAACGAAGCCGGTCCGAGGATGATCCAGGAGCAGAAGCGGTAGCCCGCTGCATGTGAATGCATTGATCACTCACCCCTCATCCGGCTGAAGATCCGGGAGCGCACAACACTGTTTGGCTGCCCCCCCCCCCCCCCCCCGGTATATTGATACGCGTACGATGTATAGACGACCGTGTCTGGATAGGTAGCGAAAGGTGACGATAAGGTTATCAGCACGCCATCTAATCACGTCCTCCACGTGGTCCGGCTTACCCTGTTTCATCCGTCTTGCATATAACCGGCGCAATCCCGGCGGAAGATCATAAAGTCTGCAGGGCCAGTAGCAAGGCGGTATTCGTGGAAGAATCGATCCGGTCTCTGGGCGTCTGGGCGACGTTGTGGTTGTTCGCAATGTTGTATTGATATGGCACCGAGTTCACGGCTGCTGAAGGTAGCACGGAGCCTGCAAGCAATGGCCGAGTTGTTATTAAATTACAAAGTACTATACAGTGAACATTCAATCGTGGGTATCATGGCTTTTCTGAGCCGAAGTGTCGAGTTGTAACTTCTTGAACGCCATGGCAAATCCGCATATTACTGTACAAATGAAATGCGTCTGTCCCTTACAAGAAATGCATTAGGCCCATGTGTCCGGTGCCTGTTGCATTGGCGTTGTTTGCTGCCTGTCCCTCAAAGCCATACTGTCCTACCATATCGTCAAAGGCCTGCCAATCCATATTACCACCATCCATGATAGGGGAATCGTTGTTCTGTCCGTTGGTGGCTCCTGTTGATGTCATGTCGTCAAAACTCAAATCTCCGAAGTGCATATCAGGTGCATACACGCCAGTCATGAGATTTGCACCATTGGGCATAACCGGTTGTGCAGATGTTGCAAAGCCAGATTGCGTTGTTTGCATCGAATGCAGTGTATCTTGAACATGTGAGATCGTGTTGAGAGGTGCGTAGCCTGATCCGTCCATAACATCGAGAATGACATTGTCAAGTCCAAAGTCTGTCAACTGATTAAACTGTTGTCCTGGGCTAGTACTTTGGCTCCCGAACCCAGTCAAGCTTCTGCTTTGCGCCCTCTGACTCTGTCCAAAGTCTTCGCCTCTGAGACCAGTAATGGGTCTGTTTGTGTTAAGACTCACTGGACTCTCAGGCCAGCTTGCTGGAGTTGCGTGTATCGGCACTTCGCCGAGCTTGGGAGCTGATGGTCTCAAGAGCTTGTCCAGATCTTCTGAACTTGGCTGATCGACTGTGACGGGATTGAGGGTGTTAGGAGCGATCCACGGGAAGTCAGTATTGAGATGTTGGCCGTTTCTGACTGCTTGGCTCGTTTGTTCGAGTCTGATCTCCCTCTCTCTCGCCGCTTTTGCCTTAGCTAACAGTTTCCTGAGAGGTTTCCACAAGTATCTTTGCTGACCCTTGCGGTATGGCGATGAATCGTTAAGTGGAAACCACCAACGTCCGGCTGTGGCTTCAAGAGCGCGCCAGGCACGTTCCACCGCCTCGCCTTTGGTGCGCACACATAGCTCAGACAGCAGGAAGGCGATGGCATGCCATTGCACATAGGTGCGGAAGAGCCAGCCCCACTTCATTGTGCGAGCCTCGGTTTCGAGCAGCATGGAGTATTCGACGTTCTCGAGTGAGGTGATGAACAACTTGTCTTTCGTTTCTTGGGGTAATGATGCGCCTCCGTCCTTGCGCTGATGTGGATGATACACAATCAACCACATCTTGCTCATGATGAGCCTCGATATCGTTGCAGTCACCCAGCAAAGTGGAATCGACATGTCGCAATCCTTCAAGTACTTGTCCTCCATCTGTTGATGGCACTCTGTGATCCACTTTTCCTTTTCGGCGATCGAAAAGTTGGCGAAAAGCTCGGTGCACCTGACAGGTCCAGGAGGGATGTAAAGAATGCGGCGGAAGATGTTGGCGACTTCAAAGCGGATAAGACTGAAAGTCATATCTGTAAAGCCTGTCCGCTCTTGAGGGCACTCGGTCATATCGGGATGCAGATCGGTGTCATTAACGTTCAAAGGCTGTCGTAGTATGTTAGCAAGCGCTCGTAACGGGACACACCCAATGAAGCGTACCATTTTGGCGTCGAACTGCGCTTCGACAATAGTAGGATCGCATCCATGGTCTTCAGATGACCTCGCGTCCAGAATACAGACTTGCCACCAAAGCCTCCTACGCATCTCGATCTCGAACGGTGCTAGTCCGAAGTGACTGCCATCCCTGTGTATCCCCAGTGTTTGCGCGATACGCACGACTAGTCCAGTCAATGTCCATATCTTCCGTGCATCGTCGTTTCTGCGCAGTAAGATGAGGAAGATCACAAAAGCTTGAAGGATGACAATCTCGTCACAGTACAAGAAGTTCGCTCGGGCAAGGGCCTGCTCCAACGCAAAGCGATACCTGATCAGAAGCGATGACCTGTCCTCCCCCCAGTTTTGTAGACACTCTTCCGCTGTCGTACTGGTCACAGCTCCGTAGTAAATGGCGAATAGTAAAGACTCTAGGCCTTTGCTGACTTTCTCAGGATACTCTAGGGCGTCGTTGAAAGTTGGCTCGAAAGTAGGGGTGTGCAGCACCTTGACCAGGGGCTCGACGCTGTCTTTGTAGGCTTCCCAGAACTCACGTGCGATTTCAGGCGTAGGGTGCAGTGCTCGCATATCGACACTGGTGGAGCTCAGACCGAAGATGTATCCCTGGTGTTGGCCTGGTTGTTCGGATGAGTTTGGCGAATTGGCATCGTCCTCATCGTCGGAAGGCTCGATTAGGACTGCTTTGAGGTCTTCGACTTCGTTGTTCAGACTAGCCCAAAAGCTGTTGTTGATGTACCGACTTCTGCCCTTCTTGACGACGAGCCTACCGAAGCGGCTTTCGAGCCCTTCGACGCTATTGTCCACTACCACAGATGGGCTGTTCTTAGAGCTACCGTTGCCGAAGCAATGTTCACTCACACTCTCCTGTCGGCTGCCATTCTCGCGTTCGCGTTCTGCAGCTTCCTGCTCATGTTCTTCGACTTGCGCATTGAGGTTCTGCACGACACCCTCCAAGCGCCGCAACCTTTCCAGTAGCTCTGCATCAGGTGGCTTTCTGCTCTTGCGCGGCGCACGTCCAGGTCCAGGGAAGACGCATTCAATCTTCGCCCTCGCGCAATTCGAGCATGGCTGCTTCTTGTCGCATTTGACCTTACGCTTTCTGCATGTGATGCAGGAGCGGGGGTTCGACGCTAAAGGACCTCCGTTCAGGCTGCCGTTCTTCTGTACGCGGTCGGACGCGTTCGTGCTGTGAGTATGTTCGTCAGACATGGCTGTGCATGGGTAAGGTCTTTCTCTACAGGCGGCTTAGAGAGATCTGCCTGAAGCTCTCAGGCTTGCTGACAGAGCTCCTGCAATAAATCTCAAAGACCCTGGTACGCTATCGGTGGACGAAAGCAACCGACGCCTAACGTCAGCCCGCTAACGCCCGCAGTGGGGATTGGTAATAAAGCTAAATTGGCCAGTGAGTCAATCAAAAGGGCTGAAGAACCCGAAAATGAGGGGAATCGAATTGTGAAGTTCGATGAGGCAGCAAAAAAAATTTAATTTTTATCCAGGATGCGACGCGCCTGCACCTGTAACGTATTCGTTTGTTGCGGACGCGCCTGCCTTAAACGCCGACGATAAGTCCGATTGGGTCATGAAACCCAAACTCGATCTGATAAAACCACACTCGCTCGTCCCTGACAAGCATGGTCGCTCGTATTCCAGACTCGTTTCATGCAGTTCTCGAGAAGTAAGGCCTGAGTCACCGCTGCAAGGCCCCCAACCAGCCTTTTCATCCGTCGTTGGTGGTTGAATCAGGTCTGCCACTCCGTAGATCAGCTCAAAAGCAGCTGGACGCGGAACAATTCTCAACTCCTCATGCCCAGTATCACTAACAGCTCAGTTTTGCATCGTGACACAGGAACTTATAAGCAGTGAAAGTCGAGACGTCTTGGTGCTTCCAAAGCGGGTCACCGAGTCGACGAAACGGAGTCCGTGGGCTGCATTTCGTACTTGGGTCCGAAGCGAAACCCGCCATATCCGAGCATCTGATAAGCACCGGGAAGTCTAGCTGGCTAAGCTTAGTAGCCCAAGCTTTGTGGGGTAAATCACAGGGTCTGTCTTACATCTACGGCCGTCTTCAGATCATCCCGTGGAACTGTTCCTAGCTCGAAAGTGCACAGGCTGCAGACGTTATACCGGCTGTAAGTGTATATCATAGACAACGATCTATTCTTACGATAGGGTATCGAGATAGGCGCACTTTATCCAATCTTCCCAACGCCAAATCTCCCAACGCCAATGACCGAATACCAATTGTAAAACAAGCCGTTCATGAAATGGTAGCTTGAGGCAAAAAACGAGCTTTAGCGACGCTCGTTCCTTCCTCCAATGTTCCTTTCACGAGTTCGTCGCGTCTTCTCTACAGCCAAGGAGTAATTTCTGTCTTCCTCCTCGTCCGCCAATTCTTGCTCGACCTGCTCCCTGATCTTCATGATCTGCTCCTCAGTGATTCCCTTGGTGTTGACTACAACACTAGGTGCACCCTCCATGTACCGCAGGTTCTCCATGGCTCTTTCGACGAGCTTCTGTAGTGCTGGGTCTGTATTCAGGTTGTCGTGTCGCTTTGTGTTGTGTAGGTCCGGATACAGTCTGCCACCACCGTTTTCCTCACCCTGAAACGCTTGAAGGTATGGGATGTGAGTTGGCAAATCGTCGTGCAATGTGGCGCCGACACAGACGGCAGTTTCGTGGCACCAGGTTCGGGCGACGTTGCGAGGTGTGTATCCTCCACCCCCAATAAGGATGAGAGGGCGTCCGAATGACTTAACAGTCTCAATGCAGGAGCCATGTGCTTTGATATTGAGATTAAAACGACCGAGACGATCTCCACCAAGAGAGTCGGCGCCTGACTGAAGGACGATGGCCTGAGGGTTGTACTTCTCGACTACCTTGCTCGTGACAGTCTTGAACAGCGACTTGTATTGATGATCGTCGATGCCATCGTCGATGGGAATGTTCAGGCTGTGTGCTTTACCGCGGTTCGCTGGATCCTTTGGACCAATCTCGTCGATGTTGCCAGTTCCCGGGAAGAATGGCCAACCGTGCCTGTCGATACCGTACTTGTGGAATGAGAGAGTGAATACACGGTCGGTTGACTCAAAAGCTTGTTCTACGCCATCGCCGTGATGGACGTCAATATCAATATATAGGACTCGTTGGTGCTGGGTCAGCAAGAGCTGTATTGCGATGACGATATCGTTGACGTAGCAAAAGCCAGAGGCTAGGTTCTTCTTCGCGTGATGCAGACCGCCGGACCAGTTGATGGCTATGTCAGACTGCTTGTTTAGTAAGTTGTAGGCTGCACTCATGGATGCGCCGGTGTAAAGTGACACATAGTTCCACAAGCCGTCGAAGACTGGGCAGTCATTTGAATCACCACCGAAGCCATAAGCTATGTACTGTGCGTCATCAGGTTTGGCGTTCTGAGGTGTGATTCTGCGCATAGTCAGAAGCGTGATTCAATCGTGATAGGGCGATTTCGTAACTTACTCGCTCAGATATGACAGGTACTCGCGGTCGTGGAAGATAGCTAGCTCGTTGAAGTTTGCTGGGCGCGGTTCGTAGAGATCCATTGTATACTCGAGCCCATAGGACAGCACCAGCTGTTTGGTCAGAGTCAATCGCCAAGGCTTCATTGGATGCGAGCTTCCGAAGTGGTGATATTCCACGTGTGGGTTGTAGTGGAAGGATACATTGTATCCTTGCGGCCTCTCTAGTCCGTAGTCTTCAGCTTCCCTTGCGATAACCTCTTGCTTCTCTGAGTCGTTGAGGCTTTTGAAGTCCTGAAAATCTCCGGTGTAGATATCGTTGACTGGCGAAAGGTACTCTTCAACAATATTGTTGGAAGGTCTGTTCGACATAGGGTAGCCAGAAACGCGCATGATGGTGAATTGGATGTCGAGGTGGGGATGCCATCGTTGTTTGATTGGTAGGCTCTTGACATTCTGCCGAGCTGCACGTGAGGCGCTAGCCGCCAGGTTCCTGGCTTAGCTTGTTAGGGCTGGATGCACAAAGTCGAGAACACTTACGCGCCTCAACTAACGTATATCAAGTAAGAGTTGGAATCCTGCAGTGAAAGTTAAGTTCGAGGCTTGCGAGATCAGCAGGCAGTGACTGAGGGTGTTGCTCGACCTGGTCACAGTGCGCTTGCACTTACTTGCATCAGAACTCGCGCTTTCACTACGAGCAACCATCAACAAATCCTCAACTTCCATCATTTCGACAGTCTACTAGGCCACTCTGAAACATCCTGAGCACTTTCGCAGCGACTGTTTTGCTGCGCCTGAGGAAGGTGGGACTAAATTTGCGAACAACCTCATCCAACTCTATCATCGACGGTATCTCACTATGGCCATCGCAGAGGACGCTGCCACTATTCTCGAGCAGTTCATTCATGATGGTAAAGTCAAACTTTTATATATGAGGGTTCATGAGCTAATCGTAGCCAGTCGCCAATCTCCCAGCAGAAATCACGCATCTCTATGAGGAGGTGCAGGCAAAAGATGCACAAATCCAAGAACTACGGGCAGCGATTCAGCAACGCGACAATAGTCTTCAGAAGTTCATCAAGCTAAACGGCAGTCTGGTCGTGAACCCTAAGGAGGAGCCCTACAACAAGGTCGTTATCCAGAACTACGAACGAGCACAGATTCTGCAAGAGGAGAAGATTGGTCTAGTAGAAAAAGCAGCCGCACTTGTAAGCTTCATAATCGAGGATCAGAAACACTACTAACAACACCTTGCAGCTCGATCGATACGTGAAGCGACTGGACATCAAACTGCGAGATCTCCAGAGCGATGGATCTATACCTGCAGATCCACAGATGCCTTCCCTGCTTAAAGACTCACCAGGAAATCTAGTACCCCCTCTATCATCGTCAAATACAGGCGCTAGCATTCCACTACACCCGGTCTCTGGCAACCAAGGTGGAGGTGCCCCCAATCTTGCGCAGGCAGCTGCAATCGCACGCATCACAAACGCCACAAACGCGAACATCAACCCAAGAGCAGCGCCGATGCAGAACATGCAGACACAAGCTCTGCTGAACCAGCAGCGACTAACGAACGCACAAAGCGCGATCCAAGCTAGTGCACGATCAGAACGGGAGCTGTCAGCAGGAAGTGACAGCAAGCGACGCCGACCAACAGGCAACATTGGGCCTCTCCCAGCAGCCCCCTCATCTCTAGGTCGACAAGGCTCAACTGGGCCGGGAACGCCCAAACCATCAACTCCAGGTTCACGTGCTGGCAGCGTAGGACCAAGACATGCTCTCACAGTAAAGAAGGCTAAGCCGCAGCAACCATTGCGCAAGGCTGCCCTGACCGCCAAGTCTGGGGTCAGCAAGAAGCGTCGCAAGGGTGGATCGAGAGCTTCACCCTCCACGACAGCTGAGGATGAAAGCGTAGCCAGCGATGCTGGTACAGAGGACGAGGAAATGTCTGGTGTTGCTGGAGACCCAGAGGAGGAGGAATCTGACGACACCAAGTACTGCTTTTGTCAACGCGTTAGTTTCGGTGACATGGTGGCTTGCGACAACGACAACTGTCAGTATCAGTGGTTCCACTGGGAATGTGTGGGGATCAAGGAGGAGCCAGTGGGCGATTGGCTGTGCCCTGAGTGCAAGAAGCAGCCGGCACAAAAGATCAAGCGGGTGCGTTAACGTTGTGGCGCATTCCAGATATCTACCGGCAGCGGGAGAGGCGTTGGAAACGGCAACCACGACCGGCGTGTCGCCCAAGCTCTTTGGTCTTGTTATATACCCTTATGAAATTGAATGTCTTCACCCCGAAATGATGTGGTCCCCACTATGAGCTGCAAGGATCGCCGTCTGAGCCCGTTACTGTGGGCATGGCAACCGTCTCGATCGTCAAGCTCGTCCCTTGACCAGGGTCTGCGTACCTCGTAAAGCAGTTGCCCGTTTTGCGGACGACCGTTTGGCAGCCTTGGAAAGAGCCAGTCTGGTGACAACATGACAGAACCACACGCGCTGAACTGCACGGAAAAACACTCGACCTGATCGGCGCCTGACCACACAACGCGCACCATCAGGCCTTCTCCAGAGCGCGCTCCACATCGCGAGCTTTCGTGGCATGCAGCGGCGCAGGGCGGGCCAGTGCCATTCGTCGACGCTCCAGGCCAGCTGCAGTTAGCGCTTCGACTTCCAACAACGCTCCCCAGCCAAGACGCGTGAAAGGGGGCATCACCGACATTTGGACAGGCGAGCAGGCGGGTCAAGCATTCCCTCAAAAGCCTGCTAGTCCCGGCACCGCGCGTTGCAGGCTCTCATCGCTCCCTCTGCTGCTGCGCTGCGGGGTGTCACGCCGGCGCTGCCTCTCTCCCTCCACGCTGTCATTCCAGCAGCATTGTGCACGCCGCTACTGTTTGATGTCGCTCTTTCACGCTCGCAACGCCGCCAATCGCGACTAGAAGCCGAGGCGCGCCAATCCCAATCTTCCATCACAGTCAGTGTTTCACGCTTGCCCAGCAGCCGCAGCGCCCTCCGGCGACATCTGCAGGCCTGAACTTTGATACGGACTCCGATACGCACCAGGCACGCCAGCAGCGACAGCGGCAGCCCGCGCTGTGAAACACCGTGAACGCACCATGAACACCCGTAATGGCACGCTGTCGCCCGTCTCGACTGACAGCCAGGAGTGGTCCCCCATAACTCGATACACGAACCTGGCTAGCGAGAACCCATATTCGCCCACGCTGCCGCCGAGCACCTACGGAGGGAGTCAGTACGGCGGCAGCAGCACCGATGGAGGCATGCTCAATGGAATGCGCCAACAAGGAAACGGCAACCCGTCGCCGCCCAGCTCTGTAGGCCGCTCGAGTGACGGCACAGGGCTGTATGCCGCCAGCCTCGCTGGCAGCGAGGCCAGCATGAGCAACAGGAAGATGCAGGTCCTGGAGGAGACCATGGCCGAGCACTTCAGAGTGCTCAAGGTGTACCTCGGGCCGTATTTGAACGACGCGCAAGGCAACCCCCGACCTAGTAGAGCCAAGGACAAGCTTACGAGGCTGTCTGGCGTGCAATTCCAGGAGCTTAGTACCGATGTCTACGACGAGTCGTTGCGAAGGGAGCAAGACCGCAAGCGTGGAGGACCAGGCGCGCCAGGCAACGATACGCCCAAGTTCCTGCTGCCCAAGAACAACTTCCACCCAAAACGCAACCAGGCAAGACAAAAGCTGTCTACGCTGCCTCTCGAGCGCTTCCGCCAACTCGCGACCGACGTCTTCTACGAGCTGGAAAGGAGATTCCCACGATTCACCACTGGTGATATGGCGCGGTCAGCGAGTCCTGCAGCCAGCATTGCGAGTCGCATAAGCAACAGAGGGCCACCCAGCCGTTCAGGGACACCTAATGGGAGCATGGACAGCAGGATGGGCGGCCGGCCATCGCCAGGTCTCGGATACAGAGGGCCGCCTCCACAGGGAGACCCACGAGGCATGCAGGGGCCCCCAGGAGGACTCGCACCAGGATCGCAGGCTAACGAATTTGGGCGACCGCTTCCAAAGACTTTTCAACAGAATACCATTGTGCCGAACAAGGGCACATTGGTAGAAGACGACGATGATAGCGCTGCGGATGACGACGATGCATTCAACCTAGAAGGTGCTGCAGCTAGACGGCAAACAAACAAGAGTGCCAAGAGCATGAGCATGGCGCAAGAGAAAATGGTTACAGAACTACAGAAACAAGTCGCAGAGCTGCAGAGCAAGACCAGTGCCCTGGAAGGCACGTTACAGGACAAAGACGAGGAGCTGCAAAAGCTAAAGGATGCTGAGGGGACCAGAGACAGCGTAAGTTTGGTCAAGTCAAACGACAGCCTCCTACTTACACAAATCAGACCAATGCATCAGAGCGCGCTGAATGGGATGAACTTCGGTACTCGCTCCAAGACAAAGTAGAGAAGGCAGAGAACCTGAACGCATCTCTACGATCAGAGCTAGACAGAATACGCAGCGACCACGACGAAGAGCAGAAAAGCCTTCGTGCGCAAATCGCCGACCTCGAAACGAACCCACCACAACAAGCATACAACAACGGTAATGACGAATGGAGACAACGGTGCGAAGAGCTGGAGCGCGAGCTGAGCGAGCAGCAGCAGGTTGCGGAAGAAGTTCGAAGAGATGCCTCTACGTTCTTGCAAGAGATGCGCGAACTGTCTGCACGCAGCGATGCTGCTGTCGAGAAAGAGGAACAGCTCACAAGCCAAGTGTCGACATTGGAGGAAGAGCTCAAGGAGTGGAAATCTCGATATGCCCGTTCGAAAACGCAGCTCCGAACGCTCAAGGCTTCATCAATCGGCTTATCAGGCCTCGCATCGCCGGATATTGCCAACTACAGCCATGACCCAAGCTTCTCGACACCGGATGGCTTGGTTAGAGATGTCCACGTCACTAACTTCCAACTCAGTATCGACGAGCTTCTCCAGAAGGCACGCAGGGTGGATTCCGAGCAGACACTCGAGAGCATGCGCAGTGTAGTCAAGTGTGTGCGTGCAATCACCGGCGAAATCGACAGCACGCCGCTCTCACAGATGCAATCGCCTACTAGCAGCGTCAGTGGCGACTTGATGGCAAGTCCGGAGAAGCAGCAAGCAAAGCTGAAGTCACGCGTCAGCGCTACTGCCAACAACCTCATCACGGCAGCGAAGAACCATGCCTCTTCGAATGGCCTGTCACCTGTCAGTCTTCTGGATGCTGCTGCAAGCCATCTTTCCACCGCTGTCGTCGAGCTCATTAAGCTCGTCAAGGTGCGACCGACACCAGACAATGAATTGGACCGTGATGGGCTAGACCGCGAGGAAGTCGATGACATGCCTATGCCGCTGAAGCCAACGGTTTTCAGCGGATACAGCGCTTTCACGCCAAACAGCACAAGCAATAATACAAGCGACAACAGTAGCAGCAACAACACCAACGGCGTAGGTCCTGACCGTGGCCACCAGCGTGGGCTGAGTAGCAAGGGCAGCAATGCGACCGGCTACAGTGCATACAGCTCACCCTACAGTGGGTATGGTCGTGAGAGCTCAGACTCGAATGGTGCAAATGGTGAGATTGATAATGGCATGACAGAGTTCAAAGTAAGTTAATCGACGTTGCCTATCCGAACATACCTAACAAACGCCCAGAACTACCTTGAGGACCAAACTGCCCTCCTGGTACAGAGCATTCAGCCACTGGTCAATCTTATCCGTTCCAGCCCCGACTCCACACCAGCCGAGGAGCAACAGATCTACACCTACATCCAAGACATCTCACAAGCTGTTGACGACACTGGAGACCGCACCTACGATGCTGTCAAACAACTTTCCAACCCCGCTTTGCAGAAACATGCAATCCCTGTTGTTCAAGTTCTTGATGACTGCAGACGCGATATGCTGGACATCGACATCCGCAACGGCGGACGCGACAAGATCCCTCCACTGGCTTTTAAGACGGCCAGAGCTCTAAAGGTATGCGCTTCTTCGTCTCCTTGTTGTGTCTCTATACTAACGATTGATAGGAACTCGTCCTTCGCATCGACCGCATCGAGTCTGGCGAATTGACCGTTGAGCAGACTCTCAAGACCGACTTCTAGTCCCCGCAAACAGTCCGCGCAAACGACTGACGTTTGCAATCGCTTTCAATGAGCACCTATGTAACGATCCACTTCCCTGCTTTTACATTATACCTACAGCCTCGAATGTGCTTCGACGCGGCGTTCGCAGGTCTTTGATGGGTAGCGTCTTATGCACCCCTCCTGTTGTTTGCAACCTGTTCATGTTGGATACCTCGACTCGCTGCTATGCGAGCATGCGACATCACGAATGGTTTATACCTTACCCTACCTATTGCTAGTGTCTGTTATCAAGGGCGGGTTCGTTGTGCACTGCTGAGTGCTTGTGTGATCGACTCAGTTGTATGTTCCAAGGGCAATACTAGTCAAACCGAATGTGCTAGTAGCAGCTTCGCAAAGTCGGATTGAACGTGTACAGTTACCTTGTAGTAATGATTTGAGCCTGTGGATCACTTCATGATACCTCTTAGTTGCTGCTTCTAAGGAAAAAGTCGACCACCGACCGCTCCTGCAGGATTGTGGCGCTCACCTTCCTCATGCGACGAATGCAATGACCCCACCAGCCACAAATTCGCGCTCACCTCGGCAGCAACTTGGCATTCAACCTCATGACTGCCTACATCAAGTAAAATGAAACGGACCAGCTCTTCAATCACTCTTCATACGCAGCCCGTCGCGGCATGACGTCACGTTACGTACCCCATGTGACAGAATCATGTGGGTCACTTCCACACTTGTGGCTGTGGCTAGATGCTCTTTCTTCAAGTCTGCGCGCTTTGCTGCAATTGCACTTCAGACTCCAGAGCTGTTTACATCACTCTGAAAACTCCCAGCAGCTCTATTTCGACATCAGGCGCAAGGCCGGGTGAACAGACGAGTACTACTACCGTAAGAGGAGGACTAATTAGCACTGCACAATGGCGTTCCCCGGGCAGCAACAACAGATGCATTCGCAGATGAATATGCAGATGCCACCGTACAACGACTCCATCCTGACTATTACCGAAAAGAGTTGTGCCGATCCATATGTGCTTTGGGACAAGGGCACATACTACATGGTAAGAGGAAATGTAACCTGAGAAGCAAGCCAGTGCTGACTCGACAAGACCTGGACTACCGGTTGCTCAGTCGAGATCTGGTCAGCGGACAGTCTGTTTGACTTCGAAAAGAGGTGCAAGAAGGACATCATTTGGTAAGCAGTGTCGGGATCAGCACAGCCGACCATTGTTCCCTATTCGCACATTTGCGTGCTGTACACGTTGAGATCCGTGATTGACTTCAGTAGGTGGGCTCCGAAAGACCAACCGTACTCGGGCGATGTATGGGCGCCAGAACTTCACGCCATCCACGGTCGCTGGTACGTGTACTTTGCAGCCGATGACCCAAAGCATGGCAACAAATCACACCGCATGTTCATTCTTGAGGGGCCACCTGCAGACCAGTCGCCTCTAATTCCCGATAACTGGAAGTTCTTTGGACGTGTCGGCGGGCTCCCGGATGACCAGTGGGCCATTGACGGCACGGTCATTACCCTTGGTGGCAACATGTTCTTCGTATACTCGGGCTGGCCTCTAGGTGTTCACGAGAACGAGTCGCGACAAGAGATTTATATTATCCAAATGACCTCACCAACACAATGCACTGGTCACCCTATCCGTATCAGTACACCAGACTTACAATACGAGTTCTCCGGCTCCAGTGGTATCAACGAAGGGCCACAATTCCTATGCTCGCCGGACGGGCGCTGGATGGGCCTTGTGTACTCATGTGCTGGCTCCTGGACCCACGAATACAAAATGAATATTCTGTACTGGACTGGTGGTCACCCCCTGGACCCGCGATCGTGGGCCAAGTCGAACCGCCCTCTACTTCAAGCCAGTCATGACGACACCCCACCCTATGGCCCCGGCCATGGCAATTTTGTGCTTGTCAACGGTCCCGGAGGCCCAGAGGTCTGGGGTGTCTTCCATGCAACCGATGCGAAGACTGGCTGGGAAGGTAGGAAAGTACGTGTTATGCGTGTTGGCTGGGGCCATGGTGGACCGTACATGGGTAGTGGGGAGTGTGGGAGGTGTTGTGATGATGTGAATCACTTCATCCAAGGCTGTCCTGGAGGTCAATGTGGAGGCAAGGGTCACGCTGGAGGAGCTGGTGGGGGTGGAGGGCAATATATCCAGGGAGGCGCGCATGGTGAGCACGGCAACGCGAGTGGGAGTGCGCACATGAAGAACGAGATGAAGAACTTGATGAAAGAAGGCAAGGGCTTGATCAGTAAGTTTCTCAAGTAAGATACTGTAGACGGCATTGGCACGCCTACGTGGGGTTGTGGAGGTGTACGCAAAAGTTTTGAAGAGGGATATGTATGAATACGAGTACGGCTCAACAGTATATGAAGTTTTCTTGTTTCTTTGTCTATCTCTGACTTACAAATGAGGAGGATTATACTGGCTCAGATGTAGTTGGATAAAACGCAGACTTGTATATCCGCATACAATATGAAAGCTATTGACTTTTGCAGTTCACACAAAGCTATGGTCGTACTCGGGACTCCAGAAGTTCCGTCGTGCTGATCTTTAACTCGGGCTACGTGTTTGTGGATCTTACTCCGACCCTATTCACACCTACAAGGAGTTCGACTCCCGTATCATGCCCTAGTGCTCGACCCACGGTTTGCCATTTTCGGTTGAGGTTACTTGCCTGACTTCGTAACCGCGAGCCGCTCACATGTCGTCGCTGCCCCACTGTCGGATGTCGCGCGCACTTTGGTCAGGTACACCCCACAATTCGGCCGACCTCACGTGCTCGCTTGAGCGTCGTGCAGCAAGACGAAACATCGTGCTAGGCACCAATGTTTGTACCCGAGGTATAAAGAACAATGTTTGCTTGGTAGTAAAAGACATCATCAGATCGATCTTCTCACCAATTACTCACCATCCACTACAATGGCCAAGGTCTCTGGGATCTGCGACTCTCGCTTTGCAGCTGTGAAGGACTTGCTCCAGTCTAGGATCGACGCAGACGAAGAACTAGGAGCTTCCCTCGTTGTCAATATCAACGGCGAGAACGTAGTCGATATTTGGGGCGGCTACGCAGACACCGCCAAAACCAAGCCCTGGGAAGAAAACACCATCACGAACGTCTGGTCCTCCTCCAAGACGGTTCTCAGTCTCGCAGCCCTCCTACTTATCGATCGCGGCCTGCTCGATCCCTTCGAGAAGGTATCCAAGTACTGGCCAGAATTCGGTGTCAATGGCAAAGAAGATATTGAGGTCCGACATCTGCTCTCTCACTCCTCGGGTGTGTCTGGCTGGGAAGGTCCCATCACCGTCCAAGACGTCTGCGACATCCCGACCTCCACCGCCCGCCTCGCAGCGCAAACACCATGGTGGACTCCTGGCACAGCCTCAGGCTACCACAGCCTGACCATGGGCCATCTGCTCGGCGAACTCATCCTCCGCATTACAGGAAAGTCTATTGCGCAATTTGTCGCCGACGAGCTCGCTGGTCCATTGAACGCAGACTTTCAGTTCGGCGTCCCCAGCTCCGAGTACCACCGCGTCGCCGAGATCATTCCCCCTCAGGCACCGCCGGCAGACTGGAAGCCTGAAGCTCCCACAGACGCGGCAGGCATTGACATGACCAGTGTGTTCGCTAAGACGCTGCTCAACCCAATAATGGACGCCAACATCGCCAATCAGGACTTTTGGAGGAGTGCGGTGGTGCCAGCGGCAAACGGGAACACCAATGCTCGCGGCATTGCTCGCCTCCTCTCCTTCATCTCATGCAACGGCACGGTTGGCGACACGAAGCTGTTGGACCCAAAGACTGTGGATCTGATTTTCAATCAACAAACACTCGGCCCCGATCTCGTCATCACCGCCAAAGCGCGCTTCGGCGTCGGGTATGGGCTCAATAATCCCGGTCCCGGCGGAGCAGGGTACTGGGTACCGGAAGGTAAGATCTGTTTCTGGGGTGGCTGGGGAGGCAGTATGGCGATTATGGATGTTGGACGCGGTGTGACGATAAGCTATATGATGAATAAGATGGGAAATGCGGGGTTGGGGAGTGGGTTGGCGAAGGGGTATGTTTGGGAGGTTTATAGGGCGTTGGGGGTCGAGATCCCGGGGGAGGAGGATGAGGTGAAGGCGTGAAGAACAGTGACATGTTGGTGTCAGCAGTGGAAAACATTGTCTCACACCTTTGGGGCGTCCCATTGATCGTAGCGATAACCTACAGCTAGTGTACGCCATATCACGTGTTTATTAGCAGATGACTGAGGGAGACTTTCGCAATCAGCAGAGATCTCCCTCAATCGCTCATCTCCAAGATGGCGAAACCTGCCTATGCAGAGTTCCTTGCCGTGGCTCAAGGCGAACTCAGGTGTGTCCTGGCATGTAAGCTTTTGGGGCGGTCTGTCGACATTGTAAATTGTTCATGTACCGGTATGAAGTCCATTCGTCGGGCGATGCCAATTGTGGTCAAAGTCGACGGTCGGATAGGTCGGCTCGAAGGTCTGCACTCGAACCTTGCTGATCGTGACGCTGATGTAATGTAACTACGTGGCCTAAGTCACATGATATTCTATTGAGGAAGGCACTGCCCGAGGGGCAAGTGCACTTACCTCTGGGCTGAGAGCTCCTGTACACAGACACCACCAAAACAACAGATAGTAATACAATCATTGAACACAGCCCCCAACCAACACTGCTCACGCAGTTACATGTAATGCTCACGTGCGTCGTTTGTTCTCTGAGCATTGTCTGTAATTTGCTCAGCTTGACATTGTGGGGACGTGTTTGGAGTCGTACATGTAACTGATGATAACAATATTGTCTCCAGTGGGGTGACACCTTGGAAAGCTTGAACTTGAAGCTTGTCGTCCGCCCACTTCACCGTAATCGAACGGCCTTTGTAGGCCGATAATAGAAACGATAGGATTCGAACATGACAATACCAAGCCGCGAGGTTTTGGTTTCGACGTGTCTTGTCCTATTATGAACAACTGACACTATATCTTTGACACTATGCCATTCGACCATTACCTGGTGGTACATCTCGTATCCGTAGTAACTCAGAGGGAGCCAAATGTGTCCGAGGGCTTACATGATTGGGCAGGAGCACTGGGACGTAAAGTCACATCTTCCGCGAAGAAGAAGAACAAAATATTGTGAGCAGGTGGATTGGCCTTGGTAGACTCGCTCGCCAGGTGAGGACACCTAGGTTGCTGCCGCCAGCAGCTCTTGAGCCAAGCAATTCACTCAATGCTCAATAGACCTACTACAAGCGATGCACGGAAGTTTTCGACGATGTTATACTCGACCGTATTTCGGAAGGCTTGTCTCTTCTCCAAAGCGAACGTCCGTGGGCCATCTGGATTCGAACATGGTATGGCAATGAGACAGCCTCCGACAGCGGCTCATCTAAAGATACCATGACTCGTGCAAGTGCCGATGAGGCGTATCTCCGTTTATCACGAAGAGCTCTTCACCCCATGGAGCATCATGGAGAACTCGATGACAACATTGCAGGTCCATTCTTCTTTGACAACGATGCAGCTGCCTATGGAGTGAGGTCGAGAAATGCAGATGATGAGGTCGAGTTGATGGGAGAGATACCATCATGCGTTCTGAGTGCTATCATGCGGTATCTTGATGCCATGGAAGGGAGCAGCAAGTCTGGCTGGAAGTTTAGGCTGACACAGACGGATGAGCAGCTAGCTTTGGATCAAGCGTTACTTGTGCTGGTGGCAGACCAGAAGGCTTTTGAAGGTGGCTGAGTCTTGATGGTTGCTCTCAATCATAAGGGGCAGGTGCTGTGCATGCGTCAAAGATGCAAGGCGTATCAAGTTTCTCTGAATGTAGCGTTCTGGAGGGATAAGGGTGAGCCGTTGGATATAGGTGGAGAAGAAGAGGATGTGATTGACTACCGGGACGCGGATGGGTCGGGCAACGGCTGGGATGACGACGCCCCATGCTGAGTCTTGCCATTCGACTATTTCATAGACATTGAACTCTCTATCATTCCAACTCTTCATCACTGTATAGCTCGACCTCATCTGAGTCGTTAGAAGAATCATTTGAGTCCGAAGATACGGTACGCCAATCGCCCCATTCGTCACCATCGCTATCAGAAGGCGAGTTGATGATGAGTTCGACACTCGTTTTGGAGTAAGCCCTGACCATGCGCTCCCAGTCATAGTCCAGCTCCTCAGCAGGCACCTGAACATTGAGCTGAAGAACTTTCAGTTGAGGAACCATTGTAGTATACTCGCTCGCCATGCGCTCCAGAACGGGTAAGAAGTACTCTTCGTCAGAGCCCCATCGTATTGTGAGGCCAAGAACCTCGAGTGCAGGAGGCAAGAACTCTAAGACAGTCGCGGAAGCGCCTGAGCGTACGTCCACCACCATGCGTAGAGGACATTTCAGATGTTTGAGCATCTTAAACTTTTCAAGACCGCCGTGATCTGGGCCATCGGCATCTTTGTGCCAAGGATCGTGGAAAACATCGAGACGCTCGAGAGACTTTCTTTGGCGCCACAAAGCACTCTGCAGCATGGCTCCAGATCCGTCCAGCAGTACGCTCTCCTGATTCGCGTCAAATCGGAAGCTCTTCAAACTTCGTGCCGAGCTGATGAGAGTTGTCAGTGCGTCAAAGCGCAGGAAGCATTCTTCCAAGATGAGCTCTTCGAGATTGTTGCAACCTTCTGGAAGTACACGCCTTAGCTCGGCTGGTGCTCGCATATCCAGTTCAACCTCACTCAACTCCCGCACTTCAAGCTTTTGCAAGGATTGCAAACGTAAAAGAGGTATCATGTGATGTATGACCATATTTTGAGCGTCAATGCGGACCGACTTCAGGGCACTAAAGCGATGCGCGTGCCCAAAGTACTCTGCAGTCGTTGCCTTCTTAATAAGTTCAGGCCATTTAGCTTTTGAGTATGCTGAGATCTGCCCATCCTCAACATCGAGTGACACAAGATTGGGAGTATGCAGCATGACAGCCGTGTGTAGAATGTCGAGCTCAATCTTGTCAGCATTGCAGCGAGTAGCCCAGCCCTTCCAGTCAGGGAAGTCGAGAAGTCTCATTCCTTCCTTTATGATCTTCTTGTCTCGTGCATTCGGCGAGTACCGTTTCCTCTCGAGATGAGCATCGTCACCGTACCGAAACTTGGCATGACGGACGCTCTCACCGAGATGTGGATTCGTGACAAGGGTGCGAAGAAAGAGATATGGCTCGCAAAAGTAGCTGTCGTATGTAGAGTAGATCTTGTCGCTGACAACACGGTGAAGATGGTGATTCGTCAACGAGAGACTCAGGAGTGTGTGTAGTTGAAAGTCTTGCATGTCAATGCCGGGAAGGTATCTCAGGATCTCCAGTATGAGCTCGTCAGGGAGATCATGCAGTGTGGCGTAAATGCCGGCAGCTTTGGGTTGCTGCACTTTGGCTGCATCTTCTCTTTTATTAAGTCGCTGGTGTTTGGTGGTCTGCGATGGCAAAGGAGGAAAGTCGGTGTTGTTGATGATTGCCATGTGGCGAATGGCAAAATCACGACCTAGTGAAGATGGAACACTTAACAGACACGGACGTAGAGGCGCTCGTAACACAATAGTCTGCACCGTAAAATGCTGGTCGGTCTCGCGAATCGCAGTCTGATGTTATTCGAAAGGAGGATTGCAGGTGAAGGAGTGATGGGTGACACCAGAGGCAAGGTCAACGATTAGTCATAAACGCGCTACGTCATCCTGGAATGTTTCAACCATCGAGCGCGTTGTGGAAAACAAACCACAATCCGCTTTATCATTGACATGAGAGCATGCAATCACACCTTCGTATTCGAGCATATGCACTGTCGTACATGGCGATCTCGAGAGCTCTCCGCGCGCATGGTGGCGTACACCTGCAGCCCTGAATAACAATCATTCTCACAACTGCTCCCAGTACGAATACCACGGTTGCAAAGGATTGGGCTCAAGGAAAGATGAACATAATGTAAATATTGTGCGAAGTACAGATCTAGTCAAACGAGGTGCAAGGGTACATAGTGTGGCTCAGTCTTGAAAGAATAAATGGGTGGAATGAAGTTGTGGCTTTTTGCTAATGAGATCTTTAGAGCGCATGCCAAATTTGTTCAACGTTCGGATGAATGTTTGGAAGTTATTTGATACAGTGATGGCGTGCCTGATCAGCCTTGAATCAGCGCTGCGGAGGCCGAAATAGCAGACACAATCTGTCAGATAATGGCGGGACATTCTCCAACAGACCATGCTCAACTCAACGAAATTCAATTCATCGGCGTACAAGCCTGTCACACAAGTCAACAAAAAAGAATTTGCACGGGATACAGACCAGGACATCAAGCCGCAATTAAGACAGATAACTTGGTGGCGCAAGCTCGTTCCGTTATGCATCCTTGTTCCGACAGGTGTCAGCCTCTCCATCCTCACAGTTCATCTACGCGAATTCATGAGTGATGGTGCATTATACAATTGGTCTATATGGAACCGGGTCCTTTTGCAGGTGGTCGTCCATGTCATGTCCTCAATATTGGGTGTAATGTGGATGTATGCGATGTGTATGGTCACTAATCACTGGACGAGGCACCAATTGTCCAAACAGACAACACATTGAGACTGTGATCTGCTGTAACCCAAACTCGGGCTGACTGAAACCTCCCATGGACGCTCACGCTAGCCACACTGCTTGTTCTCAACACGACCTACATGCCGATGGTGCTGTGGGCCGGCGCGCTCACTCCGGCCTTCACCATTAGCGTGGCCATGAACATATCGTTCTTTGGTAAGACTGTCTATCCTAGTAAAGTGGCATGGTGTGGATGAATATATCATTGAATGGCACAGGTCGCTGGCCTAGTTCGTAGTACCCAGTAGTGGATCGAACGGCAACTACACATATCTGAAGCCGACTAATGGCGACGATTGCTGGAACAAAGAACAACCGAACGGGACGTTTACAAACTGCCTGAAGCGCTTCCAAACCGGCAACCTGCTACGATCCATCGCGACAGCATCTTCTTCAGATGCGAAGTCTAGGGTACATTCAAAGTGGGACAATACCGGGTTCCAATTCGTTGGTCGCTCTTTTGGAGTGGGTGCAGCTGCAGGTCTCACGGATCGCCCCGTTGCTGCACTTCGCAACGTGCAGCAATACTCCTATAACGAAGTCGGATTTTGCACGGGGACCAAGTGCATCTACAACGAGTCCTCTGCCCCGTATATCGATATTCACGACACGCCCCGGTGACTCTACGTTCCCCAGTACGTACTGAGCATGGGGAGCTTTGCCAATGCTGACTGGGACGAGATTGTGAGGAGCAACTTTACGAAAGCAACGGATTTCTACGCGCAGTTTGGATGGTTTGGGACTGAGGATTAGTACGTTCCATCACCCACCGGTCAATGATGATCACAGATGGATGTTCGGCATGGTCGCCGGCTCAAAGTACACTCAGCTGAGTTGGACTCAATGCGAAATTGCCTTCGAGCCGTCGCTCTTCACGGTCGATGTTTCCTTGGTCAACGCGACTATCAAGGTTTCACGCGTCGAACATGCACAAGTTGGCGACCTGGACCCAGCTCTAAACCTGCGGTCGGCGGCTATGGATAACTACTGGTTGTCGTATGTCACGGCTGCACGTGGAACATCGAACGTCGGCGATGCGTTCATGGAGAGCATTAAGAGCCTTCGAACGAATCGCTCAGTATGGTCCGACATCCACGCCCCCGACTACAGAAGCCTGGTCCTCGACGCCATTACCGAATCAGTCGACGCAGTGATAGACGACTCGTTGGTAGCGTTAGGCAGCCTCGCCTTGAAATTTTCAAACGCCACATAAGTAGTCGACACCACAGCGAAAACATCTGCTGCCCAGATTGATTCCAAACCGGTCATCCGGGCAGTTGTGGTCTTCAATGTTCTGGGCCTCGTTGGAGTCACTACAAGTTTATTCTTGCTTTGGAAACCGTACGTTTTAATCTTTGGGTATAGCGATGTCGGATCTGTAGTTTTCGGTTTCATCCAAGGCATGACCGTTATAAATCAAGATAGCAGGGCAAAGAGCGATGGCGAACAATCGTGGAACACTGACCCTAAGGATCGTCATATTGGACGACTGGTGGTAAGCCTGCAGACACACAGGGCATAATGAACCCCAGATGCTCTTTCTCGATGATGTAGATACAATGTAATTATGTGCTGTGGAAAATTGTTACCGTGTTGTTGATGTTCCTTCGGCGCTACGTGTGAAGGCAAGAGCCCCATGACTAGCGCGCCAAAAGCGGACTGGCAGCGCTTGGCCCTCACACACTAAGCGAGCGGAGCGGCGTCCATATTCCCACATATCGCGAAAACCACGATCTCGACGACAGCCCACCCGTAGCGACTTTCAAGACCACCCCTCCGTCTTTCTACACATCAGCCAAAATGGAGAACGAACGCGGCGAGCTCGTTGACCGTAAGGACGCCCGTAATCTGCTGGTGCTGGGATATGGAATATCGCAATGCGATTGAACCCAGGCAGGGAGTTGCAGTATGAACAATCGCTGACATTTTCGCAGTTTACGTCCCCCGCAAATGCGTAAGACTGCACCGCTCGACCTGACCCTCCGCACGCGATACTAATTCCCTTGTAGTCCGCTACCGGACGCATCATCAAGGCCAAGGATCACGCCTCCGTCCAGATCAGCATCGCTAAGGTCGACGAGAACGGTCGCTACACCGGCGAGAACCAGGTCTACGCTCTCTCTGGCTTCGTCCGCGCCATGGGCGAGTCCGACGACAGCATGAACAGGCTCACACAGCGTGACGGCTTCCTCAAGTCTGTCTGGTCTGCGTCGAGGTAAATGGTTGTGGAAACGGAGTTGAGGTACGCGCGCGCCAAGGCAGCCTTGGCTGGCAACGTTGGAAGGAAGAACATTCGCTGACTGGACATAGGATATTCGGAATCTGAGCTGCGTCTCAGAGGCGTGGGCGTGCATTTCATGGCGACTTAGGCCTTCATCTCCTTTCTCATGAAGACTATTACGGTGTCACGAGGCAAGGAAACCGGTTAAGAACCAATACGATCGAATCCAAAAACGCTCCTCCGCCGCTGCAGTGCACTCAGTGCATGTCATACAGACCCATATACATCGCAAGAGTTACAAGATGTCAATTGACAGTATTGTTGAACGCTGTGATCTAGATTCTGAAAACAGAACTTATATTGTTCTACGCAAATCTAATCTCGCAGGTCGACGATACCTATGCCAGCAGCCACGGCTACACCTTCAGCATCCCTCATCCAAAAAAATCCCCACCATAAGCGCTCCCAACGCACCAGTACCTTGCCTTGCTCCAGAAGGTTCGGCATGATCCGGCATAGCGTTGGACTCGCTGTCCGTTCACTCGCATATATCGTCGATACGACCACACTGCATTATCTCGATTCCGCCAGTGGACAGCGCCGTTGAGTGCAACAACAGCGACTAGCAAGAACCTTATAGACGTCAAGTGCCACAGCGCTCCGATTGCAAGGCTTGGCGCCCAGGACACAACTATAACCATACATCCATTGTTCAGCGGTCTATCACGCGTCTAAAAGCGCGGTCGTAAGACGCAAACATTCTAAATTACCAGCACACCCAACGCAGTTCTGGACGCTCAATTTGGAAAGCCGCTTCATTGCTAGCCGCCCAACTCCATCTCACCTCGTATTCCTCTACCCCTCCACACCTCGCTCGTACCCTAGTCTCACACCAATCAAACAGCATGTGTCGATCTTGCAGTGTAACTATTGACGAGATATAGGTACCGGTCTGGATCTGTTGATCAGCATGGGACGATACCGAGAATTCCTGCTGCCACCACTGTGGTGGTCACTGGTGTGAAGAATTGGCGGCACGGGTAGGTGTGCGCATCCCCGGAGACCAGTGGCTTGGGACTGTTCATCTTTAATGATCGCGGATAACCTCGAGCTTTAGGGCAACTATTGATCTCCGCTGTTTTACTGTACCCGCCTAGCAGGGCTGCAGCGCTCCCGACTGCGCGCATCCATACCGCAGGCAGTGGTTACGGTCCGCGATCCAGCTATGCATGATTCACACCGATCGACGATGTTGGTCAACGACAACATAGATGTATCTCCACGACAGCTTGCATGACATTGTCTTACTTTGTGTAACAGCCCAGTTCACCATGATGATCTCGTCAACTCAGATTAGTGATCCCGGCAACAAGGTGTGACCATGTGCTGATATACCTCATGATTGAAGTTGGCACGCGTCAAGTCACCAAAGCACTATGTGCAACTTACAAGGCTGGCTTTAGATCACTGCCTGCGGCTCCACTATGCGTATTGAACAACAATGTTCACAGGGCGCAGAAGACTCATCCCAAAACACTTTCACTTTTCACAACAACCGCTGTTCCATTCGTTCAACTTGTAACATCTCTGTGCTTGGCACGTAGTCCTATCTAGCGCAAGGCCAAAGCATTGGTGAAATGCTGCCATTCTCATTTTAGTGAGCATGGAGTAGTGAAGTCAAGGGACCGAAAGCGTGCATACGTACAGATGTCACGCGCGCTCGTCGGTACCACAACATGAAGCAAGTAAGTACAGCGATAACGGCATTGTAGTCAGAAGTAGCACAGCGTCGCTGCACGTGAGCATGGAGCGTTGAATGCTGATCTCCGACACATTGGTGATTGATGTTTGGTTTCCCAGCACAGTGGCCCTCGGAAGTCAGCACACCATGCTCACTGCAGAAGTGGAGAGTCGCCACCTCGCAGAGTCACACCTGGAGTTTGAGTTGACGTTTACCACTAAACGTTATACAGAAGGCTTTTGAGGCACCGACACAGCACGTGTCAATGACAGTAGTGTAACAATGCAATTGTTGTGTGCTAGTCTAATTGTGTACAATTGTCCGATCGTTCTGCCGCTCCAACGTGGCATTCCACGCGACGCCTCGCCTTGCATCCGGGGAAGTGGGTGTCGGGGCGGAGAAAGTAACGTTTCCGGGAGTCAATCTTGGCGGTGCTGAGCGGTGTGAACATGCGGGCCTGTTGCAGCAGTGCGCCTCCATGCGCATCGACGTCAAGCCGCGCTGTAACATCCGATCTATGGTGCGTGATACCTTCGAATGTACTCATTGTTACCGCGAATGGAGATGTCAAGTTGAAAATACACCCGTCTGCGGACCGATGCCAGAAGCCGAAGCAAGGACGCGGACCTTTTTGCTTTCCCCTTTGCGACCGCCATCTGGAGTTTGGCTGCGCTGATGCTGGCCGCCGGGCGATGGAGGTTCGCTTCCACTTTCTCCGAACGTGCCACGGACGGCAGATACGGCTCTACTCTCCCTGACTTTCCAGTCATCACCCTTTTTCACAGGCTTTGATCGCTCTTTCTCTGCTTTTTTGCGCAGCAGATCCTGCATCTTCTCTTCTCGGCGGTTTCCTGAGACGCAGTCGCAGAGACAACCTTCGGTGGGACAAGCGCCGTCAGAGAGGACGGCGTCGGCGAACCAGGTGGACAGACAATTAGTGTGACCGCCGTGACCGCAGAGAGGGCACCAAGTCCATAGTGTTGCTGGTGTTGGTATCCACTCCTCCGGTATTGATGGTGAGGGTCCGCTGTCGGCATCGTCTGGTGAGACTGCATCTGTGGTGATCAAAGATGATCGATTCCTCTTGTGACCTTTCTCATCCCGATGTTTTGATTTCGACTTTCGCTTTGCAGTGATGGGCTCAAATGCCGGATACTTGCCCCAGCATATCGGACAGGGTGCTTGTGCGCGCTTGCATGATTCACAGCGCATCTTGTCTTTGGGATTATTGATAGGAGATTTGCAGCTAAGACACAACAGACCAAGCTGAGTATCCTTCAACGCTTGTTCGTAAACGGCAGGATATGTAGGGTAGGCAAGCCGCCGTAGAGAAGCCGCAGGGTTAAAGAGTGACAGGCTATGCATCTGTGCATGGTACGTATGCAGGATGGACTCGGCTTGGTACGGATTGATCCCTGTGGCTATCAGTTCGCCCAGCTGTGATGAGAGAATTGCTTTAGCTTGCGTAGGCGTGAGGCCCAGTGCTGTGAAAGTGTCTGAGAAAGCGCTCAAAACCTCGGTGACATCGATATCTGATGAATCAGAAGGTGAATGTGTCTGTGGTAACAGCGGCGCCAGAAGGAGTAGAAGTAGCGACGGAAATTGCGCGTCTGACAAGGTATCCGTGTGGAACTGGAGGATACTGTTCAGCAAGCCAACGACCGTGAAAGCAGACGTGCTTTCAGCGTCGATGCGCAACGCCTCGAAATCCGACAACAACAATTGGTTTTCTTTTGTTGGCACGGTCGACTGAGAAACGCTCTTAGTAATAACGGGTGAAGTCACAGATGGCTTGAGAACTTGTGGCGACCTTAGATCGTCGAAGATTTCCGGTATGATAGTGCCGCTGGCTTCCATATCAGCACTGTAAGTTGACGAAAACGACGTGCCTTCTTGGCTGCTGGCATATGCGGATGATTCGGAGCTGTCATGACGCATGAGCTGATTCCTCCGTCGCAAGGCGTCCATTTCTTGGGTGACCCTTTCAGTGCTACTGGGTGGCATCAAATGTCCTGTGTCATCCTGGCTCGAGTGTGGGTTGTCGTGCCGAGCTTGAGATGTCGTAGGAACTGGAATTGCATGCGGGCCTTCATTTGTAGTTGGGCTCACCCTTCTTTCCTGATTGATGTTGCACGTGCCCAAGGGCCTACCGAAACTGGACTTGTCCGGAGCATGTTGCCAGCCTATTGACAACGCCTCCATACTACGAAGATCAGAGTTGACGCTCTCAAAGGAGCCCGACGCTGAGCTTCCATGATGTGAGTCGGTGGACGCAGAGAACATAGTGAAGCTTTCGCCCGAATCATGACGCTCCAGCGGTGGAGGGACGTTTGGGTTGTTGTCTCGAATAGGTGCTGGGTTGAGATTGAGCGGTATCCGTGGCGATGCCCGCCAGCTACCTGCTGCAGCTCGGCGCTCTTCCAACCCCTCAGGAGAGTCGTACCAATGCCCTCCATTGGACTTCGACTGTGTAGGAGGTGCGAGCTTCTGGCCATTGTTGACTTGAGGTACTCCCATTACTGATGGTGGGAGATGGATTTTGTCATCGTGATCAGGATCAGGAAGCTCAGATCTCCGTAGATCTCCAGATGCTGACCCAGAAGTATTGACAGGCTGTGCAAGCGGTGTTGCCAGATTGGATGTGCTCTCGATTTGGGTAGCTGGCTTAGTCAATGGTGATGCTGGACGTGGCTTATCGAGAGTACCAATAATTGCACGGACTGCGGGGTTTTGTGGAGCGCCAAAAGATCTGTTCTGTGCATGCAACAGCCCAGATGTATTGTTCCGACCCTCAAACTTGGCCTTCTTGTCCTTCAGCCGTAAGCTTCTGTGTAATTCTGCACGGCGTTTGGTTGCATTAGCCATTGTCGTTCCAATCAACGTCCAGGTTTGCGCAAGTCTATGATATGCAGCTCTTTGTGCGTACTCGGCATTCTGTTGGAACGGTTGTTCGAGTTCGAGATACGATTCTAAGACCGGGCGATCGGGTAGCGATTGGGCCTTGTATTTCTGAGCAAGGTATGCGAAGACTTGCACGTTGACAGCACCCGGTAGAACGCCCCGGAACGCGAGCTGGTCCGGCTGAAATTGTTCGCTTTGTGTTCTCATTGAATCAGGCAAAAACATGACCTTGGGTGTAACATCTGATGGAGGGGTGCTGCTGAACGACTTTGCTGATCTATTGCTGGCGGTACGGCCATGGTGACGCTTCATCGATGAGGCGAGGAAGCTGTCGTCGAAGCTATTGTCAGCCGAGCTTCGCAAACTGCTCTTCTCAAGGCTACCGTGCTTCTCGGGTGGAGCACCGAGGTACATGTCATCATATGAGAGGCCTGTAGGACGTCGTTGCCGTGATCTCTTCTGCGCAACGCCGCTCAATTCTCCGTTTGGTGAAATCGCAATTGCCTGTAAAGGTCTTCGTTCTGTGATTTTTGGGGCATGATGAACGTCGTTCTGCTGGAATATGCCTTCCTTCCCAACCGTCCATAGCGTGTCACGTGTTTGCCAGAGCATGTCTGACGGTGGACTTCGAAACTTGTTAATCTCTTTGTAAGGTAAATGTGGCCGTCGAAAGTCCCAAATATGGATGACTGGGTGATCACGATCATATGATGTCGCCACCTGTGTGCACTGGAATGCGCCCTTCTCATGGAACTCGTCAGACCAATACGGTGGCTTCCATCTTGCCTTATGTACTGGATAAGGTGTAGTCAGAACATAAGCAGCCTTCTGCCTTCGGCCATCGACTGAAAAGTCCCAAATCTTCAATGTTCGATCAACACCAGCACTGAGTAGATGTTTTCCATCTGGATGCCAGTCAATGGAAGTGCACGTCTTCTGGTCGTGCGCCGGGATCTTTTGCTTAGGTCCTTTGTTGTGGCGGAAGTCCCAGCGTTGGATGGTACCATTGTCCGTACCGAAAGCGAATTCAACAGCATCAGTAGGAGACCATTGAACATCTCGAATACCACCGCTGATACCAGAAAATTGGTCTCGGCTTGTACAGGCAGCGGCTTTCTGACGCATGTCTCGTAAGTCCCAGAGTCGGACAGTGGCGTCATGACTTGCAGAAAGCAACAGGTGGCCCTGATGTGGATTGAAGGCGAGTTTGTGGACTTGACGTGTATGCTCATGCAGTCTGACGAGCTCCACGCTGGCACGGTTCAAGTCGTACAAGATGACCTTGCCATTGGCAACAGCAGTCGCAATATGCGAGCTGAACTGGCCATGGGACCACTTCACATCCTGAATACCCAAACCCTCACGTTGCCGTGCATGAGAGTCGGCATAGTTGAGTACAGCAGCTCGCAAGTTGGTCTCGTCGACAATCTTAGTGCCGTTGACACGTACTGTCTTGAGAATCTCCTTGCCAGCAAGCACGGCGTGCGTTCTCTCACGGTTGATGTCAAGGGCAGAGATATCGAGGCCTGTCTTGTGTGTGGCATCAAGCGAGTAGCCAGTTCGAATACTGTATTACGGGCTTAGTGGACGAAACCCAGACGGAAGGTGACAGGTGAGTCAGTGCAGTGCAGGTGAGATGTTTGGTGAGACTAACGGCTCGATCTGGAAGGGACCACGGGAAGAAGTCGAAACACGCCTAAAGTGACAAGACGAAAACAACCACAGCAGTCCCGAGCGAGCTGTACATGAAAATAGATGAAGTAGAGATGGACCTACCCGAGCAGTTTCGGGACTAGTGGATTCACAGGCCCGCCATCCGGACGACTCGCCTGCACGCTCGGGGGTCGCGAAGCATATGCCGCCGACTGTAAGGGTTGGGCGACGAAACGCTCAAAGTACGAACGACTCTTTATTTTTGGCGGCGGCGGTGGGGGCGCCGGAGGGATCGAAGGCGAAGCAATCACTGAGATCCGTCGGTGGTCAGTCATGTGTACGTGTTGGTGTGGAACACCCTGGCGCACAGCGTGGTGGAGGCAATACTGGCGCGGGCGGTGAGCGGCGAAAGTGACCGCAGCACACGTGTGCAAAGCAAGTGTCGTAAGTGCAGCCCAGAGGAATACACGACACTGTGCTAGTAGTTGCAGTAGAGACGCAGTGAATAGATGGAGCCGCGGCAGTGGTCAAGCGACGCAGCGGGTGTGATACAGGTGCGTCAACATGGGGTCGCGCAGTTGCAGCGACCTGCAGCCCTCAAACGGGTCCCTGATGCACCAGCGCCCACCAGTGTTCAGTTCTAGACCGAAATCCACCATGGCGTGCCAAGATGAATCCACACTTCTCGACGATGCGCCACCATTATCGGACTCGCCCATCTGATCCGTGCATCGTACCTTCAGCAAAGCATGGCGTACTTGTCGAGTCGTAGGCTGTAGCACCTCTCTTCCACCTCCCCTCTTCCCTACTGTCCCTCCATAATCTTGCTGCCACCACCGAGAGCCTTGCACAGGACCTCGCACCGTGGAGAGCAGTTACATCATGCCTGCCGAGCTGCTGTACGGCGATGTCGACGACCGTCAGCCGCGCTGGAAGCACGCTTCCACATTACACAATGTCCTCACCGTCCTGCAATATGCCTACCCATTGTTTATGCTGTTCTTCTTCCTGGCGGCCTTCACCGTCCGCAGCATAGCAGCATCAAAATCTAATACTAATATCGCCAAACCTACCACAACCGGCCCTGGGGGCAAGCCGTTGCCCGCAACCGACCCCACCCGCAACTTTGTCAAAAAGACGGTCCATGACGATGTCACGCAGACGCAGAAGAGGGTGTTCGAATGGGTCTCGCTGGCTGCTGCGCTGACTTTCTTTGGAAACTCAGTACTCGTTATTTCGCAGGCATTGGCCAAGCAGAGTGAACATTGGTGGTGTGGACAGCCAGTAGTGGTATGTACTGCTGTGGAGGCAACACTGGGCAGTTGAAGCTGACTTGTGACACTCCAGATCTACCTGGTGGGCTCCTTTTTCGTCTACAGCTTGTTTCTCATCTCGCTCCTCGACTCGAAACCCTCGCCGACAGCCGCTCACTTGTCGACATGGATCGTGGGCTTGGTACTCGAGATTGTCCTTGTCGCCTGCTCGCTCGCTATCTACACCCACGCCCACTACCAACCCACCGCTGGCAACCCTGAGAACTCCAAACCGCGATTCTACATGACTGAGTGGGAGGCTGCTGAGGTCGCCATCGACCTCTTGCGCATTGTCTTACTACTCGCTCTCATTGGATTCTACGTGGTATTTGTCGTGCTGCCGCAGGCACGAAAAACTCCAGAGGCGGGAAGCTCGAACGAGACCACCTCACTTTTGGGCAATGCTACCGAACGTGCGGAAAACGGGCATGTGAACGGAGCGAACGGAAACGGGTCCTACGGCTCAGTGCACCCGGTCGGTGGCAAGCACCAGCATACCGAGGGCGCACCGCCTGCCTGGAGCAGACCGACGGGCGCGCCGACTCGTAGCTGGTGGGAGTACATCAAGGGCTACAGCGTCTTCTTCCCCTACCTCTGGCCATCCAAGGACCGCCGCCTACAAATTATGGTTGTTGTGTGCTTTGCGCTTGTCCTGGCGCAGCGTGTGATCAATCTGCTTGTCCCTGATCAGCTGGGTCACATCGTGGATCGCCTTGAGCACAGGGTTCCGGGCAGCCCATGGACCGCCATTTGCCTGTTCATTGCCTTCCGCTTCCTTCAGGGAACCAACGGTGTGCTCGGTGCAGCACGATCTGCGCTGTGGATTCCTGTGTCACAGTATTCGTACCGCGAACTATCAGTTGCGGCATTTGAGCACGTGCACAGCCTTAGCCTGGATTTCCACCTTGGCAAGAAGACAGGTGAGGTGCTTTCGGCGCTTGGAAAAGGAAGTTCTATCAACACTTTCCTTGAGCAGGTGACGTTTTCAGTAGTGCCTATGCTACTGGATTTGGGCGCTGCTATTGGCTACTTCTTGATCAAGTACGATGCGTACTATGCGCTAGTCATTGCCATCGTGACATTCTGGTACATCTATCTGACAATTCGAATGGCGCAGTGGCGCGCTGAGATCCGCCGTGAGATGGTAAACGCTGATCGTGAGGAGGATGCTGTCAAGTAAGTGACCAAACAGAATGTTTACATACCCATCCTAACAGCAGCAGGAACGATTCTATGGTCTCTTACGAAACAGTCAAGTACTTCAACGCCGAAGCCTACGAGTTCAACCGCTATCGCGAAGCCGTCAAGAAGTACCAGGATGCTGAGTGGAAAGTTCTGTTATCGTTGAACATCATGAACATCACGCAAAACATGGTCTTCATGGTGGGTCTGCTAGTAACATGTTTCATTGCAGCCTACCAGGTCACTACAGGAGCCATCACTGGCGGAAAGTTTGTCACCTTGGTTGTATTCATGGGTCAGCTGCAAAGCCCGCTCAACTTCTTCGGCACTTTCTACAGGATGATCCAGTCTGCGATGATCAACTCGGAGCGCATGCTGGAGCTTTTCAAGGAAACGGCTACAGTAGTCGATAAGGAAGGTGCAAGCGAATTACCTTCTTGCAAGGGCGACCTGGAGTTCAAGGATGTGCACTTCTCGTACGACAGTCGCAAAGCTGCCTTGACTGGTTTGGACTTCCACTGCGTGCCAGGCACCACAACAGCGTTTGTTGGAGAATCAGGTGGCGGCAAGTCCACGGTGTTCCGACTTCTCTACCGTTTCTACAACACCGAGTCTGGAAGCATTCAGGTCGACGGCAACGATGTCACGGATCTCACCATCGATTCAGTGCGCCGCCACATCGGTGTCGTCCCTCAGGATACTGTCCTTTTCAATGAAACACTGATGTACAACCTCAAGTACGCTAACCCCGAGGCCACCGATGAGCAGGTCTACGAAGCCTGCAGAGCGGCCAGTATCCACGAGAAGATCCTCACCTTCCCGGACAAATACGACACCAAGGTCGGAGAACGTGGGCTCCGTCTGTCTGGCGGAGAGAAGCAGCGTGTTGCTATTGCCCGCACCATCTTGAAGAACCCTAGGATCATTATGCTTGATGAAGCTACCGCCGCACTGGATACGGAGACCGAGCAACATATCCAGGAGGCTTTCGCGACTCTGGCTCACGGACGCACGATGCTCATCATCGCCCATCGACTTAGCACAATCACTCACGCCGATCAGATCCTTGTCTTGAACAAGGGCAAGGTGCAAGAGCGAGGAACACACGAGGAGCTTCTTGAGCGCAACGGCCACTATGCCGCGATGTGGAAGAAGCAGATTCGGGCACAGCGAGCGGCTGAGCAGGCCAAAGCGCTCAAGGATAAGGCTGACCGTCTCCGCCGACAGTCGAAGGATGCATCGATCGACAACGACGGCAGCAGTAGCCACTCCAGTTCCGAGGATGAGAAGACAAAGAAACAACGCAATAATGGCCAGCTGTCCGGCTCCCACCGTGAAGAAGCTCCCTCGAAGCCGCATGGACACCCCTAGGTTTATCCACTACTGCGGGTGCACCAATCAAATTGATACCAAGGTCAAGACCAAGGACCGACATCAGAAATACAAGTCGTATGGATAGTGTCCAAAGTCATTTAGCCTGTCACCCAGGACCGAAGCTTGAATGGGAGTACTACGGCCTTCTGAGTCGTGAATGCATTTCCATGCCAGATCACCAAAATATCAGCCATTATGACGCCTCAAACGTTGCCATTTGTATGCCAACTCAATACGCTGCATGGCAACTACTTCTGGCGCCGCCGGCAAGACGCAATTTTCGACATTGGATTTCCATGGAGTTCTGGCAGATCGAATAATGTACAAATAGTGGGCGTTGATTTGTCGCTTTTTATCAACAGCGAAAAGGACGGGCACAGCGTTTGCAGCCTCATAGGTACGCCAGGAGGGCATGGCTTGCTTGGAGTATCGCCGTGTCGCGGTATGTTGCATAGGGAGGACGGATAGCTGTGGGAGGTCTTTTGATAGAGCGTTCCTGCGAACATTTGCATGTCATTATTATGGGATAGATATTATCAATCGACGACACCTGTCAACAGCATTCTCCAGATTATGTGATCGTAAGGTAAACATACAGTAGCGGATGCAAGCATCCCAGCTTTTTCTGTTCTACCACAGTTGACGCAAGTAGCGCCTTCCTGACTCCCACGAAGCGCACCCTAATAAACGTCAATTGTCTCAAGTACCTTGTATCTCTCTCTTTTCGACACGTCTCACTCTGTATAACTGTGCCCAATGAAATGTCACTTCTTCTGACTACACGGTGTACGCTGACATGTCATCTCACGTCTCGCAGCTGCTGTGCCCCAAGCATGCAGCGTCAGCAACAAGCTGCGCAGAGGATTGACGGAAGCATCGGCCACACCAGGCGTTGGTATCCCGACACACTGGGCAAAGCGAGCGATCAAGAATAAACCTCCGCAACCCAGGGGGATGGTAAACACAACAACACTTCGCAAACCTTCCAGTAAAGCAATTGCAGTTGTGTTGATCACGTCGTTTGCAGCGACGAACGAAAGATCAATGGCAACCCCCAAAGCCCTTTCCTTGTTCTTCAGCTTGTGCCGTAGATGCACCGGATTCGCGCCGAACAGCGTACGCAGCCGCAGCCGCGCTGCGCGATGAGCCTGCACGCTGAGCTTGAGCAATCTTCGGTGAGGCTTTGCGAGTTTGGTCTTGGCTGTGCTGAAGATGATGGCGTCTGCTGCTCTGCACACCGCAACTTCTACAATCATTTCAAAGCAGACAATAGCTTCGCGCTCCGCGGGCAAGGCTGCTTAACGAACGACACTGTGGGGTAGCGCCGAACCTATGCTTTTTCTCGTCAGAGGATTAAGAAGTGGGATTAGAAGCCTCGACTTGATCTGCCTTTTTCGGAGGATCCCCGGCACATCTCTAACAAGCCGCATGGAAAGTACCGTGATAGCAGCCAAAGGCTAGCGCATTCATCGAAATACCAGGATACCGCATCCGGAATCCGCTCGTCCTCGCTTACATCGACCAGCCTCTCTGTGCAGCTGGAATCCATACCCTTTCGAATCGCCCCTTACTTACCACCATCCTTCGAGAAGATTGTGAAGCCACGAGGGGGTGGTGAGAGCCAAGCTGGATATTGCGGCGCTCGAACGACTCGGCCTGCAGGGCCCAGGGGAAGGAAGAGTGGAAGGGAAGGGGAGTGGGTACTTCTCGAGGTTGGAGTAAGTGCTATTTCTATGTTACCACCTCCCGACTCTGCAAGATTTGGGAGGAAAGAGGTTTGTGTGAGCGATCTGGCTGATGTGGATCCTAGGAAAGTCCTAAAGTTCAAGAAGGGTGCGCCGAAAGAGGAAGAAGAAGAGAAGCTAAACACAGAGATGAGTTCTGGGGCTGAGCCTGCAGGCATCGATGTTGTAAGTTTGTGAAGTCTGAGTTCTGTTTTCGATTCGTCAACGCCTTTTTGCACTTTCTACCCAGCGGCCCCAGCTTCGAACACGCGCATGAGCCGGCCAAAACATACATCATAGCAACTTCAGAACCAGCCTCTTCTCTACAGTGCCATTTCTTCGTCCACCCTGTCTTTTCACTCCGTCAGTCTTCCTCCCGGCTTTGAGACTGCGCAAACCCCATGAGCCGATCTTGCAGACTACCTCTGTACCTGATTGGAAAAGTCTACAGCATCAGCTAACCGCTATCAGGACTCGGAGTACGACAACTACGTCGAAGATGACGACAATGATGCAGACCGCATGTCCTTCTACGCCTCCACCGGCGGCGGCTCCATTGCATCCAAAGTAACCTCGTACCGTTACGAAAACGGCCGCCGCTACCACTCCTACCGCGACGGAACCTACTACGCGCCCAACGACGAAAAGTACTCAAACTACGAAACCATCGTCCACCACCTCTGGCTGCTAACTCTGAACGATCAACTCTTCCTCGCACCCATCCAAGAGCCCCAAAGGATTCTGGACATCGGCACCGGCACGGGGCTCTGGGCAATCGATATGGCCGACTATTTCCCGAATGCTGAGATTACCGCCACGGATCTGAGTCCCATACACCCACCGAATCTACCTCCAAACCTAACCTTTGAGATTGACGATGCGAACTCCTCCTTCACCTACCCGCCGTCGCACTTTGACTTCATCCACATCCGGGGTCTAACGGGGTGCATAAAATCCTGGCCGGCCTTGTATTCGCAATGCTTACACGCCCTGCAACCAGGCGGCTGGATAGAACATCTCGAGTTCAGCGTCGAAACCAGCGCCTCCAGAACCTCCTCTACCTACTCGGACCAAATCCTCACCGCCTTCAGCCAGTCCGTCCTCCATGTCGGCGCTACCAAAACACACATGTCCTTTGACGTAATCAACACCATGCACCCGACCCTCTCCCACCCGTCCTCTGGCTTTGTCGACGTGCACACACAGACCTTCATCTGGCCGATCGGGCCGTGGCCGAAAAACGCCCATCTCAAGGATTTGGGCCGCTGGGGCGAGAGGAACTGGTGCGACGGCATCGATGGGTGGGTTATGGCGCTGTACACGAGGCTGCTGGGGTGGACGTATGAGGAGGTCAAGGCGTTTGTGCGGGATTTTCAGGAGGTGATAAAGGACCGACGGGGACGGCTGTGGCAAGAGGTCAGGGTTGTCTATGCAAGGAAGCCGTTTGAGGGGGAGGTGGTGGATAAGGGGGTGGGTGGAGAGGAGGTTGAGAAGGAGAAGGAGAGGGATGTGAAGGCTGGTGATATTGAGGAGGAGGAGTTGGATATGGATGATACGCGATGATACCCCAGAATTGCATTCATGACACTCATGTACCCTTGGAGACGCAAGACGTTGCAGGGCACCAAACAGATGAGCATTCGCCCTTTGGATTGGTCATGTCGATTATCATATTCACGTTGATGCTCGTTGAGGTACTATCGATGCTCCCGTGCCCAAGCGGCTCGTTGGCCATGCACACCGAACGGCGGCGTGAGAGTATGTCTCTACGCCTAGTCTGCACCATTTTCCGCGCCATCGAACGCAAGCTTGATGTGCAGGCGGCTCTCTGGAGTGATGTACACGTCGTTCCTGGTAGAGTGCTACTCCTCCATCTCGTCGGCCTCCTCCTGGCATGCGCGCCCGTTTTGCCGTGCGTTGGACTTTGGCACTGACGCCTCCTTGTCGATCATCTGCCTCGATACGGATACGATGTTGTCTTCGATGAGCTGCTGGCCGACGTCCGAGATGTCTAAATCCAAAAGGTCAGCACGATTCTTCTCTTCTCGCGAACCGGAACGTCAGACGTACGCTTCTTGGGGTCCACCTTTCCAACGTAGCGCGTCTTTAGCTGGTCCTTTGACAGCTCCGTCTCCTCCTTGACCCGCTGCTCGTAGCCTTCTGCCAGCGTGACCAGCTTCTGCAGCCTGTCCTGATTCCGCTCGCCCTCGACGTTGAAGTCGTCCATCTGCAGCGCTTCTGTCCAGACGTGCTTGTGCAGGTTCATGAGCATGTTCTCCTCCAGCGCCGACTTGCGGTAGTCGATGCCGATCGAGTAGTAGTGGCGGTTGAGGCCGTGGATGAGGGCCTGGATCGAGGGCTTGTTGAGGTGGCCGACGTTGGATGTGGTCTGGCGGGGCTCGTGGCCCATCATGAGCGTCTGCGGGTTGATGAGCCGGAAGGCATCGATGACGACCTTGCCCTTGACCGACTGGATCGGGTCGACGACAACGGCGACGGCGCGGGGTGTGAGCTGCTCAAAGGACTGCTGTGTGTTGATGTCGACCGACGAGAGCCAGCAGCCGAAACCGGGATGTGAGTGGTACCAGCCCACGACTGTCTCCTGCCTGCGTTTGTCAGCGTGTGCAGACCGATCGCGCGCCAAGGGGAGGTGTCTGCGTACCTTCCTGTCTGTCGCAGCATGTCCATCATCTTGGTCTGGAAGACGGGGTCGACGGCCTCCACGGACACTCCTGTTCCGGACTGCGGCATGGCGAACACGTCTACCACTCGCACTGTGTAGTCGTCCACGAACTCGCCCAGCATGAGGCCCATGACTTCCATCGGCACGCCCGCCCGACCGTGCCGCAGCATCTTCAGCAGCGCGAGCGACGAGATGTACACCGTTTCCGAGTTGTCGATCAAGTGCGTGTCCTGTGCGGGCCCGCCCATGCCGCCCATGCCCTGCGCGGCGGCGAGCATCCTGCTTAACCGGTCCATCCTGGCGGTGTCGAGTCGGCTGAGGTGGGCGGAGCGGTGTGGAGGGGCGTGGCGGGGTGTGGCGGGGGGAGGTGCAAAGGTTGGCGGGGGGAGGTGTAGAGGCAGACGGGCGGTGGTGGGCTTTATGGCGTTGTTTGGGGCGGCGGCGGCGGCGGCGATGCTGATAGCTGTGATGCGGCGGTAGCTCTCGCTGCAAGGCTTCCGACCAGGTTTCTCCGCCCCGACAGCGGGTCCCGCGGTCTGGCGCGGAGCTCTCGCAGCTCTCGCAGCTCCCGCAGCTCCATCGGCCTCTCTGTTGCGCCCGCCCTCTTTCTCTCGAGGTCTCCCACTGTTCATGCCGCACCCATAACACGATCGCCACGGCCTCCAGGCGGAACTCGACGCTTCGCACACGTGACACCTAGCCCGTTCGCCCTCCTGATACCCTCGTTCCACCCCCTCCCGCATCTCTCTTCCGCCATGGAGGGCTCTCACATGGAGGCCAGCACTGGGTCCCACAGCCTGGCGGGAGGCAGCGCGTCGCAGCCGAAGAAGGTCGCCTACTTCTACGACTCGGACGTCGGCAACTACGCCTATGTGGCGGGCCATCCCATGAAGCCCCATCGCATCCGGATGGCCCACAGCTTAATCATGAACTATGGCCTCTACACCAAAATGGAGATCTACGTAGGTCGCGCCTCACTTGCAGTGTAGAATCCCAAACACTAAGGTTGGCAGCGCGCGAAACCGGCGTCCAAGTACGAAATGACGCAGTTCCACACCGACGAGTACATCGACTTCCTCCACAAGGTCACGCCAGACAACATGGACAGCTATGCCAAGGAGCAGAGCAAGTACAACGTCGGAGACGACTGTCCCGTGTTCGATGGGCTGTTCGAGTTCTGCGGCATCAGCGCCGGTGGCACAATGGAGGGCGCCGCGCGTCTGAACCGAGGGAAGTGCGATGTCGCCGTCAACTGGGCTGGCGGTCTGCATCACGCGAAGAAGAGCGAAGCCAGCGGGTTCTGTTATGTCAATGGCAAGTTTGCGCGTTCTCCCAGCCTGCCAGTCCACACTAACGCTGATCAGACATCGTCTTGGGTATCATCGAGCTGCTGCGCTACAAGCAGCGCGTTCTCTACATCGATATCGACGTGCACCACGGTGATGGCGTCGAAGAGGCTTTCTACACGACCGACCGTGTCATGACCGTGTCCTTCCACAAGTACGGCGAGTACTTCCCCGGTACCGGCGAGCTTCGCGATATCGGAGTAGGCTCTGGCAAGAACTACGCTGTCAACTTCCCTCTCCGCGACGGCATCACAGACGAGACCTACAAGAACATCTTCGAACCCGTCATCGAGGCTGTCATGACCTACTACGGCCCCGAGGCTATCGTGCTTCAGTGTGGTGGCGACAGTCTGTCGGGAGACAGGCTGGGTTGCTTCAACCTGAGTATGGCCGGTCACGCCAACTGCGTCAAATACGTAAAGAGCTTTGGCGTTCCTGTCATCGTGCTGGGTGGCGGTGGATACACGATGAGGAACGTTGCCCGTACCTGGGCGTACGAGACTGGCGAGCTTGTCGCAACGCACATGTCCAAGCAGCTGCCCTTCAACGACTACTACGAGTACTTCGCCCCAGACTACGAGCTCGACGTCCGTCCGTCGAACATGGAGAACGCCAACTCGCACGACTACTTGCACAAGATCAAGACAACCGTCATCGACAACATTCGACGAACGGGCAGGCCTTCCGTGGAAGCTTTCACGAACATCCCAGACAACCCAATCTTGGCGCCTGCCGACGACTCTGATGCTGAAGATGATCTGGACACAGACATGAACCCCGATGTGCGCGCTACAGAACGACAGAGGGATCAGCGAATCGAACACAACGGCGAGATGTACGAGGACAGTGACGACGACGAAGACTACAAGAATGGTCTCGGTGTCCGCGCACAGCCTGGCACCAAGAAGCGGCGACACATTACTGACCATCCCAATCCAAACGCTGCAAAACCTGATGGCCTAGATGAGCTTAGGGCTTTGGACGATGCCAACGGCGACAGTGCGCTCTCCACACGACAGACATCACCAGCGGGCTCCCGTACGCCCGCGATCGCGGAGCAGAGTGCAGGAGACGACGGCGATGTGGAGATGGATGACGCAGAGGGTGCCACAACAGCTGCAGCGGCAGTAACTTCAACTCGATCGCAGTCACCCGCCAACAACCTCACACCACCAGAGTCGCCCGCTGCAGCACCCGCTGCAGCACCCGCTGCAGCACCCGCCGCAGCACCCGCCGCAGCCGTGCCCGTCCCAGACGTTGAGATGGCAGGCGCCGATGAGGAGACCAAAGCAGACATCGCCGAAGAGAAACAAAAAGGCGAGGCTGAGCGCGACTCTGAAAACGTGAAGGGCGAGGTGCGGACAGAAGTTGCCAAGGACAGCTGAGAAAAGCAATGCATCTTCCCATCCTCTCTCTAAGAGGATCATTCTTCTGGCGTTCCGCGTTTCGGTGTCCCTTCACGAGACCCCACGGGTTGTGAAGTGAGTTATGGTTTATGTGCGTGGGAGTGGGTTTAGGATACCTTATTGTTTGGTCTGCTGTGCTACGAATGGCATATACATTGATATCCAGCAGTGTCTCGGTTCTTCAAACTCCACACTTCTTTGAATACTATAATCCACCATCGCAGACTGCAAGATTGAAAGCTACGTCACTGAGCTGCGTAAGCCGTCTCCATCCGCATTGATGGGCAACCATTGTTTGTCACTAGCTTTGGCTAATGCACGTCGACGTTTAGAAGGTCCACATGCTTTGGCTAATGCACGTCGACGTTTGGAAGGTCCACATGCCCCACTAGGCCAGAGGCGGTAAGGACCAGACAGCACATTCACTAACCCCCACCTGAGCCACAACAACAGCCACATCTACAAAACATCTTCGACCCCCTGTCCCTACACGTCCACACCAGCCTTTAAGCCAAAGTAGTCCTGAGAAAGAATTGGATCATCACCCACAGCCCGCTCAGAATGTCTCACAAACGCAAGAAGTCTCTCCTCATCGGCATCAACTATGTCAACTCCGAGCATGAGCTCAAAGGCTGCCACTCCGATGTCGACAACATGGCCGAGTTCCTTTCATACCGCGGCTACGATAATGGACACCGCAACCGTGCCATCCTGACAGACCGTCCTGAGGTCCCTTATGATTCGCCCTACTATCCCAACGGTCACAACCTTCTTGCGGCCATGGATTGGCTTGTCTCCGAACCAGGTTGCACACTCTTTATGCACTACTCCGGCCACGGTGGCCAAATTGCAGATGTCGACGGTAACCGGGGAGTCGGTGGCATGGACAACACCATTGTTCCTTCTGATTTCGAACAGCGAGGCCAGATCTCGAGTACCATTTTGCACGACCATCTCGTCACACGTATGGCGCCGGACTGTACGCTTTTCATCATCATGGATTGCTGTCACTCCGGATCTGCCGTGGAACTTCCTTACGTCTACCGCTCCGACTCTGACGGCCAGATCAGTCTCATGGACAATGTGCGCGCTGGAGCTCGATTGCTCGGTGAAGCCAACGACCTCATCAACGGCGGCTTCAGCTACAGGAAAGTCGGCGAGGCGCAGGAGCTCCTTGCCGGTGCAACTTCGTTCTTCAAGGGGCTAAGGCACATGGGCGAGCAGGAAGAGGAGGGGCTCAGTGGAGGTGAATTCGAGGGTCAGTACGGGAGCGAGAAGAAGATGGTCACGATGTTCAGTGGATGCAAGGATGACCAGACTAGTGCGGATGCGAAGATTCGGGGCGAGGCGACGGGCGCAATGACATGGGCGTTCTTGGAGACGATGAAGAGGGACCAGAACCCGACATATGCAGCGGTAAGTTTATCCGTGAACGAGGGGAATGGTGTTCGGCTAACGAGGAACAGACATTGCAGTTGACGAGACAGTTGCTGGATCAGAGCAACTACACGCAGATTCCGCAGTTGAGCTCTGGTCTGGACATCGATCTAGACAACATGTCCTTGGTTTTTTAGTCGTTATAGTACCAGGCTCGAGAAGTGATGATAGAAGTGATGGTTCAAGTGTAGTGGATGAGCCTGGCCTACTACGCACCTTAGACATTCTGGGTAGCTGAGGACCATGTTGTCTCCGGGTATGAAACATCTACCGGATAGCTTTGACTTCAACACTATACATACAACTATCGGGATCAACTTCAATGAATTTTTTTTTTTTACAAGGATGTATATCATGATACGGCAATCGAGCAGCTTCTTCGTGCGTTTTTGCAAAATGACATTCACTAATAAGTCGCGCCTTCCAGTTCAGACATGACATCATCGTGGACAAACAACTCGTTCGCTCTGCACATGCGTGTCAACGCAAAACCAGCGCCATTTTCAACCAGGAATGGATCGCGATATCAGCCCACCACCCGCAAAGCGCAGGAAGGTCAAGCCGGCGACGTTCTTCACAACACCACACGCGCCACCATCTGAGATTCCTGGGCCCCCGGCTCCCAACGCCATGCGCATCTTCTCATGGAACATCAACGGCATAAAAACCGTTCCTACAAAAACCAATAAAGTCCTTCTTCCAAACAACAACACCGAAGGCCTCCACCAGCACACAAAGCGCCGTTCCCCCTGCATCTCTTCGAGGCTTCCTACGCCGCCACCACTGGCCCGCCATGCTGCTCCTTCAAGAAGTCAAGATCGCGACAAAGGATATCAAAACACAAGATGCCGTTCGCGCAGCAGTGAATGCCTCCTCGTCAGCAAACAGCAAAGAACCGGCATACGAAGCACACTTCACCCTGCCCAATGATGCGTACAACGCGAAGGGCTTACGAGGTAGCGGCAAAGTGTACGGTGTTTGCTCAATTCTACGTCGCGATCTCCGCGAAAAGTACTCCGTCAACGTCCATACCGTAGACTGGGACAACGAAGGTCGTATCTCCATTGTGAAAATCGCCCGCGATCGGCAAAGATTAGCCGTGTTCAACATCTACGCCGTCAACGGCACAGACAACCCCTACCGAGACTCCAGAACCGGAGCACAGCGCGGAACGAGACACGATCACAAACTTGCCTTCCATAAGGCGCTGGCAGAGGAATGTAAGAGATGGGAAGGAAATGGGTGGGATGTCCTGCTCGGAGGCGATATGAACGTTGCGCCTGATGCGAGAGATGGGTTTCCGAAATTACGCATGTTTCCGATGCAACACGTTCTCAACCGCGCTGATTTCCACGACAAGCTCCTACAGGGGAAAGAAGGTAAAGAGGGTTTCGGTGGTGTAGATGTCTGGCGAAGGATACACGGAGAGAAGAGGAGGTACACATACTACTCCAGAGGGCGGGAATGGGGCACGAGTTGCGATCGGGTTGATTACTTTATCGCTGGGAGAAGGGCATGGGATGCTAAAATGATCAAGGATGGCGGGATCTTAGACAGTGAAGCGGAGAGAGGGTCGAGCGATCATGTGCCGATTTGGGTGGACATCGCACTCTCAACACCGGAAGCGGATCAGTACTGAAGATTTCATCATCTTCCATTCGCATCGTTCCAATACCGAAGCCTTCACTCTCGCCAGACTCCACGCTACATGCACCACGCCCACGCCAACGTCATCACCTATCAGTCAGCATACCGGTCACATCCCTCGGTCCTTCCACGCGCGCAGCCCAACACATCACCCACTCATTCACCCAACTTCTTCCCGCCCTTCACAATCTCAAACTGCGTCAGTCCCTCATGCTTTCCCTGCCAGGGGTGTCGATGCAGCGCGAAGCTCTCGCACTCAGGTTGGGGGATGCGCGGGAACATGCCCATCTTGACGATAACCAATGTTGGCAAGACGTCGGGGAGGGACATTATGGGACTGTTTATTGTTAGTGAGATTTTGGGAAGGGGCTGTTGGCCGAACGAGGTGGAGTGAGCAACATGCGCTGGAAATGCTCTGATTGTGGTGAACGCTAGGGGTTGTTCTTGAGCCTCGCAGAACGACCGGACTACCAAGAATTGCGCGTGCTCTTCGATTCATGTTTCGAGGGATCTGTCGTTCACATCTCCCAGCGCATCGCAGCCGCCTCCCACTCTCATACAACCATCGATCAGAGCGTGCTGCGCAACACACAGGATCCCGATTCTCCAGCCTCCAGCCGTCCCGCTCGACATCAACACCAGTACAAAAAAGGAAACTTACTTTCCACACGTCCCGCAAAAGAATCTTTCAACCTTATTCCCACTGTTTGTCTCCCAGTCAATGTACTTCTTCATTACGCCCTTGGGGTCATCGACGACGACTTTCTCTCGCTCAATTGCGAGGTTCGAGGATACGTAAGATCCGGAGACTTTGCGGCAGTTCGCACAGTGGCACAAATGGCCCCGTGGGCGCGTGAAGAGTTCGTTGTCGTTGATGGTCACGCGAATTGACTTGCAGAGACAGGTTGAGGAGAGGGAGGTGCTGAACTTGGAGAGGTCGTGCGAGTTTGGGTCGCCGGTTAGTCTAGAGGGGTCTGCCATGATGGATGTCTGGTGGAGACTGTCTGCAAGCTCAGAGAGAAGGTCGAAGCGAAGTTGAAAAGGAGTAGACGTCGCTCCGAGTTTGGATTCAGGTTGAAGTCATTCAGCGGAGATAGCTAGCAAGGCTAAGCTTACAGCCGGTCGGAACGGAGATTTCGGAGTGCATATGTCATCGTGCTGACCAAGACCAATCTACATCATGCTCCGACTGAGGCCTGGCTCAATCTGTGAGGCTGTCGTTTATAAAGGCCTTACACCCTCGACGTGCCTTGCTCGCGAAGTACCGTCTGTGCGCGCGTGTTGCGCACGGTCTTGTGATGCGCGCCAAACTCCAAACCACCCAAACCATCACCACCATAACTCTACCAATATGGCTCCAATTGACAAGGCGGTTGAAGACCTGAAATTGCATGAGGAAGACAAAGATGTTATGTATACAAAGATTGCCAAAAAAAAAAACTTGGTGTAACACGCTCAACTTTGATGTGTAGATATCTACAAAAGAACGCATCAAATGAAACCAAGTCAGTCAACCAATGACTACTCACTCCACAACAAGAGGCAGGGCTTGTGGAGTATATCAATGAGCTCACAGAGAAACAACTGCCTCCAACCAGAGTCATGATACGCAATTTTGCACAAGAGCTGGGTGATTGGGAGCCTGCTGAGAGCTGGGTTACACGCTTTCTCTCTTGCCAAAAAGACCATCTCATCCCAGCCTGGCAGAAAGCTATGGATACTGAGCGTCACCAAGCTGACTCAGGGGGCAAATATAAGCTCTATTTTGAACAACTGCACGCCAAAATGGAGGAGTATAACGTTGAGCCAGGCAATACATACAATATGGATGAGAAGGGGTTCATGATTGGGGTCTCTGGACGCTCAAAACAAGTGTTCAGCAGGCCAATATGGGAGTCAAAAACTGTCACAAGTGCTGTTCAAGATGGCAATCGAGAGTGGATAACTCTACTGGCCTGCATCTGTGCAGATGGCTCCAAAATACCACCTGGAATCATCTTTAGCTCAGCCAACTGCAGCCTCCAATCAAGCTGGGTTGATGATATAGCGTCACAGGAGGACTCAGTTATGGTCAGCTCATCTCCAACTGGATGGTCAAATGATGATATAGGCCTAGCTTGGCTCAGAGACGTGTTTGATTGCTATACCAATGAGAAGGCTTGCCAAGCTTGGAGACTACTCATTCTAGATGGCCATGGATCCCATACAACACGCTCATTTTTGAAGTACTGCAAGTCCAATAGGATACTCCTGAGTATCTTTCCCCCCATAGTACCCACACACTGCAGCCCCTTGATGTGGTGATGTTTAAGTCTGTAACAATGCAGAGCCCCTGTTACAATCAGTGGTACACTAGGTAGCACTGACAAGGATTGCTCTCACGCTAACATAGGCAGCAACAGAGCAGCGGCAAGTCTCGGTTAAGCTGAGATGGAAACGAGACTGGCTGTCAGACTGCATATATGCTCTCACTGATCTCACAATCTGACGTACAGCAACAGAGCATGCAGAGCACCCTGCATGAACGCTCCCACTGCTCTCACTGCGCTGTCAGATCACACAGAGCAGACAGATCACCACGTAGACATGTTTAGTATATAGCATGTAGGAACACAACCCTTATGGTTCGTGTTCAACCTTGTCAATTAAGTTTGTCATTGGATCTCAATCAACCTTTGAGCTAGACAGATTGCCTGTACTACTCATCATTACCCCAAGCTGTTGTTAGGTGTTTCACCCAGGTGACTTACCCTACTGTTCTAGAACCAGAGCTCATCCTCAAGAACCAATTGAATAGTACTTATGAGCTTTGCTTAAAGTACAACTTCAACATTTTGAACACCCCAAAGATGAGCCCTACCTCAGGAACAACTGCTACCCCAACCAGCTCCCGCCACTCCAATGTCAACATGACCAATGCCATTGAGACCAACCATATCAATGTCAGTAAGCCCAACCTCTACCATGGAGATTGCGCCAAGCTCAATGACTGGCTCATGCAGTGGGACCTCTTCTTCATGTTTCAAGGAGATAAGGTGCCCATGAAAAAATGTGTTACACTTGTTGCAAGTTACATGCGTGGAAATGCCTTCAAGTGGATCAAGCCATTTGTCTAACAGTACAACCAAGGTAATGCTCCTGATGAGGTTGATGCTTGGATGAACGACTTCAATGAATTCAAGACCAAGATTCAACCTGTGTTTGGAATCTCTAACAAACCAACAATTGCACAACGCAACATTCAGCGTATTTGTCAGACCAAGGCAGCCGCCAACTATGCTGCCCAATATCAGCAGTTCTGCTGATATTGATGTACTTTTTGGCCATTTGGCGCAATGGGGCTCTGCATTGTTACAATAGAGCTTCTTGGCCAAAAAGAGAAGGATGAGAAGCAGGAGATTGCTCAGAAAGCCAACAAGAAGCAAGCACAGGCTGAAGCTAGAGAGGTCAAGGAGAAGGAAGCTCAGGAGAAGTGTGAAAGGCAGGCTCAGGAGAAGGTAGAGAGAGCTGAGAGGAGGGCTGAAGAAGCGGCTGAAAAACAGGCTTGTCAAGAAGCTTGTGTGGCAGCTTGCAACTCTAAAAAAGCTCCACAATTGGCCTGAAGCAGTAATAAGAGAGCTTCACAAGCTCAGAAGCCTGCTCCAAAGCGTGTGAGGTGGGCGGTAGATGGTGTAGTTGGTGAGGGAGCCTCTCAAGCCACACCGGCTGCCTCACCCATCACCACCTGCCAGGGCCACAACATCACTCTTCCAAGTAAATATAAATAAGCCAAGTTTGTTGCATAGGTCTATATAACAATACTTCTCAATGTCTCATAATAATAGTTATTGTGGGTGGCTCTATAGCCTTATTTTTGTCAACTTCAAAATGGCGTTTGGCGCGCATCACGAGACCGTGCGCAACACGCGCGCACAGACGGTACATCAGCAAAAGTGTCCGAGATTTTTTGACTAGGAGGTGCAACCAAGGTGCAGGTCTGAACATGGCTCTCGAGGTCGGAGCCAGCACAGCAGGTTCCTTCGATGGTATGCACTGCGAGCTGGTGGACACACTCGCAACTAAGCCAGACGCGGTGACCTGGGGTCACAACTATGGCATCGTGGTCAACGAAAGGTGCAAGCGCTTCTACGATGAAGGCAAGAGACACCTCTTCGCGATCTTCAAAATGATCGTACTAGAGCTGTGGCGCGACCACAACCAGAAAGGGGTACTTCATCACTGACGCTACCATCATGAAGCGCTTCAGACCGGGCTGGGTGTACGATACTACCGACCAGGAGCCAGAGACGGCGGATACAATCCATGATCTTGTTTTCAGGCTGGATGTTGATCCAGACGAGCTGGAGAAACGGTCAGCGAGTTCAACGCTGCGTGCAATGACAAACCGTTCGATCTGATGAAGCTCGATGGGAAGGCGAAGACGGGGTTGAGTCCGAACAAGTCGAATTGGGCGAATCCGATCGCGACAGCGCCCTTTTACGGGTGTCCTGTTACTTCGCACCCTACGTTCACATATGGCGGTATGAAAGACAGATGTGGATGCGCGGGTGTTGAGTACCAACAACGTTCCCATTCCAGGACTGTATGCGGCGGTTGAAATGACTGGGCTGTTCCACAATGGTAAGTTGGTGTCCTGTCGCGTGTGACTTGTTTGGCTGATCTGGACATAGAATATCAACCTGCAACGTCTGTTGCGAAGTTTGACTTTCGGTCGTCCTGCTGGTACTACTATGGCAGTACGATTGGGCGAAAAGTGTTTGCTGCAGAAGGTGACGTCTGTTGGTAATGCGACTGCGACTATTTGTACACGCAGATGAGGTTGGTTTCTTTTCTGCCGAGGTTTACCGGCGTTCGAAATGAGACGAGCACCTGTGTTTTTTCTGTGATGTCGATGTGGAATAAGAGATGCGCTGACGTCATGACGACTTCAGGGATGAATCCTCCACCACAGCAGTCGCTTTTATATAAACTCACCTCTGCGCTACTGTCTTAAAACCAAAACCAAAACCATTTGTCCTCGTTTGATACCCCATCTGCAACCTTTTCAACTTTTATACACCCACCTCAAAACCCAAAACTCAAAACCCAAAACTCAAAACCATAACCACAGTTACCTACGCACACACCATATAATGGCTGCAAAGAAGGTCCTCATCGTCATGTCTGACGCCCACTCTTTCCCTCTGTACAACACCGGCAGTGAAGGCAAGACCGTAAGCCAGGACTCAGGCTACTTCCTGATGGAGCTCGCGAAGCCACTTCAGAAGATCCTCGACGCCGGTTACGAAGTCACATTTGCCTCGCCCAAGGGCAAGGAGCCTCAGCCAGACCCGCTCAGCACATCCCTCCTCACATACGCGGGCAATGTGTACGAGCGTGGACGTCAACAGGATCTCATCGAGCGCATGAAGCGCGAGAACGGGTTCTCGAGTCCGCGCAAGTTCTCGGATATCAGCGACGATGAGCTGAAGAGTTACAGCGGTATCTTCATTCCTGGCGGTCACGCACCATTGTCAGACCTTGGTGACAACCCCGAGCTTGGTCGCATTCTGTCACACTTCCATCAGCAGCAGAAGCCTACAGCGGCCCTGTGTCACGGGCCGTGGGCATTTCTGTCAACCAAGGTTGGGCCGCAGAAGGAGTTCGCGTACAAGGGATACAAGCTGACGTCATGGTCTGATGCTGAGGAGAAGTTCATGGAGACGATGCTAAGGGGAGAGATTACGAAGGTTGAGGGTACGCTGCGGGAGAACGGCGCGGATATGCAGGAAGGTGTTGCGAAGAGTATGGGAAGCATCACAGTCGATCGTGAGGTTGTCACTGGCGACAACCCGATGGCTGCGAATGCGATTGGTGACAAGTTCCTGGAGATGATGGCTGGAAAATAGTTGCACTGAGGGATGGTCAATGTCGTAGCCCATGAATGTAATGAAGCCAAGAGTGTATACCGAACCTGTAGGCTCAACCAAGCAAGATATTTTCAAGGTTGCATTTGGCCAAACTGAGATAAGACAACAATGCAGGCAGGAGCGTGCTGATGATTGATATATCGACTTTAAGCGAATCTTCGCAATGCACACTCGCAGGACACCTCCCCATCTTCATGCCTTCTTTAGAAGATTTCCAAGCCGACAAGGCTGGCAGGTATCTAGATCGGCTCCGGATTCCAGAATACCGTTGACGTTGAAAAGCCGAGGGTCTGCCTGCCCTGCCCCGCGATATCATCATCTTCCGCGGACTGCAAATACTGTGACCACAAACCTGCATGGAAGGATGTGATGGAGCCGAGGCTGACTGCACGTGATGACAAGCTGTAGTCAAGAGTTTGCCAGCAACTGGCTTCTTGATAATCACGCTATCCGCACAATGCAACTCACATCATTCGGTAACAGCCACATATTCACTTTCGCATCTCCGCAGCATGGCAGCAAAGGAAGGTGCAACCTGGTGCAAGTACAAGCACAAAGCCTTGCACCGGAGCCGAACACCATTCGACTTCTACGAATTCGGCTGGGCATCATCGCCTGTTGTTTCAGTATATCATAAGGCATGAGCGGATCTCTGGACCCTATGAGGCACTTTCATATGTTTGGGGCGATCCGAACGATGCCCACACAATCCAGCTCAAGAATGATGGCGACTCAAAACACCGTTCCTTTGCTGTCACTAATAATCAGTACAGAGCCTTGCGTCAGCTCAGAGATCCAGAATTACCGCGGACATTTTGGATTGATGCTATTTGTATCAACCAGAAAGATGACGAAGAATGAGGATCCCGGGTTCAATCATGGCTAGGATATATGCTTTCGCTCTTGGCCTCAGCATATGGCTTGGTAAAGAAGCAGATGACAGTTTTTCCGTGCTAGAAATGTGCCGTACTGTCCTTGCGCATGATCCTCCACACGTAGGTGAATGGCAATCAGTCGCAACTAAAATGAACCTCACCGAGAGAGCTCTCATAGCCTTTATGAGTCGTCCTTGGTTCCGGCGGGTTTGGCGGAGCGCTCATCAAAGGAAGGATCAATGCCATAAATACTGACGGTCCCATATGTGATTCAGGATGCAGCAATTGCCAATGTTTGTTGCGGCGTAGGCCACTGTAGAATACTGATAGCTACGGTAAACGATAACGTAGGACTATCGGGTTGATGGAATACAGCGCCGAATTGTTGTCTAGCTGAGAAATGACAACTATATACCTGACCTTAGGCCAGCGACCTGTCACACACTAGACTAGGGTAGTCTGTCAGGGGTACAGTCAAACCTTGTACAGACCGACCGATACCGCAACAATGTTGTATCAGTCCTCTGCGGCAAGGACTCCATCCCAGGCTGGATGTTCGCTACGGGTCTACAACCGACCCTCATACATTGCTACACGAAGACCGAAGCCCAACGGAGAATCCCTCCCGCTCTAAGATTCATGGACGAACGGAATGCATCATTCCAGGTTTTAGGAAACTGGCGGGCCCGGACACCTCGGAGGGGGTTGCCTATTTCCAGATCTTGCCCCTTGGGGAATTGCCTACAATGCGGGCGCTTATTACAGTAAGTTGCCAGTCAAAACTTCCTGATTTGTACTGACAACCCTAGGGTCCCCAAAAGTTTTTGGCAGTCTCACATTGGGCGCATACGATGAGAGTCGATTCGAACCGAACAACTTTACTTTCCCGTTCGATCAGGATGACACACAACCAACAAGTCTCAAATTGCAACGAGTCACAGCGGAGCACACCTTCAACGGTTCAGTGGTTATCCTGCAGGAGGAGGCCTATGTCAATCTGGACTTTATCATGCCCTACCTCTGGCTCCCACGCGATACAAGCGATCGCATCGCACCGTTCTTCGAGCTCCGATACCCACGCTAAGCTTGTAGCTCAGACCCATCTTTCATCTTTGCTTTTCACGATTCCCCTAGCTTCGCGGACATCATTAGTATCAACTTGCCGTACGCGGCGTTCGACCTTCAGGCTTCATGGCCCATCTACATCGACACAAGGAACTACTTCTCCATCCGTCGAGCGGCGAACGCGTCGCAATTTACCTTGGGCAGAGCGTTCATACAGAAGGCCTATGTTATCGTTAACTTCGAACGGGGTGATTTTTCGTTGCACCAAGCGGCATTCCTAGCCTCAAACGGACAGAAGATCGTGTCAATCCCGGCCAAGGACGCGCGCATCAGGACCAGAAAACAAGCAGCTTGAGCAAAGCATCTCTCGCTGGGATTATCACTGGCAGCACAATATTTGCTGCCTTGCTGATTGTACTTGCAACGTTCCTCTTTTACCGACGACGGCAATCACACAATACCGGTCAGCCGAAGCTTGAGCATTGGAGCAGCAGGGAGAAGACACAAGGAACAGCTGAAATTCCGGAGAACGAGGTAAAGAGATCACACTTGATGAGCACTGAGGTTCTGGAACTGCAGGTGTCCAGGGAGAAGGAGGTTGATGGTAAGTAGGGGAGTGAGCTAGTGATGGGACTTGGAGTTTTGGCATGTGAATGTTTGTGAAAAGTTTCTCATGAGAATCCTTTAACTTCTCTCTATTCGCCAGCTTGGATTACATGACGACCGTGTCAAGATTAGCAAAAGAATGTCGAATCTTTCATCTGCATGGGACTACCACAATTCTCAAGAAACCAACCTTGTTTCGTAGTTAGTCTCCACCATCACCTGCGCCAGCACCTTGACCACCATGGCCCGCCTCGCCCATCTCCGCGCGATCGTCGCTTGTTGTTCGACGGTGCACTGCGGTGCTTACCGAGTGACTCGGCTTCGGGTGCTCGTCATGCTCAACTAGCGGGAAGTGTAGTCCAGGCTTGCTTGCCAGGGCATCCCTGATTTCACTAACACTCTTCGCCGCCCACGCTGCGCTACCCAGGTTGCTCAATGGGTACAGAAGCTGGTTATCAGGATGCATGACCACTTCTTCAATGCTCGGCGCTGACTTGCTCATGATGATATCGATGTCTTTCCTGATCTGTAGGCAGAACGCGTCAAGTGGCAGGTCATTCACGTCTTCGCCGAAAGGATTCTCGATTTCGCGTCCAATGAGCGCAATACCTAGAATGATGTATGCAGCAAAGATGCTCGCTGGGATTGTCACCCAGTCCAAAGCTTTGTACAGCTGGAACGGTAGCAACAGAATATACACCCATGTTATCTGGCTGATAGCAATGCTGTATGCGATTGGCAAAGGTGTGTTGAGAATGCGGTCTGTGCCTGTGAGGACGTCGTTGAAGGTGGTGAGGGCGTTCAAGGATTGCGTCTGGTAGATGGAGACTTTGAAGGTGCCATTGTCGTAGATGGACTTCATATATACGCTCAAGTGGTTGAGAATCTCGAGAGGAAGATTTCCGAGTGGTAAGCGTGAGCGTTTGAGTAGTCTGCGCGGATTGGACTCGGCCATAGGAAGACCGAGGAATTGACCGGCAGTCTTGAAGATGTTTCGTTTGTCCTTGTCATCCGGTCGGTCGGCGTCGCGTGCAAATGTGTCTAGGTGACCGACGAGGTGTTGGAGATCGTCGTAATGCATGTATGGTTCGAAGCGGAGCTTGTGCTTCAGCGCAACGGCATAGGCCGCAATCAGGTTGAGACAATTGATCTTCGCGAGAAGGTCTTGTTTACCGAGCTCGGCGTCATTTTCGTGTCGCTCGTCGACGTGGATCCAGATCAAGCGTGCGAGGTTTTGAGATGTGAGAGTGAGTTGCGCCCAGTATTTGCGACCGTCATTGTAGCGCTCATAGGCGGTGGAACTACGAAAGCTGAGGGCGAGACCGACGACGAAACCGAGGACGGTAAGAAGGAGCTGATTGATACCGACTGGAAATCGTCAGTATTTCACCAGGTACAGAGATGAAAAATTGAAGACACATACGGTTATGTACGAACTTCGATATCAGAGTGATCATGCTCGACCACCCGGCGACAAAGAGCAGCGGCAGGACCATTTCTGGTGTCACGCTGCCATGAATGCGAAGGAAGACAGGCCATTTCGAGTGGTGGTCAAGGTCGCGTGGTCCGATCTGATGGTTGTCAGTGACTTTAGAGCTTGGGTAGAAAAGATCTATCAGAGAAGGCGTACGAAGTAGTCGTCGAAATCCTTGTCGCTATCTTGCTTCTTTAGTGGTGGCCGTGTCGATGCACCATTTGTGCCATTCGACACCTTTGCCGTGTTCTGCGTCTTCTCCGCCATTACGATCGATTGTTGTTATGTACGAAGAGACAGCGAGAGGTCAACACCAGTAGCTATTCGCGTTCAAGACTGCAACACGCGAGCACTTCATATTATGTTGCGTGCCCCTATCCCTGACCGTCTCTTCTGCATCTCACCGCCCAATAGAAAATATGCGATCCAGACCTGGCGTTTGAACATCTTTAGGTGGCGCTGTGTGTCCAACGGCACATTTATGGCGATGCTGTAAAGGGCAAGGCAGCAATACGCGAGTCCAACCGATTATGATTGCGCAGTGGGAGCGGTGATGCGCAGCTCTGATTCAGACACTGGCCGGCTTGGCAGGGTGCTATCACGGGCTCCCTGTGTGTGAAACACGGGACTGTGAGATGCGCTGGCGAGTCATGATTGCCGAAAGCTGTGTCGTGCGAGCGCGTTTGGATGTCACATTGCACCAGGAATTGCGCGAAATGCGGGGCTGTAGGGACATCACAAGCTCTGATGTGAAAACCGCCGCTCATCTTTCGACCACTTTACTGTGGGGGTCTCAGACTTTGGAAGGTGTTGGCGGTGAAGCTGTGATGGGCGCAAGGGTGAGGAAACTTGATCAGCGCGGAGATAATTTGTGATTGGGCCATGATTCAAGCTTCAGCTGTGCGAGCAGGTCGAGATCTTGTTCTATGACTTGGCGGTATTGGCATACATTTTGCTGCTGCTTGGTGCTAACGCCTGTTTCGACGAAAATGCTGTACGCACACAGACTTGAATTTTTGAGCGTGAATGTTGTGCTCACGTGCGACGCGCCTTTAGCGCGTTTTGATGACCTGTCGAATGATGCCGCTGAAGTCTCGAAGGTTTTACATCAACCTCTATTTTTATCGACACAGTGATAACTACAACCAAACACCGAGCACCTTCCCAATTGCTCTTCGAACTATCGCAATGCCTCATACCAGTTCCCTGGCCGTTCCGGAAGCATACACGCAGATGCTCGCGCGGCGGCGAAGTAACATGATAGACCCTCACGATAGCGACTGTTCGTCGTGAGAGCATGTGTTTCCTTCTGTGTTGCTTGCGCATGTCAGGAAAACCTAGACCCACAATTCAAAGCCGATTTCATCGAGCATTTCCAACGTGATGGCTTCGAAGCGCTGCAGTGCTGGTACGTGGCCATGAACGATAATCACTAGCATGAGGTCGACAAGCAGCTACCGGAGGCCGTGGACAAGATGAACGTGCCGGCGTTGTATATTAGTGCTATGGATGATGCGGTGTGCAAACCTGAGGCTGCGGAGCCGCTGGTTGAGAAGGGGCTGTTGCCGAATCATACAAAGACGGAGTTGATTGATGCGGGATATTGGGTGCCGTATGAAAAGCTGGAGGAGGCTGTTGACAGGCTTAAGGTGTGGCTAGAAGAGAAGTTCCTGCATTGAGGGAAAAATCGTGGTTGGTGGATGCAAGTCAACCGGTAAAAGACTCTAGCAACAGGTCGATATGGCTATGAAGAATGTGCCTGCTAGATCAAAAGGTACCGTTGCCTCTGTTGTTGTATTAGATGTTCGTAGCATGTTGTGATGACCCCAACGAAAGTTCTAGCTCGCAGATCAATGAATTGAAAAGCAATAGCTGTTTTTGGACAAACTGCCGATTTGAGAACGGCCGCGGCAAGTACCTGCCGGGCAGTGAAGCTCGATGGGGCACAAAAGTTATATACAACTTTGATCGTTCGCCTACATCAGGCGCCAACACCGCGGTTTGTGCTAAGACACAAGTATGGGTAGCTGAAAGCGCCACGCGGAAGTGGCAAGGAAGGTCTGCTTCATTGATCCGTACAAATACTGTTCCTAACAATGCAAGCGACCGGCGACAGCAAGAAGGAGATGAGCAGCTGCCCACGCCTTACAGTGAGAAGGCGGTTTCACTTCATGGAGAAGGAACATGGAGAAGAAAATACAGCAACGCCAACGCCAAGCTTTTATGGGAGGCTGAAAATGGAGAAGGCACTACTCAACAGTCCACCGAAGAAAGCAAACCGCCGGAACACACGCCATCACACATGACCTTCGACGGCTCGATCAAAACCGCGCTTCCGAAGCACTACTTCCTCCTTGCAGAACAACTTGCCTCCCAAGGCACACACGCACCCGTATTTTTCGTCGTGCGCCCAATGTCCGCCCTCCCATGCTACGAAATGACTGCGAGAGCCGTATCCTCGTTTACACCTGAACTCTCAACCCACCTCATCTCGGCCACACAGGTCTCCTCTGGCACACTTACCTTTCCCTTGACGAGCGAAGGATAGCAGCCACGATCTTACCGATGAGGACAGCGCCAGCGTCCAGGAAGAAGATTATAGAGGCTGTGAAGTGGTATGACACCCGGGGCTTCAAGTTGAGTGTTCATCAGCGAGCGCGGTTGTAGTAAGATAACGTCCTTAACCGGCTCGTGTGGGTTTGGCCAGGCCAAGACTGCGAGGGCCCGTCTGTGTTTCTTAGATGCCTACTAAATTCAGCCAGGGAGGATGGATTTGAGACTGACTTCCCGTCGCTGCATGGAGGTGACCACATGAAGAGCTTCAGGCCGAATGGTAATCTGGGGTGGGGTACTGGCAGTCTTGTTACCAGCGATTTGGGCAGACCTGATGACTTTGTCGAGCGAAGTCATGAGGACGTGAGACTGTCGCATTGTAAAAATTGGAAGACAATGAAGTCTGCCACTGAAGTCACGAAGGTGACGCGGCGACTTGCATGACGTGCTGGCCTTGCCGGAAGCTGAGGCTGTGTATCCCGAATTGTTCGAGTTTGAAAAAGGTAAAATTTTGGAGTTAAGTTGGAAGTTACACGACACTGACCGCCATACGGCTGCATCAACTACAAGCGGCAACGTCACCGAGGTCCTGCTGCAATGCCAAAACAGCCACAGCGCGATCTGGTGGGCCAAGATACGATATGTTCGAGGTAACCGGCCTGCATACCTACTTTTCATCCCAGGTAACCGGACGTATGAAGTGGAAGCAACTAAGGTCGGAACAAAGTACGAAGCGTTCGAGGGAATTAAGACCGCAACGAAACGTCCTCCAGGAACAGCAAGTTCTACAGCTGTATGTAGACTCTTCTTTTGTTTCGAAAGCCGGAAGTATTTAGGAAGAGCCTGAAGTTTTTGGGGATGAATCTAGAGTTACTGGCCATATAATCGGGAATGGACGATCGGTGGATAGCTGTCGATGATTGGAAGGACCAGCAGTTTACAGCCACTGTAGCGGTAGATGACTTCGGTGTGGGATCTAATGACGCGAAGGGAGAGAGGAGGCGAGCGTCATCCTGATAGAAGAGAGCTTTGTCGAACTTAGGGAGTGGACAATAGAAGCGATGGATGAAAGCTTTGGTAAGTGACCATCTGGTAAACACGAGCTAGCCCTAAATTGGTAACGACCACCCACTAAAGGAAAGGGCAACATATCATCCTGAGAAAAGAGACAGGTCAAAGGACCAAGCCTATCGCGCGTGAAACTTCGATCGGTGGAAGACGCATTCATCGATCAAGAGGGGCAAAAAGTCCCATTGTGTAGCACTTGACGTTTGGGATTGATGGACGAAAGGGATAGCAGGTATGTTTACGTCGAGTGCTTACACCAGAGCACATAAAAATGGGTCCGAGTTCATGCGAAAGGAGACGTGAGGATTGGACTGTACTCGAAACCAGAGTACAGCGGCAGGTACCTGTGGACTGGCCCAAGTGTGATGTCCAACGGGAACGTTGACCACGTTCATACAGATCTGTTCCAACAAAGCTTACTGAATTAGAAACGGGCGTACATGGAATGGAAATCTTAGCGATAGAAGTGCTCGCAACTTGAGACTGTGAGACGGCTCAGGTACTCGTGGACTTGTCTCAGCGTGGTGACATACGGAAACGTTGACTAAGTTCAAGCAGACCCGTTACAGGAGATTTTGCTGAAACAGAAACAGACATACATGGACCAGTACTCGAAATTCGAGACTGAAGTACAGAGGCAGGTACCCGTGTACGCCTGGAGGTATTCGCGAGTCCACCACACTAACAGTTTAGCCCGTTCGGGCAATCCCGCAACTTTTCCTACATCACCCGTTCAAGCCTTTCACGACATCGTGTCTCAGCTGTCAGCCGTCCACATGTGTTTAGCAAGCAAGAAAAGCTTCTAGCGCAGCGGTTCAACTTCCACATCAGCTTCTGCGCCTGCGGTGCGTCAAGGCCGGCGAGTGTGCGGCTGCATGGTGGCGTGCTTTTTGTGGAGAAATGACGGGTGTACGAAGAACCAACTTTCTGCAAGAATAGATACTCACGTCTCGAACCTCCTCGCTGCGCGCCCTTGCAGCTCTGTAAACGGGTATCACCTCACCCATCGACCTGAAACTATGATTCGTTATTCAAGTACAAGGCTCGATATTGACGGCAGCGGGTGTCATGCAGGTAGTTCCGCAGAGCTACCCGCATAGGAAACGGAAAGCGGTGAACTTGCGAGTTTTGTTGGGAGCTTCACACCTCGACTGCCGGGGGAGGAGTCATACCACGCTGAAACATGTGAAGCGGGCATGACATCCTTGGACCCTCGCTGCCACTGGACCCTCGCTTTGCTCGGGAGCGAACAGTCTAGCCAGCATGGTTCTTGGTGGTACAATATGATGGCTGCTTATCGGTGTTCCACCCTCGACACAAAGCGTGTGGCACGGCGGACGGATAGTGTGATAGCGCTCCTCGATGTTAGTGATGAGTACGTTTTAGCGATGTTCCTGGTGTGCTGGCTGCAGCTCAGGTTGAACGGACTCGCTTTTCGAGCGTCGAGTTCGTCGAGGTGTGGTGTCGAACAGCCCTTAGCGCCTCTCACTTCCCTGTCAAGTCTCATCATCTAGGCTAGTTCAGGGTTCAAGCAGTAACTTTTCGTGGACTTGCGCCATCATCAAGCCGATATTCTCACCTGCCTTGCGTCTGCCTATTCATCCCACCGCCCACATATCTACTCCCTTCTCCCCCTCTCACCATGTCCGCGCCAAACGACTCCCCCGCCCACCACCGCCACCCCGTCAACTCCACGACACCCGCGAATCCGCCTGTTGCAGGCGAGGCCACCGCTGCCCACCCTCCTGCCGGCAAGCCAGACCCCACCCTCGAGAGCAATGCCTCCCAAAGAAGGCTCTCCGCCCCCGGTCCCTCCGCCTCCGCCGAACTCTCCAGTCTTAAAGTAAAGCTCAAGGGCGCGCTGCGCCAGTTCCCCGACTTCCCCGCGCCCGGTATCTTGTTTGAGGACATTCTGCCCATCTTCGCGGACCCCAGCTTGTTCGAGGCGCTGATCCACGCGCTCGAGCTGCACATTAAGCAGACCTTCACCGAGAAGCCGGACGTCATTGTTGGCCTCGATGCGCGCGGCTTCCTCTTTGGCCCGACTCTGGCGCTGCGACTGGGCGCTGCGTTCGTGCCTGTTCGCAAGAGGGGCAAGCTCCCGGGTCCCTGCGAGACCGCTGAGTACATGAAGGAGTATGGTGCGGATTTCTTCCAGATGCAGGCCGACGCTGTGAAGCCGGGGCAGAAGGTGCTGATTGTTGATGACATCATTGCGACTGGTGAGCTTGAGCCTTCCAACTCGAACCTCAAGAATTGCTATGCTAATAATAATAGGTGGCTCCGCATCCGCAGCCGGTTCGCTCGTCGAAAAGCTCGGCGGCAAGGTTCTCGAGTACGTTTTCATCCTCGAACTCGACTTCCTCAAGGGCCGCGATAAGCTCAACGCGCCCGTTTACACGTTACTCTCTGGCCAAGAGGAGAAACTTGGCAGCAGCTAAGATTCCAAATACATATATCACGCTATAGACGAAGGGATAGGGGTTACATGGGAAGGCGTTCGCAGGTTCAGGGCACGGGTTGGAAAAGGTCCTGTGCCCATTCAACATTTTATGCATCCATGGATGGATGTGAATCTACACGCTCCGCTTCGTTGAGCAGTATTGCCAAGTCTGCTGCGGAGAACAGTATATACCAACATCATGTTACGAGAACATTCCATCATCGCAGTACCTTCCTGTTCGACCATTCTACGACACAGAAAAATTATTTTGTATTACCCCTCCATCTGACAGCACGCTAGCATGATCACGACAGGGATGGCCCGGTCATCGACACTTTCCTCCACATTCGGCAGCCCCACTGGCCCTGTCGACCTCCAGACGGGTGTCAACAACAAACGCGCAGATTATATCGCATACATTCTACACGTTTACACTCATCCATGGGTGTAACTACTTTTGCTCAATTCGATCAGAGTACATGACCATCTCTTAAGCCTTGAGGTGCGGCGAACCACCCGGTCTCATACCCCAGGCATTTATATCAACACAGCTACAACTTACAATAGTGTATTTCGCATAGCAATCTTTTGTTGGTCGCAGATGTCCACTTCACTCCCATTACTTGCTTTCGCTGCCGGACAGTTTGCTCCGGCCAAACCGCACAATGACTTCGCCTGACAGCGTCTGCGAAACAACTGAAGATGACGCAGGGTGTTGGTATGACGGAGTGCCGTTTGTACGTATCGAAAGCTCTTTAAATCTCATGCCTGGCGTTACACTGATAGATTAACAGTTCTCGGATAAGCTTTGTTGATAGTGTTTTTCAAGCGAATTATACCGATCACTGTCTCCACCACGATTAATGTTTCCATGCACTTCATTGATAATTTCTAAAAGAGGAGCATCTGAAGAGAAGAGTGTTATCTTGTCCCTATGGATACATGGCGCGGCGTTACAAACTCGCCACTCAGCAGCCGGGGCTGGGTCATGCAAGAGCGTGGCTTGTCTGTCCGAACATTTCTTTTCTCCGACATTTTCCGTCTGAAGTCAATACTAAGATCCGGGGCCGACGCCAAGCACAAGAAAACAGAGTGGCTCTGCACTATTAGTGATCAGATCTTACTGGAGAAGAGCAGTGATGGGGAACAATGGGAGCGTCAAAGAGAATGCGAGGTGGACAAGAACAACTGGATGAAAGAGTGCGAGTACAGCATCTTAAGAAAGGTGGCTAGTTCACCTACTGACGTGGAAACTGGACAGATCCTTGACATTTACGATCCTCATAGAATCTTAGGACGGGCACCTGCCGATCTCGAGGGTTGCGACCTTGGAATTTTGGAGGGGCTTGACATCAAGGGTTGGAGCGAGCTCAAGAGACATTTGCAAGCTTGGGATATTGGAATGGAGTCCGCTCGAACCTACCGTCGCTCAATCAGACATATGTCACTGGAGATGTCACAGTGATTACGTATCGTGGAGGTGTACTCCTTATGCTCATTGACCTTCCGAAAAGACAAACTTGTGGCCATCTCAGGCCTGGCGCAAACCGTAAGTAAACGAGTGGATTGCCATTGTCTTGCAGGCTTGTGGAGACAGGACTTGGAGCATCAGCTTTCATGGAAGGCTTACTTCCCTAGTCGTACTCCTGTGGAAGATGATACATGGAAGCCTTCATGGCCTTGGGCGGCAGTCGATGAAGAGGCCGCATTCAGACTGGAATCACTCGTCCAACAGACAGTGAGTTCGCTGTAGTCCCAGATCAGTTTGCAGCTGACTTCAAGCATCGATCCCAGTGAAATCACCTGGCTAGTTTGGGTGCTTGCTTACGCACATGAAAGATATAGGGCCTTTTGACTATCTGACGGCCTCCACAGACATTGTTGATGAGCAGTGTTTTATTTCAGAGCAAGGTTCTGCAGAGTACACTATCTCCATCCTTTGAGATCATCTGATAGAGACACGGTTGTCGAGTAGGAAGATGGATAGCTCCACCCGATCCAGGATCTACATATTTTCATTCGAGCAGTGAAGGCCTTCGAGCAGCCATATCTTGCTTGCCTCTACTCCTCCATCCAATTCCCCCGACATCCATGGTTTCGAGAGTCTGACTACCACCAGGCTGCATTTTCAGCCAGGCTCTTGCAAGCTAGATGCGAAAAATCAAGATGTTAATGAGGGTGGCAACACCGATCAGTCTGTATCTGAACATGTCTTCACAGATCTGACTTTAGAATGCATCTAGTGTATCAAGCTCGGTTTAGAAGTGCCAAGGCAGCTCCAGATTACAACATAGCTAAAGCAAATCCTTTAGCTACCTTTAACGAGCAGCAGGTTATCTTACGTAAGACGCTAGGACCCTGTCTTAAGCACAAGGAAGCATTCCCTATTCTTCATTAAGTTGACTCTAGCATCCTCTGCCGACGAGAGACAATCAGTGGAATGGTCATTCCGAATCCAACAGCGTGCCTCAGAGCTCAATTTTCAACAACGCCAGTCACTTAACCATAACCGTACTTGTCCATAGCCTCTGAAGAACGTGAAGGGGGTTTCTTGTACACGCTCGGAGAAGGGTTGAGGTCACCAGAAAAGACAAGATCAACGGTTGCCTGTCTTTACAACAATGTACATATTCAACAAGAAATACTTTATGCTATACACGATTATCGCAGAGTACAAAATCTCGGTGATGGAGGCTAATTGAACTGAGTACGCGACTCTCGATCTGGAGAGCGAGCAAGTAAGACCGCGAGTGTTATGCGCTGATGCGACAGGGATGGCTCCGCAATCGGACCCCCACCTTCCCCTTCCGTCAACGCTTCTTTCCCGTCGGCGGTTGCTGTCATAGCTCCGATGACACGCGGGGCCGACGATAATCTGCATTTACCTACCCAACACAGTCAAACTGTCCACACATGCAACGCATACTTCGAACTTCACAGCCTCTGCTCTCCTCTTACACATTTCGAACAGCCCCTGCATTTAGTTTGACAGCTTCACCGTTGCAATTGACTACGAGAAAGATGTCTGGAATCAAGATCGTTGCTACTAAGGAGGCTTGCCCTGGTGAGTACTGTGGAGGAGACATACTTGACGTTTGCTGACAAGAATGTAGTTGCAGGACCTTACGTACGTATACCGCCGACCCTCGCCCACGCCTTCGGGTGTTTCTCGAGCACTCTCTACGGCCCTATGGCCCGTAACGCACGTTGTATACAGCTTGCAAAGCGATTGAGGCAGGAATAGACGAAGGCTTCATATTCCTGACCCGGCTATCATGTCTCTCCAGCCATCGACAGCCTCTATATCCAACCCTCAGCTCTGCAACTCCCCCAGCACAACACAATACCATCACACCCTTCAAGAGCTACACCGCTGACACATCCCAGTCCCAGGCCATCATCGCGGGCCCGCAAGTCTTCGTCTCAGGCCAAATACCCGCCGACAAGACCGGCGCCCTGATCGAGGGCAACATCACCGACAAGACCACACAATGCTGCGAGAACATCGTCGCCATCCTGAAGGAGGCCAACACACCCGTTGACAAGGTCGTCAAGGTGCGTCATCGGATACATATGGGTCATCAGAGACGAGAGACGGAAGTTATAGGGGATGCATTGCTGATACGGGATAGGTCAACGTGTTCCTCGACGATATGGCGCACTTCGCTGAGATGAACGGCGTGTTCGAGAAGTACTTCGCACACAAGCCGGCGAGGAGCTGTGTGGCTGTTAAGCAGCTGCCTAAGGGTGTGCCCGTGGAGATTGAGTGTATTGCTTACAACGGTATGGGTGCGAAATTGTGAGTTGTGTGAGGGAGTGGCTGACAGAACGTAGGTTAAACAACGGTCGTATGCAGCAAGCTTAGGCTGACGATCATGTCAAGACTGAGCTGTAACGAAATAAAAGTCACTTCGAATTCGCATCTAGGCTTGAAAGCACTTACTCGTGTCTATGACAAACTGCCATACACAATATCCCTGACACCCTGCTAATTATCTAAGTCCATCTGTTGATTTATGATTGATATGCCTCTCCGCCCCCGCATCAAGGAACCTAATCGGTTGTACCATCTGGGGCAAAACATCTCGTCCATCCAGCCTCGCTAAAGATTGACAACAATGTAGCGAAATGACCGGGACAGTCGAATACGATGAAGACTCCTTCTGACCCAACGAAGCAGTCAAAGTCTCTGCAGACGAATCAAAGTACATCTTCCAATGATTTCGGACCCGCTGAAAGTAGCGATCTTTCACATTCTAGTAACGGGGGAAAGCAGGTAGGTGACACAACGAATCAAGGACATTTCGCGCACCGACGTTCCTTTGACGAAAGTATAGACAACACGTGTATGAAGATCCAGTGTCTTCTGCAGTTCGCTCGTCTTGAAAGTCTACGGTAAGAGATGTCCGCTTTGTGCGCGAGTTGTCTTGAGTGCATCATGCATGTAAGCGGGTTAGATGGTTGTACGAAATCATTGCAGTACGACATCCCCTTCCACCAATCTTTTCCATCAGCCAAACAATCCAGCGGTCATGTCTGAATCATATCCATGTGCGCTCCATTTGTCATCATCACAACCTCGACATGGTACCCTTCCATTTTCCCAATCCAGACGGCAACAACTCAGTTGCTAGCTGCAGTCGTTACAGGCCTGACAATACCGAGAGGCGCCTTAGAGAGACGACCACAGATGTGGGCCCGAGTGTAAGTAGACATTACGATCTTGCAGTCCGCAGAGTGTCGAGTGGACTTCCCAGTCGCGACTCCTACGACGAAGTCGAGCCCCGTGCGTAACTCGAAGTCAATGACTTCTGGAATCGGTCCGGGCCTGACACGCTGCGCCGCGAAAGGTTATCTTGGAGAACTCGGGCGGTGCGTAGCCTTTGCCGGAGCGAATGTAGATGGTTGGAACTTTGCACTTGTGGTCCCATGGTGCATTCCACCTTGATCTGTTCGTCATGGTTGAGTCGGACCGCTTGTAGCCAAGCTTCATTCTTGTTGGCAAGGAAGCTGTTCAGTGTGAGGGTACATGTCGAAATAGTCTTGATCATCAAATTCGTCCTGAGTAGGATGAACTCGGTTTCTTTCATACCTACAGATAGCAATAGAGGTATCCAAGTTGTGACAGCTCATCAGCCGGGACGAATCCACAGGCAAGGTTGCGTTCCAGATCCTCACCAAGTACGAAGGTTCAGATTCTCAGCCATACAGACTACCTTGCGTGCGCTTACTCGCCTGGTTCTCGTTGTGCAGATGCTGCGTGACATCGAGAGTGGTCAAGATGTGCTCATAACTCAGCTTCTCCTCCTTCCTGCTAGCCAACAGACGCGCGATCTTGAGGATGTTCTTGATCTGGCGACCGTTCATGTTCATGCGGGCAAGCTCGGTCAGCTGTGCCTCGGTGATCGTATGCTCTTGCGTCGAGTTGTTGAGGAAGTTCTCCCACACGGTCTTGCGCGAGTCGATCGAGAGCTCCTGGTAGTCGAGCGAGATGTGAATGCGCGACTGGAATGCAGGATCGAATGTTTCCACTCGGTTTGTTGTGAGGAACATGGTGCCTGGCGGTGGTGTTAGCAATAGTGTGCGGAAGCGGTCGGTCTCATACATACCTTCATAGTACTCGAGCACCCTCAGGAAGATGCTGACCAACTTGTTGCGCTCAAGCTCGTGCAGTGACCGCTGCTCGAGGAACACGTCGGCCTCATCAAGCAGGAGCACTGCGTTCCATCGACTGCACATTTCCAGGATGTCTTGAAGCTTGGTCTCGACATGACGAGGATCAAAGCCTAGGTCGCCCGCGCTCATGAGGTACAGCGGGACTTTCATCTCCTCGGCGACCGCCTCGCTCGTCAACGTCTTGCCCACACCTGGAGGTCCACAAAGCAGTATGATCATGCCACGACCCTTGCCCTCGATGACATCGTCGAACGTGTCCCGATTCTTACGCTGCGACTCGGTGAAACCTAGGATGAGCTCCTTCTGGTTCTTTGGTAGCACCAAGCGGTCGAAGGCATCCTTCTGCCACTCAATATCTTCAACACAATTGACGAAGAAGTTGAGCCACATCTTGTTTTTCAGACTGTAGCCGCGAAGCAAAGGTGTGCAGATGAGCTTCTGCTCGGTGGTGAGGGGCGCTGGCTGCGTGCTCTCGTCGTCTTCATCTGCAAAGCGACCATCGATGGGCATCCCACCGTCGTCTCCGTCGTAATCTTCCTCCTCTTGATGCTCCTCACTCTCGTCAACTTCCTCGCCATCTTCATCGTAATCATCCATCTCGCTGCCAGAATCGTCCGCGACAGCTTCCTTCTGGCTCAGTGGCGTAACGTACACAGCATTACCGGGGTTGAAACGATTCCAGCCGTATGTGTCGATGACGATCTACGCTTGTTAGTCAATGACTGAATTGTCTCAGTAGTCCCGTTACTCACCCGACCCTTGACGTTGTACTTGTCCTTCGTACCAAATGAGCCCATCCTCCAGGCAACGCCGTGATACGCACGATAGTTCGACCCGGCCAGCTCCTCTGCCTTAGCTCCGCGCGCGATGAGACGTTCGTGTACGGTCTCGGCATCATGATGATATTCAATTGGATATGCCTTCAGCGAGCCGATGGCGCGAGTACCAGTGAAGACAGGAACGCATACGTTCAGCTTCTGTGTGCCGAACTTTGTGCCGTCCCAGTCGATGTACTTGCCTGTGATCCAGAAGCATGGAATACCTTTCGAGTCCAGGCCGTAATGAGTTGTGTTCAGTGTCAGGGCTGTCTCTTGGCCGTCTTGACGCGAAAAGATCGTTGCCCCGGGCTGATAGAGAGTCCACAAGAGCTCGAAGTTCATAACTCGCTTGCTCATCATGTCCTGCGAAGTGTCGATCAAGCTCTTGAACTCTTTCACAAGGATGCCCTGCAACAACTCCGCATGCTCTTTGGTCGTTCGCTGCTCTTCCGTCGAACTGCCGAGCTTGCTGATGGCCGCTTGCAGCTCCGCCCACCGATGGATAAGAGGTTCGAACTTGCCTGAGAACTCCAAGCGGTTCAGACCGACTGTGACACCAGGGTAGTTTTTCAATACTCCAGCGAGCAACTTCTTCAACAGCGGGCTTTGCACGACGATCGAATGGACTGACAGTACCCTCCTGGGGTCATTGTAGACTTTGACGTTTCGAACCAGAAGAGCCCACTTCGCGGTCTCGTTGTTCTCTACAGGGTCGCCTATGTCTTCTGGAACCGTGTCCTGCCACTGAAACCGGCCTTTCTTGTCTTCCTTGCCTGAGTAGAGGTTCTTGAACCCAAGCTTCATACCGGGATCGAAAGGCTCGTCATCCTCTGCCTCTTCCTTCTTCCCCTGCTTGCCAATCTGTTTGCTGTCTCCGTTGATGATCACGTGCTTGACGCCGTTGGTGACTGTCTCGATCTGGGAGTCCGACTCATCTGAGCTAGACGAACCGGAGACCGATGATTCGCACATGCTGGGCGACATGGACGACTCCAAAAACAGGTAGCGATCGGTAAGCGGTGAGGGTGATGTAGGCGGCAAGCTTGCGCAACAAATCGCCGTGCTCCGTCTCGCACCAGCCGTGCCAAGGACAACAATGGAAAAGAAGCAGCTGGCTGACGGGGTGAAGATGGGCGCTGTAGAGAAAGAGACGCTGCAAGAAACAGGTGCGAAGTAGTCGAGGGGTCAATGTAGCGACGAGGCTGGCTTATGTAGCGACGAGGCTGGCTTATGTAGTGAAGGTGGCAGGCGCACGGCTGCCTGCTTTGCTGCCTGCTTTGCCGCCTGGTGTCTCGCTGTGATCTTCACCTTGAAGGAGCACAGCTCCCCACTGTGTTAGATGCTGCTACAGAGGACTAGCACGGCGCTGAGCTGTCAGACCAAGCGTCCACTGGGTGAGCAGCATCTGGTCGGTGAGGAGAGGGCGCTGACATGCGTCTCAGCCTGACCTTCACCCAAAGTCACCCAAAGTCGCCCAAAGTCCAGCAGAGACAAAGTCTTTCCATGGCCTCCTACGTCATCTCCGGCCATGTTGGCTGACTCAAAGAGCCGCACGTTGGTCGCACTTGTGCCAACTGAGGCGCGAATGTACTTCATCACAGCCGACGTGGAAGGGCGGTGCTAGGCTACAGCATGTGCACGTGCTAGAAGAGCCTGTCCCATGCACAACGAGGGTCTAGAGCAACAGCCCACGAACACTCCGTCCGATGGCGTTGACCATCTTTCCAGATGAAAAGCCGCTGATGGACAAGGTGTGGTGAGGCTGCTACGATGGGACGATCACAGCACGGGTGGAGTTTTGGTGGTTCGTGTTGAACCCCGCGATCGGCGAACTTTCCTGCCCCGCTGCCCATCATTTTCCGCCGTTGTGGGCGCGAGTCACTTTTTTGCGCGACACACATCGAGTGGTCGCGCGGCCTCCAGTCACCAACAACACCCACAATGGCTACTCTGATCAAGGTGCCGTGCTCGTCGGCTAACATTGGCCCCGGCTTCGACGTCATTGGCCTCGCCCTCAACCTGTACCTCGAGCTCGAGGTCACAGTCAGCAAGAAGGACCGCTCGGAGCACTCGCTCAACTGCAACATCACCTACGAGGGCGTTGGCGCAGAAGACGTGCCCCTCGTCGCCGAAGACAACCTCATCACGCGCACCGCCGTCTACGTGCTCCGCTGCAATGGCGTCCGCGCATTCCCGGCCGAGACCCACGTCCACGTCAAGAACCCGATACCACTGGGCCGCGGCCTGGGCTCCTCTGCGGCAGCCATCGTTGCGGGCGTGTACCTGGCGAACGAGGTCGGCAACCTGAAGCTGTCCAAGGCGCGCATGCTGGACTACTGCCTCATGGAGGAGCGCCACCCGGACAACGTCGCGGCGGCGCTGTATGGAGGATTCGTGGGCACATACCTGAACGAGCTGTCGCCCGAGGACACAGAGCGGCTCGAGATCCCTCTCAGCGAGGTCCTCCCGGAGCCTGCTGGTGGTGTTGACACCGGTCTGCGGCCGCCACAGCCCCCGCTCAACATCGGACACTACACCAAGTTCCCCTGGTCGTCGGACATCAAGTGCATCTGCATCATCCCCCAGTTCGAGGTGTCTACCGCAAAGGCTCGCGCCGTCCTGCCAGAGTCGTATTCGCGCAAGGATGCCATCTTCAACATGCAGAGGCTCGCCGTCCTCACCACTGCTCTCGGACAGTCTCCTCCCGACCCCGACATGATCTACACAGCCATGCAGGACAAGCTTCACCAGCCCTACCGCAGTGGCCTCATCCCCGGCCTCACGGAGATGCTCCAGTCCGTCACTCCCCAGTCACACCCCGGTCTGCTCGGTATCTGCCTTTCAGGTGCCGGTCCCACGATCCTCGCGCTCGCGACCGACAACTTCGACTCAATAGCGAACCACCTGCTCGCCGAATTCCAGAAGGAGGGCATCACATGCGACTGGAAGCTCCTCCAGCCCGCCACAGACGGCGCCACGGTCTCCAACTCCCTCAACTCCACACAGGCCGAAGCCATGACGTACGCCTCCTCAGGCGTCAGCATCGATGCCGGCAACCAGCTCGTCCAGCAGATCAAGGCTTCCACAAAATCTACACGGCGCCCCGGCGCAGACGGCGAGATTGGCGGCTTCGGTGGCATTCTCGACCTCCAGGCTGCTGGCTACGCAGAGGCGCCCATCCTCGTCGGCGCCATCGACGGCATCGGCACAAAGGTCAAGATCGCGTTCGAGATGGGCAAGCACGACACTGTCGGTATCGACCTCGTCGCCATGAACGTCAACGATCTTGTCGTCCAGGGCGCGGAGCCCCTCATGTTCCTCGATTACTACGCCTGCTCGAAACTCGACATCGCATCGGCAGCCAAGTTCATCGAAGGCGTCGCAAACGGCTGCAGACAATCCGGCGCCGCGCTCGTCGGCGGCGAGACAGCAGAAATGCCCGGCATCTACCAAGAAGGCGAGTACGACGCCGGCGGTGCCGCAATCGGCGCAATCAAAAAGGGCGCGACCATCCTCCCCGACACGGCAGCCATGCGGGAAGGCGATATCCTCCTCGGCATGTCGTCGAGCGGCGTCCACTCCAACGGCTTCTCCCTCGTCCGCAAGATCGTCGAGCGCAGTGGTCTGTCCTTCCACGACACCGCGCCATGGTCGCCAGAGCAAAACATCGGTACTGCGCTCCTCACACCCACGAAGATCTACGTTAAGCCGCTTCTCGCTGCCGTTCGCAAGAACTTGCTGAAGGGTATGGCGCACATCACAGGAGGGGGTCTGAGTGAAAACATCCCCCGTATGCTGCCTAAGACGCTGACGGCTGAGCTCGATGCGAAGACGTGGCCGCTGCCGGAGGTGTTCAAGTGGCTAAAGAAGACGGGCAGCCTGGAGCACAGCGAGTTTCAGAGGACGTTCAATACCGGTCTGGGTATGGTTATTGTTGTCAGCCCGGAGAATGCGAAGGCGGCGTTGGAGCTGCTGCAAGGGGAGGGTGAGAGCGTGTATGAGATCGGGCGACTGATCAAGAGGGGCGAGGAGGAGGAGGAGGTTGTTGTTCACAACATGGACGTTTGGGGTTAGGCATGTTGACGATAGTTCTGATATCCATTGGTCGTTCTACACAAAAAATAGACATAGACGTACTTGGGCATGGAAACCCACAGTCAAGATCATCAGAGTTTGAACCGCAAAGGGCCCGAGGAGGCTTATTGCGGGATATCGCATAAGCATGATGTGACAAACAGGATCAAGCTCGCCACGTGTGCACGGCTGCCCCTGCCTACAGCGACGCTGTGTAAACAGCCTTCTCATTCCCAAACTTCACCCTCCGCCTCATCTGAACACCACTCATCTTCCACCCACCATGTTGACCGATCTTCCACTGGCTCGCCTCTCATGACAACATTTGGTAGGATGAAACGGTACAGCTACTCGCCGCTTCCATCAACGGACAACATACGTCTACTCCAGCTCTTCCCTGGGCCCAAAGGGTCTGACATATGCTGCCGTACATTTGTGCATACACTTCGCAATCACTGATCTTTCAGTCTTTATGAAGCGTTGGCGTATGCATGGGGGCAATCGGACGGAGCAGCACCAGATCTACATTGCAGGACCCGACGGTGTACAAACAACTCCCATAACCACGTCACTCATGACCGTCCTTCTTTACCTAGTAACCATCCTAGTAAAGACTATAGACTTTCGATGACGAAACAATACGTAGCCTTGAAAACGGCCTTCAAGGAGAAAAGAAGGGCCATGAAGCCGGGACAAGCGATGATGATAACAGGAAGCCCGCCATAACCATCTTTCGGTTTGTGTGGCGAATGGACCGTTTTTATGCCAGACGGTGAACACTGCCATAGACGGATCCAGCAGCTAGTAAAGTAGCACCAAGAGCCATCTCTGTGTCTCCCATTCCCCCGAGATGAGCTTTTGTTGCGGTATCAATCGGTCCGTATGAGGCCTGCTTGCTGCTGCTCAGACTATTCTGGATTAGCATGTTTCAGAACAAGCATATACCGTCTTCTCCTAGCTAGATAGCAACTCAGAGCAGTATCCCAACGTACTCTACCAGCGGTCCCTCGCCGTAACAGCTTTGAATGAATTCTATGTGGTTGCAAAGTTTGATATTGGCGTAGAAAGTCAAATTGCGTGTAAAGCTCCTGCACCGTGTTGTACATCACATGTAGGCAGATTGCTCAGGCCGCTCATCCAACACTGAAGTGAGGGATATACCGACTCAAGATGGCCCCTGATAAACTTCCGGAGGAAACTGCGCCAGGTTGATGAAGCACTCTACACAACGTAGACCCTTGCAGCACTGTACAACTGTACACCAGAAGGAAAGCCACCACAATAGTCCTCTAAATGATCTCCTCTACCTTCTCCACCCTGATGTTTACCTTCTGGTTGGAGTCCGACTACTCATCAACGAACAACGATACCATGACAGCGAGAGAAAAGAGCGTGGTGACGACAACAACGACCACAGGGCTGGCAATGATTAGGCGAGAAACCCGCCACGACCATCGTTCCCTAGTGGTGTTAAACGGGCAATCCCAAGCCAGCAGATAGATGCGTCCGTAGGCAGCTCCGATTGACAGCGAGCCGAACTAAAGGAAATTGTCTAAATCCAAGAACGATGGGTTGTCGGTTGCCGAAGTTCCAGTCGCTTGAGCATTTCACCGGGTGGGTTGGCCACAGAAGCATGGTCGACAAACATGTCGTACTATGTTTATTCTTGAATTTCAGCTGCATCGGTTCTCAAATCGTTGACGGGTTTGAAAAACTCAATGTCGGCCCACTTCAATGCGTCGTATAGGTGAAAAGGTACCTCCGGAAACTCGGACGCGGGTAAGATATCCAAACGATAACCAAAGCATGCTTGCGCCTCTTGCTCTGCGCAAATGGAGTGCCATGTTCTTGAATAAAGCGAATACCTCCAAGCCTGAAGCCGACCCAGGTCCAATTTCTGGAGACGCTTGGACTGAAGCTTGCCTGAACCCTTCGTCTTGGTGGAATGGTATGCATCAAGTCGTGAGCGACGCATTCATTTGGTGGGGTAGCTACGAAGTCTTCGTTGATCCGATACGTGAGCTTGAGAAGAACTTCAAGGCAGGCTGGGCAGACGGAGGTGGTGATCCCAGTCGAGCCATGTTCCTCGAGTCGGCAAAGGAAGCACATGTGGGACCCATCGTCGATACTATGATTCCTGGAGCAAAGAAGGGCAACGCGCAAGATGGGATTAAAGAGTGGTTCAAAGGCCAACTACAGCAATGAGATCAGCGGTGCAACAGGGTCCGCGGCACATCTTGCAAGCTTTCTGCTGCTAAGCTTGGCGCACGATTGCTCGCTTGTTGCTCTCGTGGTCGGCCACATGGTCGACAGTACTGTAACTTCACTTCCCAGTATCCACGGTGTCCTCCAATACCTCAGCAATGCAATGCCCTTCACGGATCTTCACCTTTGCACAGTGCCGGAATGCTGATGCGGTTTACCATCAGGCGCGAAACTGTGCAAGATTTCCGCTGGCGCCGGTCAACTCATGTTCAGGACCGTGCACTTCAATCAAGATTCGGAGCTTTCTGGCAGTTACCGGTACGGACAAGGATGTCACCGCTCTTTGACCCGCGCGTCATTCAAGAGTGACGGCATCATCGAATATTTGCCAAAGTACACCTTGGTAAGCGGGTGCAGTTGCGATGCATGTTGCTGCATTGCATCAAGACATTGAGAGGTTGTGAGCGACGCCCGAGTTTAGATACCGAGCTGAGATGTGATCGCCAGGGCTACAGGCGTTTGTAGCCCTACCACTACAACACTTTCAGGCACGATCCGTGGAAGGCCCCAGAAATTGCGTGTCTTGCGGCATTTTCTGCCCTGGGATCTGCATACATTTTCAAGGCATAGTGCTCACGTGACGGGGCTGTGTAAAGCGATTGCAGGTGCATTCGCTACATGGTAGGCGCCGCCAAGCGGTTTTAGAATGGTCCTCAAAATCCCACCCATGGCTCCTTTGATGTTTTCAGTTCCATGCCTGAGCGGAGCTGCTGCAGCTCGATGGTTGACAATGTCTTTTCCCTCCACCAGATAACAGGGGAAGATGAAGTGCTTTTCCCCTTCAACATCAAAGACTATCAACGCTACGTTTTCGGGGATGACAGGCTAGCGCACCGTTTCGGCACGGAATGCGCTAAGGCCTTCATTGCCCATGGCTCTGGGACTAGGGCTGCGCAACACACGACGACAACACCAACAAGCAATCAGAGCGCAGCAGACGATGTTGCAGTTGCCGCTCTATCCGGTTACATCCCTACAGCCACCCACAGCTTGCGAAACCATTTCGTCGCTTATCTCAATCGACACTTAGTTTCGACCAATGCGAACCCCGCCATCAAGATCGACATCAACACAGTAGAGGAAACCTCACCCGGGCGGAACGGTCCGCCAACAGGGACAGAGATCTATCGAATCGACCGTGAACGTGTGGGCCGCAGGGCCATCATCGTTTTGAGCGACATCCGCCTAAGCCAGGGTCGAGAACACCAAATTCAAACATCCCTTCGCTCCGCACACATCGACAATCCGATCACCTTTGCCTACCTCGCCTCAATTCTTGACCCCCCAAGATCGGCATCTCTGTCACCAATTCTAGGGTTCATTGTCAGCCCATCCATCAAAGAGGTTGAAGATATTGTGCTCGCGCCCAGCTTCGTCATGAATGCGTGTTTCGTGCAGTACGTCCTTGGTATGGACGATGAAGAGTTCTGCCGCTTCCTCAGACGACAATATGATAGCTTCGCAAGACTGCTGCTTGACTACGCTATCAGAGGAAGGTACTACAGTAATGACCTGTACCAAGCAAACGTCAAGTTTCTGCAATGGGAAGTCGGGACAAGAGAAGGCTTATGAAGGATGCCAGGAGCGTTTTCACGAACATCTGCGGATTCACGTTCAAGAGCTGGGAGACCTTACCTACGCGATTACCCCGTATGATTGTAGGCAGAGGAAAGACTTACGAGAAGACGATTCGCGCAGTACCAGACAAATCCATGGTGAAATTCCTAATACGATTGAAGTGGTGCACATCTCAAGGTTGATCAAAGCTTCTTGCCCAGCACGTTTGATGTCTTGGGAACTTCTTGGTGGACGATCATAACCTCTTTGCGTTCGATGCTTCGGCGCTAGATATGCAACCTCACGAACGCTCTACATATTCCCTACTTCCCACCAAACATGACTATAGCGCAATCGATGAGTGCTATCACACCTTACTCGGCATTCTCAAATGGTACACGGCCCTCACGTGCTCCTTCGGCGACCAATTTTGGCAATGGACTTCCACCAGTCAGCTTACCCTAAACCTGACGAAACACTGATTTTCATGAATAGAAGGCTCTGCTTCTGTGACCGTTACGGACATATGGCGAAGCACTGGGCGACACTGTGCCATAGGTATGGTGTTGCTTTACTACACCGCCGATTGTGCTGGCCTGGTGCGTGCCTGACTTTATCAAGCTTTAGATAACATTCGCCGTGATCTTCATGGTGGTACAAACAATCGCGGCTTACGACAATGACGAACCGCAAAGGCTAAGTGCGCTCCTGCCACCACGACACCTCTACGCAGAGGCCGTTACGCCTAGTGCTGAACTGTCTTGAAGATATCGCAGCCTTTGAGATAGGACCTGGTCTCAATCTGCTCGAACATTGCCTGGCCCAGGTCACATTCTTCTGGTCAAATAGGGGCATTCGACGCAAGGACTGACAAGGCAGTTTTGTAGTTGCGGCTTTGCCAGACCAACAATTGAATTACGACATTTGTCAAGGCGATACAAGCCATGGGCGATTATAAGATCAGAACAGCGCCAAGGGCACTGTGAACGCGAAGTCTTGGTGTTGTTCGACGCTCTTGAATGTGCAGTGTTCCGCCAGGCACAGCGCTGTGCGTCGCAAATCCGAAAAACGAAGTCCGACGGACAACCTCAGCTTTCGTGGCCAGTGCAACAACGAGCAGCCATAAAAGAGTATACGATACGAGCCAAAAAATGTAGAATAGACTCAAACCCACGTTCCAGATCTTCATTACCCAAATCGCAAAAATGGTCCGATCTCTCCCTTTCATCCTTGGCTTTACCGCCGCAGCATCCGCGCACTCCTGGCTAGGTTGCACCGACCAAGATAACAAGCTCATCCTCGAATGGATGAAAGGTAACGCAACCGAATACCAAAATCCCGGCGACCTTTTCGTCGACACCTTCGCTCCCGGCCTCGCAGTCTTCTGCAAAGGCTGGCCGCGCGCAAAACACAACCCCGGAAACTGGATCGACGAATCTAGCAACTACCTCTGGGACATCGCTGCCCAAACGTTCAAAGGCGATACCCATGCTTGCCACCCGAGCCAACGCACGCCGACGTATTTCACGGAGGAGAATGCAAACATGGCGACCACGACGCCGGGAGGGAGTATTAAGCTGATGTTCGGCGGCAATGGGCACTCTCGCGGTGCGAACGTTGACGGCGGAGACCCGGGGACGGTAGCTGTGTACTGGAAGGGCAAGAAAGAAGCTGAGATCGAAGACATCAAGGAACTCACCGAAGAGAACAAATTACATGAGATTGGCTTTGCGGAAGAGGCATTTGTCTGGCCTGAGGATAAGAATGTTAAGAGCCCAACGGAGGGCATGCTGGATAAGGGCAATTGGATGACGGTCAAGATGCCGAGCGATATGGGGAAGGGGAGGCATATGATGGTCTGGGTTTGGGAGTATGGCGGAAAGCCGAGGTGGAGTACTTGTTTTGATGTCATGATCAAGTAATGACTTGGAGAACCGGCAACAAGACGTGGGAGATGTATCTCTTGGTTCTGTTCCTCTTCGAAGGCGTATAGGCGAACGGCGCATGTATCTACCTGTATTCTGGTTTTTTTGTAAGGGTATGTGAGGAAGAGAGGGATTGCATTGTGTCTAGAGATGAGAGCCAACGAGCTTATGAGGCGTCTCATCTCAGGTGAGCTAACTAACTATAGAGTAGTATGTACTAGTTCAGAACTGTTACATTATTGATCGGGTTTCAGAATTGCTGCTCTCTTTCTCGCCACTGTGAACTGTGACAGCCAACCTATACAAAGCTCGAAAGAAGTACCTCAGTCCAGGATCTCCATCATAGTTTCATCCACCGAAGCAGAAGCGACTACATCTTTTCCTGCGCGACCTCGATCTGTTTGATGAAGCTGCAGTTACCCATCAGATTGAGACTGTCCTGCGTAACTCTGAAGAAACTCCATCAAATCTGGGTCCTCAGGACTTTGCGCCATACTTAGCCGATCGAGAAAGTCTCTGTCAGGGTCTTTTGCGATTTCAATGAGCCTAGGAGCTTCTCGAGCAGCCTCTGATGGAGGAATTGATCTCAAGATGGTATTCGCGAAGCTGATGAGTTGGTACTGTATGGCAAGCTCTAAGAAGCCCTTGCATTCGCGGCGAGGGATCACGACCCAACTCCAGTGTTCCGCAGGTCCTCCTCATTGCTGGGAAACTTCCTTTAGGTAGTTGGTTCCATCCAGCAAATGAGTCGTTGTGAGATAGATTGCAACCTTGTTGAGTAAGTCACCTGAACATCCGTACATTCAGGACCAGCTCGGAAAGCATACCCGATAGCGCGCATAGCGGGTTTCCAAACGATGTCGTCGTCTAGGTGTTCCATAGAATGGTAGTTCAGCTGCTTCAAATGGACCGTATATACCCGCAGGTCAATGTTGAAGTTCCTTTGCTAGGTGCTTGTCGGTCAGACCTTCGATTACTTTCTTGAACAGATCCTCGAGATCTTCTGGTAAGCTTTGAAGTCTGCGCTGCAGCTCAAAGAGCTTTTCGCCTTTTGAGGGACCTTCGAGCAGAGACTGCGTAACCAGTTGGACCCAAAAGAAGGAAAGGCCGGAAGACTTTTCGCTCTGGTTGCCTTGGAATCAAGCTCGTGCAAAACTCTAAACCCTGGACTGAAACACATCTTGGGATTGACATAATGATTGATACTGTGGGTAAAATCTTCTAGCCTCAAATGAGGACGACACTAGAAAGCATCTTCGAAAACGATCCATGACCTACTCGCTGCGCATACTTTGGTTTGCTGAGTACTGAGGTTCATCACGAAGTCGGTGAGATCCGAGGGCCTGCGCTTGAATTCGTCCATGCCATCGATGAAGAAAGCTATTCTATGATCTTGGTACCTCTTGATCAGAAGTCGAAACGCGCGCAGCATAGATGATAACACACCTCGGCGAGACTAGTATGTCATCGATACCTGCTGCCGATAATTGTCAAGCATCCGTGAAATTTTGTCGACTGCACTTTCACTCGAGACAGTACGCAAGGCGGTGCGAAAACTTGGCCAAAAACTGTGCGTGCTTTCAGACCGTAGCCGCTCCAGCAAGGTCAGTAGCTGTTTGCCAACCCTATTGCAGTTTCCAGCCAGACTGATTGGACTGGAGTCCGGAGAAGAAGAGGCTTGTGGTTGAGCCTGGGTCTGAGGCTTTTGAAGCTCCCTGGTAACTGCGTTTAGGGCTACCGTGATGCTTCTTAGATCGGAATTGGACTCTGACCCTCTTGGAGATCTGCCTTGGTAGATCCGCCATGTACCCGAAACTATCTTTCCAGTGAAGTCGAGGAACTGTACGATTGCGGTCGCTACGTGAGGGCAGAAAGTGGTTCCACCGAATTGCGACGAAAGCCCAAGGCTGAGGGTGGATGGTGCTGCGTGCAGTCCGGGAGACCCCACGATTCATATATCCGTTATGCAGACGCAGCCGTAACAAGCAACTACCCGCAAGGCTGTAACCAACAGCCCCATGTCTTTTTCGATATCCTTCCATTGGCTGTTGAGCAGTCCATTGTGAACTTCTAATTGAGGCTATGGTCTGTCCTGGGGCTGAGGCTGTAAATTATAATCAGGTTGCTGTTGGACCCTCGGACATACCATCGATTCACATGCACGTCGGGGGTCGTTCGCTCGACCTAAAAAGCATGTGCCCACAGGTGGCTGCTTACGTACCTTCAACGTCGACAAATGCAGACTAATTCAATTGGACATCACTCCACTACTGTCTTTCTTCTACACTTATACCTACTCTCGTTGTGTTCTGTGCAGGAGGCTATGAGGAGTTGTGGGAAACGGGCTACAAGCGGAGCGTCCGTGACAACTTTTTGACACGAAAACAGAAAGAAGTGTTGCCTGGTCGACCCAAGCCCAAGATTTGTCTTCAAGAATGTCTTTGCGCGTGCTCAATCTGTGGCCTCGATCTCAAGAAGGGCAAGGAGCGGTGGAGACGGCCATCGACCTAAAAGAAAGCTTATCACAGACAAGCAAAAAGTGATGTCGATGCCGCATCTTCCGAACGGGAAGTGGATCGGTGGTGGAGCTGCTGTTGATGTTGTTCAAGGTTTCCGCCATCTCTGGCGGTTTTGCGCCTTGTGTCCTGGCGCCTGGCGCGTCACGCCTGCCAGCCACAACACTGTTCGTTAACAACTTGGCAAGCCCGTCAGCCTTTACTCATCTTGAATCATTCAAAGTCTTGCTTATACATGCTTCTCTAGGCTTCAGATTGCCAGTCGAAGGACGCGGTCGCTCCTTTTCGATTAGGAGCTATCGATAAGGTCGGTGGTGGGGGCACGCACGACGTCATCATGCCGAAACTCACGAACGCGTATTCATACCATGGAAGACCTCAAATCATGCGGAAGAAAGCGGCCACTAGGGGACGTGGAAGCTTCTCTGTCACTATCAATGCCCTGATATGTACCCACGTATGAAAAGCCTGATTGCCAGCAGAGCAGCTCCTCCCTCAATCCTCCATTCACATGCACATAGAATACCGCATCCAGACCATCTAATTGTCGCAAACATGGCATCGCACTCCAATCAGCACAAGAAGAGCGAGAAGTTCGGGCATTTACCGTTGTCTACTTCCGGGCCTCAGAAGACCACTCTGACCGTAGGAACTGATTATTGCAGAAGGCACTCCAGCCGCTAATACACACAACCAGGGAAATGCCCTCCTTCAAACACCTTACTTCAACAAGGGGACTGCTTTCACAGCTGAAGAGCGTGCGACCTTCAAGCTGCATGGTCTCATGCCCGACAATGTCCAAACACTCGATGAACAAGTACGACGCGCATACGAACAATACAAATCACGACCCAGTGACATCGCGAAGAACACGTTCATGACAAGCTTGAAGGAACAGAACGAGGTTCTGTACTATAGGCTCATCCTCGATCACCTGAAAGAGATGTTCTCGGTCATATACACACCAACTGAGGGAGAGGCTATTGCGAACTACTCGAGGCTTTTCAGAAAGCCCGAGGGTTGTTTCCTGAACATTGGTGACGTGGACCGAGTGGAAGACGATATCAGGCAATGGGGCAACCCTGAGGATATTGATCTTATCGTAGTCAGCGATGGCCAGCAGATCCTGGGTATTGGAGATCAGGGCGTCGGCGCTATCCTAATCAGCATTGCCAAGTTGGTCATATACACGCTTTGCGCTGGCATTCACCCATCGCGGACGCTGCCTGTAGTACTTGACTGTGGAACAGACGTGAGTACCTAGAGTCCCATCTTGAACAAGCAACCATGCTAACAAGACGCCAGAACAAGGAACTGCTCGATGATGATCTCTACCTTGGCCTGCGAAAACCCCGTGCCACCGGCGAAGAGTACGACAAGTTTGTTGATACCTTTGTCAACGCTGCAAGAAAGCGATACCCCAAAGCGTACATCCACTTTGAAGATTTCGGTTTGAGCAATGCACGGAGGATCCTCGACAAGTACACGCCTGAAATTGCCTGTTTCAACGATGATGTACAAGGGACAGGCTGCGTCACCCTGGCTGCTGTCATGGCGGCCTTCAAGGTCAGTGGAACCAAGTGGGACGAGGCGCGCTTTGTCATGTTCGGCTCCGGCACTGCAGGCACAGGTATCGCAGACCAGATCAAGGACGCCATATCGCAGCGAACTGGCAAGTCGACGGAGGAGGCAGGGAAGCAGATCTGGTAAGTCATCAGATCAATATCCCTTACGGATTTACGAAGGCTTACAATTCGCAGGTGCGTAGACAAGCCCGGTCTTCTGCTGGAAGGCAAGAAGGACCAACTCACACCAGCTCAAGTTGGGTATGCTCGTAAAGATAGCGAATGGGAAGGCAAGGATCACGGCGATCTGCTTTCCGTGGTGAAGGAGGTCAAACCGCATGTTCTGATCGGCACGTCGACTAAGCCTGGTGCTTTCACAGAAGAAGTTGTGAAGGAGATGGCGAAGCACGTCGACCGACCAGTCATCTTCCCACTGTCGAATCCTACAAAGCTGCACGAGGCCAAACCACAAGATCTGTACGACTGGACTGATGGTAAAGTATTGGTTGCCACTGGTTCGCCTTTCGATCCTGTCAAGCACAACGGCAAGGAGTATGAGATCTGTGAGTCGTGTCCCAGCCAACAATACGATACCATTACTGACATTCTCGAGCCGAATGCAACAATTCCGTAACCTTCCCCGGCATCGGTCTCGGCGCAATCCTCAGTCGAACACGCCTCATGACACCCGCTCTCCTCGTCGCCGCCGTTGAAGCACTAGCAGCCGCAGCCCCAGTCGTCACTGGCTCCGGATCGGGCCTTTTGCCTGACGTAGAAGATGTCCGCGAGATTAGTGTCCAGATTGCTAGCAAAGTTATCAAGAGAGCTGTCAAGGACGATTTGGCTCAGGAGAAAGATATACCGACTAATGATGATGATCTGGAGGAGTGGATCCGCGAGCAGATGTGGAATGCTGAGTATCGGCCGCTGGAACTGGTTGAGGAAAAGGAGGCGGACGCTCATGCTAAGGGAGAAATGGGGACGGGAAGCCAACAGAGAGAGGCAAGGTTCTGAGCTTGTTCATGTTGCAGAGGTACGAGATTATTATCACTATGATGCAGAGATGATGTCTTGGAACTCGTTTGCCGCATAATCATACCTATACCCAACTTCTATACTTCCGGAATATATGCATCGACAGAAGTCTGGCAATTCTGGTATTTCCTCAAACCTTTCTCGTGTATCAGATCCTCCGAGACCAGCCAAGCCATCTGTCTCTGCCTCCTAGGATCTCGGACAGGGTGCCTGAAACCGATCGCCGCCGGGGTTGCCCCTAAGGCAGGACGACCGATGAGGCGTACCATCACGTTGCATTCAGGTACGGTGTATCTTCCTGTGCCATCGTACGACGCATCCACTGCACCTTCGAGCGTATGTGGGCGCACAGTGACAGAGGAACTGATATAGTCTAGAAGTATAGCCATTAGGGGCAGAAAGCACATGTTCGTTCATCTTGGCCTGAGAACATGTCGTACGCCGTGCACCATCCCTTCATCTCCCATCTCTGACTGCTAAGCCAGTGCTTCGTCTTATTATTGTTACAGAGGTTTGACTCTGTCCACCATTTCTCGTGCGCGCTGGCAGGTCCCTTCTAGATATCGACCTCGTTTGGCGTAGTCGACCTCGGCCCGCGGCATGGGGCCCTTCCAGTCGTGTATTGTGTTCAGCATATGGATATGTCGGGTCGAACGAGACGGGGGACATCGAAACACAATTCGTAGTGGTTGAAGACGTTCACGTAGCTAATTATCTTGAGTCCGTTGCCTTCTTTGGGAGGCAACTCGTGCGTTGAGTCCCAGACCTCAGACAGACTGGGGAGGAGGTATGTCTTGGATTGTGGAGCCTCTCCTTCCGGCGGCTTGTAGCTGCTCAATTCCTTCCCTAAGACTTACGATTTCTTTGTCATCCAGGAATACAGAATATATAGACCCAGGCGAACGGAATCACTCAATGGTCTTCTTGCTGCGACAGACTTTTGATTCAGACGCGACAAGAGGGTAGTGAGCGTCGCATCATGTGAGCTTTAAAGTCGAAGGGGTTACTTGCGAACAGCTGGTTGGCAAATGTCCAAGGTGACACGAATGACAAACGACTGAGGAGAACAACGGTAAAGACGGAAAAGATTAGAATTAGTCATGCGTAGGCCAAAGCAAACCGAAGCTGAGGTGCACTGAATGTTCTGCGGAGATAAGAGATAACAGAGGAGATTGGATTTCGCCCGAGGTCAAGAGACCTGTTGCTTCCCATTTTGTGTAAATCATCCCTCTACCTTAAAGTGACGTCGCTAGTATCGTCGTTCGTACCCCTGCAGAGGATATTCGTTGCCGCGATACCCTTGCTGGGAGTAATCGCGCTGAGGATGATCCTGCGGGGGGTAGTTTGGCTGCGAATAGCCTTGCTGAGGTGGTGCGTATTGCTCAGGTCGGGAACTTTGGGGAGGATACTGTTGAGAGTGGTAGTCCTGATACTGTCGATTCGGCTCACCACGGTACTGCTGGTCGTTCTGATACCGCGCTGGATAGTTGTATGTTTGTTGGCCGTGACCCTGGTCGTTGTATGTGTCCTGCGGAGGATCCGGACGGAAGTTGCCCTGTGAGGATGGAGCCTGGTACCCTCCACTCATCTGTATGTTTGAGGTCGGAGTGCCTACGCTGACATTCTCGTTGCCGATGTCATCCGGCACATTGATCTTCACGTCGGGCAGGTACCTCTGCACCTTTTGCTCGACCGTGGTTTGCACGAAGACCCAGCTCTCGCGCTCGAACTTGCGGTGACCGCCGTTTACGACACCTAAGATGCTCTCTCGGAGCGTCTCTTGAACTTTCTGCACAAGGGCGCGGACCTTGCTAAGAAGTTTAGCCTTGATATCGTCACCGAAACCGCGGTCTGCCGGGCCAGATGCATCGCGATCTAGCTGAGAGTCGAAGGGGTTGCCACCGAGGATCTTCTCGAGCGGGCGCTGGAACTGGTCTGGCAACAATTCGAACAATTGCTTCTCGATCTCTCCTAGTACTTTGCGGAACTCCAAACGGACTTCCCTATGAACCTTTGCAAGACCTGTGCTGAGCTTGTCACTGAGGACCCTGGAGAAGCCGCCACCACTGCCTTGTTCTTGCCCGTCGCGACTCGACTCATCGAAGCCCCTAGCTGAACCCTCGCTGCTAGCTTTCTTGCTTCCAAACAGGCCTCCAAGACCCTTCACCAGATCACCTACTTGATCTGCAATCTCGGCCTTGGCACCATCACCAAGATCGCGTGTGCTCGTGTTTCCACGTAGCCAGCGCTTAATGTGGTCCAGGGCGATACGAGTGAATTGTTCCGCAATAGGTGCATGCTGCATGCGCAGCCTGTCACCGACTGTCTGCTTGATCTCGGGACTGATAAGCCGTGCCTTCTCTTCGGGGTTCTGGGCGGCATCCTTGATGGTGTTGCTAATCATACCAAGAAGCCCTCCAATCTCGAAATTCTGGCCACTCGAGCCTTGATTGTTGTCAAAGTTGTCTTGAACGGCATTGAGAGCTGAGGAAAGAAAGCCACGAGCTTTTCGAGAGAAGTCGCCATCATCATCTCCGAGACCACGAGATTGGGTCTGCCTCGCACCGCCATGGCCTTCAGTGAGGTCAAAGATATCGCGCAAGTCGCCGCTTGCTTCGTCGGAAATCTGGCTGAAGCTACGCGTCAATTTGGCGATCTCGTCGGCGAAAGGAAGGGATTGGCCGCCGTAAGCATCTGGTGCAGCGTCGTTCAAGTTCCAGGGACCTCGGCTGCCATCCGACGAGACTGGCTTGTCCTTATTGAAAAGCGAGCGGAAAGCATCGATAACTTGCGTCTCCAGGCTGTCAATGGTCTTCTGTTGAAAGAGCTCAAGCTCAGACGCAATGCGGGGTTGGATCTGAGGGGCGAGCGAGTCGACGTAATCATCGACCTTCTTGAACAACACCTCGGAGATACCGCTGGAGGACATTTTCGTAGAGATATAGGGTCTAAGGTTAGTGGGTTCCGCGTGTGGTAAGGTGTGGACTGATGCCCGTTGATAAGAAGTGGCTGGTTGATGAGGCGGTGCGAGCGGAAGAGGTGTAGTTCCCCTTTCAGCGAGCGTGACGTCATCTTACTTAACGTGCAGGACGCGCAGGAAGCATGTCATCGGACCATGAGATTTGGGCGGCGGACCATGAACTAGCCTGTATCAAGTAAGGCCAAAGTTAACCCAAGCTAGTGGGCTTGGCATATGAACGTGTTTAGAACGTACGAAGAAGCCCATTTTTTTTGGCCGATCGGTCGGTGCACGAGCCACAGAACATGATGGCTATTGCGCACTATACAAATGACCTCTCCTGATTGTGGCAGGTCAGTACATCACTGTGAGAGGGGGCTAGCTGGGGATACCAACTGCTCTCTGAGATGGATGAATAGGGGAAGGAAGGTTCAGCCTTGTTAGAGATAGGGATGTGAATGAGACCAAGTGTGGGAATACCACAAGTGGTAGAAGGGATAAATGATAAAGAAGAGATCAAGTGTAGGAATACCACAAAGGATCAGTGAGGAGTGAGTTGAGGAAGGAGTTGCTGAGGTGAATTGAAGGAGTGGATTGAGTTTTGTATTGCAAGCATGAGTTATCTGAGCAAGAGGGCAGGCTGCCTTTATAGACAGACTGCTGGCTCCTGGAATGTTCTA